ACACTTTGAGCAAGGCAGAGTTAAGAAAAGTAAGTCAAAATGTATATTTAAAAAAAAAAACATTTTCATACAATTTGTTTTATTAATATTTGTTAATTTCAAATAAATACAATTTATCACATTTCATTGTTTTTTCTTAACGTTATTTTTTTTAAATCTTGAATTAAATTGTTAACCAATAATAGTATTTTTCTACACTTTTTGAGTAAGAAACTAATTAAAAAATGTAAAGTTTTTAAAAAACTGTGCTAATTTAACACCAAATACTTATATATTTTTGTAATATTTATTCTTAAAACAGCAACCTTTAGTGATTTTAATTTATGTTTTGTTAATACACCAAATAATTTAAATTTAATTGTTGGTTAATTGTATTAAATAACATTCCTGCTATTATAAAATATTATTTTATTTTTTGTTTGATCGTTATTAAAATGTAATTCCAAACTCGTCTGGCCTTAACATAAATTTCAAAGTAAGTTTGTTATATTTCTAAAATTTAATTACTCTGCTTATTTATGCATGTTTATTATTATATTGCTTTTTGAATCGTGACGAAAGCAAATCGAACACACTGATTCTTCTTTTATTCATCCCGTTTGCTGCTTTATACACACAAAACAGAGAACAAGCTTAGAAATCATTTTCTCACTCAATACATGTAATAAGTTGGACTGGTCGACCACCTGTTGAGACAAACACACTTCTCTGCTGCTGCTCTCGGCGCCGTGCGTTCAGATCTTTCATAGAAATTCCCCGTTTTTAACGAGCAACTCACTCGTTTTTTTCTTCATTGTACATACACGCTGAATAAAATTAAAATTTACGCCCGACCATATCTGTCAACACTATTCTTTCTCGGCTGCTGTTAATATACGCCTCTGACTGACTCTTAACGCATGAATAATTAATCGGCGTGAAAATACTTCATAACTCTCGTCGACTCGCGTGTCCTTCGCCTCTTCTAATTGGCCGTCAAATACGAACTCAGGCGAGAGAATAATAATTACCAATTTAAATCCTGCATGTTTTATTACGTATCAACACATCGGCCGCGTGCATATAATTTAACGACCATTAAAAATTAAAATAGATGAGAGAGAGAATCGGCTCTCTGAAAAATTGCCACACGAAAGGTCGCGTACTTGGCAATCGGCTCTCGCGCATAATTTATGTGAGAATCTCGCGCTTTTTGAGCGCGCGTGCATGAGAATACAATTTGGAATGTATGTGCACCACATGAAAAGTGTAAAGTAACTATTATTGGCATTATTACAGCAGAGTCATGCTTTGCATAAGTTGTTAGGTGCAAATGGCATCATGGGAAGAAAAAATCTTTGCGATCCCAATCAGTGGCTCACTCTCTTTTTTTTAAATAAAAGATTAGCAATTTTAATATTTCCTGTCCAAGCATTGTTCTAAAATATAGTCATTAGTAATTTTCTGCCGAGTTGATTTTAAAGGTAAATTTTCCTGCGTCGTATTCAATTTTAAATATTTTGGCTATACATCAATCATTTTTAATCTTTGGTTAAAAAATCACAGTCTCAGAAGATACAATTAATAAGTAATTTATTTAATAATCATGAGTATAATTTTGTTTGACCTTTATCTCAAACAAACTGTATCAAAAATTGAATGTAATCAATGTGATTATAGTTGTAAAAATTTGAAAAAAACACAACAATAATAATTATTTTCATCTTTTTGCTCAACATTTTTTTAATCAAATTGTTTATGAATACAAAAATTCTTGAATTCTATACCAGAGTATTTGATTGACTAAAGTTTTAAGCTTATTAAAAAATTAAAATCAAAAGACCATTATAGAAAATTTATAAAAGTTATGAAGTTGACAAACAAATAATAAAAAAAAAATTGCACACGGTATAATTTAAAGATTTCGTTAAAGAACAACCAAAATAATATTAAGGAATCACTTAATCGCGTTATTATATAATTTTTTTTAATTAATTACTTTATTCCTATCTAAATAAGATCTAAATTTTCAATTATACCAGCCGTTCATGATAAAATGGCTCACTATATCCTTAAGTTTTACAAATTATTTTTTGCATAATTAGCTGTCATAAATAATAAAAAAATTACTGGATATGTTTTTAAATTTAAATTCGCTCTCGGAATGAAAAACGAGCGAAAATGTCACGCTTGATATTTTTCATCTTTATTAATGAGCAACAAAACCACAACAACAAAGTCCTGCAGTGTCGAGTTGCATTGTCTGCAGTTACATCACCCTCTCGTTAGCGCATTTCGTCTCGAAGTGAGACCTGCAATTATCTTCGCGCCGGTGTGAGGTGTAACTGTCAAGCGCCCAGCCGAGGTGTTGATGCCGCACCGCGATAAAAATGCAGATGAGGATACACATAGGCGCGCGCACGGCGGGACTGTACTTTCCTCTCACTCTATATGTGCTGAAAGATTATCCGTTTTAATCTGTTGGGCGCGAGATTACACGCGGCAGATAGGGAGGCTCTTTTCTGTGTCTCTCGAGCTATGGTGTGTGTGTTTTGCGCCGTGAGCAGGATTTGTTCTTGCATTTATCAAAACGAGCAAATATATAAAACACGCCTGCCTCTCTCTCTTTTGCTTGTTTTTATTATTTATAAGCGCGAGTACGGATAATTGTCACGGCGGCGTTGCTCAACCCTATTTGTTTAATGGCAAATGAGCTGCATGACTGATGAACGCGCGCGAGACTTTCAGCACCTGCGAGCGCGATATGTTATTTTTCTTGGCGTTTCTTGGGAAATGTAATTGTAACATAAATCATATCTGCGGACATTTTTCTTTCTCTTGCAAATTAGCTCCTGCTGCGGGCGATTTATGCTACGGTTAAAAAAACATGGAACATAAAAAGGGGGTTTTCAAAAGTCATTTGTTTGTGGAAAGGAAATGGAGGTTCGCACAAGATATTTTTGTTTAAAAATTAAATTAAAATTATAAAATAATTTGTTAATGTTTGATTAAATGTTAAAAAAATAATTTTTATAAATATATTTTATTTTAAAATTAAATAACATATTTTTACAAAAAGAAAGTACATTATAACAGTTCAAAATATTATTAATAATTTAAATGTTTTAATTTCATTTTCTAATCTTAATATCATAACAATTAAACAATATAATTTCAAATTTAAAAAATTTTTGAAGTTGTTTTTTATTCAATCTCCTTGTATAGTTGTGTCAAATATTTATTTTCAATGATATTACTCTCGGAGCATGATTACTGCGTTTCAGTTTAATAATAATCAATTTCCTCTCTGCAAATAATGAGTCTCGCAGGTTATCAAAAGTGTTAGTGGCGTTGGGGGTGGCCGGAAGAGCCGATTGCACAGAAGCCGCTCTGCATAAAGTCGCTTCAGATATCATAATATTGCAGCGGAGGACACAGGTGTCGATCCGTGGGAATAAACGAACAGCCTGGCAGGCAACAGGTGTGCTCCCCGCGCGTTCGAGGGCGGGTTCGTCGTGATCCGCCTTCGAGCGTGTGTGTGAATATTATGATAGCGTTTTTTCAAGACGAGGATTGCATGTGGGTGTCCTTGGCATTGTTGGCTCAATGCAAATGCCGCTTGGGAATCATGACTCTTCCATTAAGTTTATTAAGAAGGGTTGCCGCCGCCGCTTCCTGGCTCTCAGCTAATTACCGCGATTTGGATGAGAATCTGCTTTTCGGCGTTTCACGGTCGGATGAATGGAAAATCCGTTGATTTGTAAATTAAGTCGGAGAAACGGTGAGAGAGCGGTTCGTACTTCCTCTCGGAAGGAAATTGACTTGGATTTCTCGGCGTGTAACTGATTTTTTTACTTCCTCTTTTTGAACTCTCTAGAAAAAAGCACTTGTTGCTATTTAGCACTGATTAACAAACACCAGGTTTAATAGATTGAATAAAATGTAGATTCACTTTAAAACTGATTTATTGATTATTATAAAATAATAATAAAAATATATTTTTCAATTTATTTACGTTTAAATGAATATCTATATTCATTTACCAAAATCTTTTATTTGACCAATTTCAATTAAAATTAAATCATCTTCATAATTTGTAAACTTTGTAATCTTATTTTTTATTGCTATTTCACATTAAAAATTTGAGCCCGAAATAGTTACAGCTATAGTAGCTTTTGAAACGTATGTGCTTCCCTGGCAATCTTTTATACATTTTGGATTTTATTCCAAAAATTTTAATTCAATATTTAATCATTTTTTTTTTACTAAATTGAAAGTGGACGCTAATTGAAATGAAATTTTTACATTACTTATAATTAATATAAAGATCACAGTTCAAATTTTATTTTACACATTATTTAATGTCTATAATTGAGACGTTAAGAAAGACCCATTGTTAAGTCTTATACAAGTAAAACATTTGGCTTATCATTTAGACTTGCACGAAATCCCTTTTAAGAGAAGTCGAGGGCGGTGGCTCGGCAAAGGGATAATACGCTGGAGAGGATAATTCCTTTGGCCGCGGGTTTGTGCGTCTCTGAATGTAAATCCGGCGCCATAAACCAGCATAATACACACGAGAAAAGGGTTAGGGAGATAAAAGCGCACCTCTTTGAAATGATAGTGGATTGTTTTGTTCGCACAAACACAAATTTCATTTTTATTATTTGTTTCCAAGCGACGCGCCTCTCATAAGACCTAAACGGCGCCGAACAGGCACGCGTCCCACCAGATTTCTCAGAAATTCGCCTCGGAGCGCTTTTTCGAATTATTATAAACACAGCCGCGAGCTGCGAATGCTGAAACTCTCACCGGTGTGCGTGTGGCACTTTTCTAAACACTGATTTTGTATTCCGGCAGCAGAGAAGCTTTTCAAAGCTTTGGATTATTATGTGTGCTGCCGGTTTTTGTTCTCACAGTTTTTTATACGACGCCCAAGAGCGTGTTGTTAAACGCTGAAAAAAAACGCCCTGAAGATTTGTGCAATAATTTCTTATTTTTCCCTTGTCCTTCTGTTTCAGTGCAATAAACCGATAATGGAGAAAAAGCGGAGAGCACGGATCAACCACTGCCTGAACGAGCTCAAGTCGCTCATCTTAGACGCAATGAAAAAAGACGTGAGTATTAAAAATTCAATGTCAAACATATTTTTTTTTGGAGACCAAAATTTAATAACGTATATTAAATTCAATACAAGAAGATGAAAAAGAAATTTCGTTTCGGAAAAATTTATGTGCATATTTTTTACTAATATTAAAATTTGGTTGCACTTAATTTTTAATGGCAAACATTTACAGAATTGAATGAGAGTACAAAAAAATTGTTATAGAACCAAAAAGAATGTGATCATCTGTCTAGGAACTTTATGTGTTTCTCTCTTTTTTCCCTTGACAACTTTAATGCCGCGTATATTAAATTTTTTCACGCACATCAGCAAAGCGAAAACTCGGCAGGGATGCATTATATTTTTTTTTTATTGTTTGCGTCTTTCTTTGTCGTGCCTCAGCTCATTACGGCCGACGCACGACTGCTTTTCTTCCACACGCTTCTTTCGCGTGTGGGAAAACGCGCACTACTTTTTCCTTATATTGAAATCGAAATCAATATAAAATCGTATACATATAAGGGGTGCGCGGTCTTTGAATAAAGAAAGAAAGGCATCAGCTGCTTGAGACGCGATTCCCACGGCCAGGGGTTGCACATGCACACTTCACCCTCGTGAGCGACCGGGAGGGACACGCAACAGCTGAATGCTTTCTTGAACGGGTGTCTTCTGCTTTTCCCCCATTGTGTGCGCGGCGACAAAGTAGTTATAACCAGCTGTTGTATGCCTTTTAAACAAAAAACATGCACGCACAGAGAGAAGCCGCCTTGGCGATTTTGCATATTTTTTACTCTCGGTCGTGGGATATATCCAAACTGGAATTGCGAGTTTTCGGCATGAGACAAAGCGATTTACATAATATTCGGCGCTGCCGGACTTTTAGTGAAAGAGGTCCACACACACACATACACTTGATCCACATTTTCTCAGGGTCTTGAAACGGCAACCCGATGTTTATGCAAACTATATAACTGCTCTGCAAAGTCGTAAAAATCGCGATTGTTTTATTTTATACTCAAAAGTGTTTGTCCGTTGAAAAAAAAATCAATCACGCACGTTATAAAAAACTGCTTTCAAATCAGATGACGTTTCATTCTCATGGTTTTTTATGTAAGAAAAATAAAACTAAATAAATATTAAATAAAAGAAACAAAACATTTCTGTTTTCATCTCGCATTTCGTTATAAAAAAAACAACCACTCCAAAACAAGAATTTTTTTATGTTAATTAGTTCTCGACTTCAAAAGCATTGACTAATCTGGACTTTTATTCTGATTCCAGCCTGCACGTCACTCAAAACTTGAAAAGGCTGACATTCTGGAAATGACGGTGAAGCACCTTCAGGGCGTCCAACGTCAACAGCTGGCCGTCGCCGTTGCCACCGACCCCACCGTCGTGCACAAATTCAAAACCGGCTTCAGTGAGTGCGCCTCCGAGGTCAGCAGATATGTGGCCAGACTGGAGGGCGTAGAACCTGCGGTCAAGCAGCGACTGATGAACCACCTGAACCAGTGCGTCAACGGCCTGCAGCAGTTGACACCCTTCAACTTTGGCCAGAGCAACGCCACAGTCACCATTCCCTCCGCCAGCAACATCAACAACGCTCCAAGCCCAACAAATCCAACAATTGCTACCCCAACCCCAGTCCAAGCCACCCCCAACGCCTCCATACAAATGCCCTTCCCGGCTGGTGACGTCAACAACAACAACACCAGGGTGACCAACAGCCTCCAACTCATCCCCAGCCGCTTGCCCTCCGGAGAACTGGCCTTTGTGTTGCCTTCAAGTAGCAGCAGTGCTAGTGGCGCCAACAATGGTGTGCCCCCGTACTTTCCTGCGCCTGTTACTCCTACCGTCGACCGAACCAGGTTCAGTGCCTTCACGGCCGTCCAAAGGTCCATCAGCCCATCTTCATCGCATCTCCCACGACCCCCTATCATCGTCAGTCCGTCCTCGACCAGCAGTGGCGACGAATCCTCCAGTTCCTACCCCTGCTCGCAAAGCCCCTCGCCTCCCCAGGTCGTCAAACCCACCGCCCTGACGCTCGAGCTCAAAACCTTGGCCGTGGCTTCGACGTCTGGCAACGACTACACGTCACCCTGCTCATCCAAGGGTGTCCTAGACTTCTCCATGAAACCACCCCCTCCACCCAAGAGACACGTCGAAGTCCTCGGCGACTCATCAAATAGCAAAATCCCCAGAATGGCGTTCCCGAACATCAACGTGATGCAGGGCGTTCGATTTGCCGAGGCCGAGAACGCGCCCAGACACGCTACCGGACCCGACGGCCACGACAGCATGTGGCGGCCATGGTGATTGGCGCCAATCAATGTATAAACAATAAATCCTGAAAATCATAAATTCACACCACTGCCAGTTGAAATATGTAGTAGATTGAGGGCTTATTCGAGAAAAACGTCTGAGATTTGTAAAGTAATCAATCAATTATTTAATTTAAAAATCAAATTACTTTCAAAACCACTGTTTTCATTTTAGTTCACAGTTGAAATAACCCTACAACCCTCATTGAATTTCAAATTACATATTATTTGATCTCGAGAACAAGTGTACTTATTAGCTTATATTGTGTATGTTTAGCATATTTTTCAAACGGAAACGATTGTGTACCTTGCTGAAAAGTTGCCTTAGTGTATTAAACATTGCTCACGCACCTACAGAGTGCATTAACGTCGTGTAAATGTACATAACCATCGACGCACAAATATACCGTCTTGTCATTCCATAATAAATTATTATTATATTTGCCTTGGAAAAATCTATTTTGTTTATTTTCACCAGCGTAAACCTCTTCTTATTAATATACAAAGTCGTCATAAGTGATGTTCAATTATTTCGCTGCAAATATTTGCCTGTCAATTAGATGAGTCGTGATTTCGTTGACGTAACTCAATATACATGCACCACAGCTAGAGTGATGACATCAATTATTATAATGAGGTGTGGGCGCGCGGCTTGAAGAGCAAACACTGTTGAAATATTAATGATTAGCACTTCTACTGCCACGCGGAAAGGAAGTCAATTAAAGCAACAAAGTGCGTGCTTAAAATGCGCTTTTTTATCAGAGAAAAAAGCGCCGTCCGCGTGTCAGGGAACTTTTCTGTTGGGCCAAGTCACCTTTTTTTACAAAGGAAAGCGCCAATCACGAAAAAGACACGAGTCACACATTTAATGGCCACACGGATATTTATTTTTAAGAGGCGAAATCGTTAAAACTGTTTTAAGTATGCAACCGGTGCTGCACTCGAGTCGAGACAGTTGTATATTTATCCATAGAATAAAAACGTGACTTTAATTTTCAAAAAATGCTCCTTATTGAGATTTCATTAATGTTACATACAAAAATTGTATGATTTGCAGTTCAAAACTATAAATAAATTGATTATTAGTAAAATTATTTTACAGAATATTATTTATAAAAATTGAGTGTTTGAGGTTTTTTAGAAATGATAATGTTAGGTGAAATAAAATTCGAAATTGGTAATTGATTTATTTGAAAAAGATAAAATTTCATTAAAAAAAAAAAAAATAATAAAATTGGATGAGGTGTGAGTGATTTTAAAAAGAAATTTCAATAAATTAAGTGTTGCAGGTCATTCCGAAAACTCACTCAATTTTTCTATTAAAAATGGCTAATAAGATATCATACATGGGTGCGCTCAACAATTTTGCGCTCGCGCTCGCGCTCGCGATCACTGGCAACAGTGCGCTCGCGCTCTGCGCTCGCGCTCAAGATTTTGAAAATGTTGCGCTCGCGCTCTGCGCTCGCGCTCAAATTTTTAAAAAGTCTTGCGCTCACGCGTTGCGCTCAAAAATATTTTTATCCGAGGAAAAAGTGCGACTTTTTAGACAATTTTTTAATATAACAAAAAATACATCGGCAATTGGAAATGATAAAGTTTAAGTTAAATCACCAAAATTGGGATCAGTTTTAAGTTTTTGGTATAAAAACACTGTTTTTCATTACAATTTTTGATCAAATTCGGGAATTTTTACTCTTGGTTTGAGCGCAAAATGAGCGCAATTGAGCGCTGCGCTCAGCGACCAATGCGCTCGCGCTCTGCGCTCGCGCTCACGATTTTGAAAATCGTGCGATCGCGCTCTGCGCTCGCGCTCATGAGCGCAGAGCGCGAGCGCAGATCGCAGAGCGCAGAGTGCGCTCTGCCCATGTATGTAAGATATTGTGACTTCTAGCTCTGATTTTCTAAAATGATAGTAAAAATAAGTCAATCTGTACTATTTCTAGTTGTGCCAATTTATGTTCATAATAAGTAATATACGACGAATTCAAAAATGAAAATCAAAAGGGAGGCTGCGGCGCCGATTCCCAGAAGAGCTGCCAAAGGAGTGAAATCAAGAATGTTCATTGATAAAATATTTTCGCTCTTTTTGCCCTGGTTCATCAGCACCTCCTTGTACTCTCTCCTCATCCGTGCGCTTTTCCTGATTTCAGCCTCAAAACGGTGAATTGCGCCAACCTCGAACATTCTCCTGATTCTTAAATTCTCTGCTCTAAAAACGATTTCGACATTGCAAAAAAATACCTGTTGTCCAAAATTCGTTTGTAAGGCAGTTTTGGCGCAATAGGAAAAGCCAGCCACAAGGGGTGCATCGAGAGAGGGTACTCTGTGAGGGTGCAAGGAGCCAAATCCAGAAGTCGGTCAACCCAGATGTTTGCAACCACGAATGCAGGAATTTTTTTGGTCCATGGAGCAGATAGGGATACATTTTTGCTGCAAGCAATCTGCATAGCGGCTGCGAGATTTGGAACTGTGGAAGGAGCGCCTTTGGATCTAAATTTCTTCAGAGTGGGATGTTGACTCTCCTACATAAATTAAAATATTTTTTTATTTTTTTTTTTCACACAATTAGGGAGAAAACGTTTGAAATAATTTTTTCCTTAATAATTAAAAATTAATTAAATTCTTTGCACTGCTTTGCACAAATATTAGTTTTTTTCTCCGGAATGTCTATATTTTCATTTTCAAACGTGATTATCAAATAAATAATTGATTAAAAATTATAAAATTATGTGATAATTGGTTGCCAATAAAGAGGTAAATTTATATTTACAAATTTGATGCTAATTTGCAATTTACTTACCTCAAAAAATGTGCTCTCAGGAGATTTCTCAATTGTGAAGGGTCTAAATCGCACACTTTTCAACACATCATCAAATTCAGAAAAGGGTCGATTGTCAACCCGCACTGTAAGGAAAGCGGTGACTGACCCCGAGTAAGTGGCCATCACAACCACGGCTGACGCCAGGGCCGATAGGTGAATCGCCCTGGCACTGTAATAGTTTGGAGGGTCAGGGTGACCTGCAGAGTTATTTAAATTTTTACTTTTTGAAATTTTAGTTTTGATTATTTTTTGCCTTGCATGCAAGCGGCTCCGTGAATACAGACAAAAGCCTCGCTGAAAATTTCAATAAAACTCAATTTCGTGTTGTGTCGCTTTTCAAATTCCGTCTTCCAAAAGAGTGCGAGAACAGTGGTCAACACTAAAATCCCCGCCAAAATGCACATCCAAAGTGAGGAATGAAATGGAAGCAGGAAATTGGTCCATCTAATTCTTTCACTGGCAGTCGCTCTCATTAGAACAGAAAAACTACAAGTTTTAATGAGGAATATATATAAAAATAAACTACCTAAATTGTAATGACAAATTTTACAAATACCTGACGCTATGAACAGGGGCTGTGAAATCCGTTTTCTTTGCCGTGGAGGGTAGCATTATAATTGGTGAAAGAGAAACTTCAGCTCGGCCCTTATTCAATTCCTCCAACATGCTTCCCCAGCTGGCTTCAGGTAAAAAGTCACGGTCCACGTCTTTGATTGAAAATCTGCAGTTTATTCATTTATAAATTTCTAGTCTCAAATATGAAATGTACAATACGTGAAATTCAAGTTCAATGCGATATTCTTCCAGATCATGATATATGCCTTTGTCCAGTCGTCAAAATCGGCCTCCATGTCTGTGGAAATTGAAGCCACTAGACCAGTGATTTTGACACCTTGCATGTTACTCCTGCTTTTTGTGAGTGAAGATTTCGCGTCTGTCAATGGCAAGCTCTTCCAAGTCTCTCTAGACAAAGTGTCTTCTTGCCTAATTGTTATTTTACGTGAACTGGAAACTCGGTAAACCTTTTTTAAGAATAAAAGTTTATTGAAAAATAATTATTTAACATTTTTATTTTTGTATTAAGTACTTCAAAAAATGTTCGTGGGGCTGACTGGAACATGGCATAAGCCCTGCTGTCGTATTTTAAATCAACTTTGGCCAAAGCGTGCTGCAATGTTTCTTGGGCAGTGAAACCTCCTCTGATCGCCACAAATGAAAAAATAAACAGCGATGGAGAAGTGCCAAACTCGTCTTGGAACTAAACCGAAAAAAATATTAAAATTGACCATTTTCAATTGTGTTTTATTATTCACGTGGTGAGGTTTTTGAGTTTATATTTTTATGAGTTTCATCAATTTAATTAAAAAATGAAATTCAACGTCAACATCTTCAATTGATTTGTACCTTGGGAGAAAAATTTTGACATGAAAAAATTATTTTCAAAATTTTATCATGAGCACTATGAAACTTCTGCACTAACCAATTACATGTTTATTTTGTATAAATCATTTAAGACTTTAAACTTAATATTATTACAAAACATAAAATCCCCAATACAAGAAGAAATAATAAAAAAAAATCTAATATTATAATGTAAAATTGAATACCAAACAATCTATATTTTGGTTAAAATATTTCATGAAATAAATTGTTATTTAGGAGAGACTAAATTTTTTTATTTTGTTCTAAAAAATTGGGAAAATTAGCTATACTTTAACCAGAAATTTCTCTTAATTCTGGCCTTATTAAAATTAATTACAACTTACTGAGAGACTTTGTAGTGGAAAAGCAGGGTCTAAGTTGAATAGCAGGTAGGCTGTGTTCAGGGCGTGCAAACCTCGGCTCAAGTTTTTCAGCTGGAGCTTTCCGTCGCTCATTTGATGCCCAGCGATTCTTATCCCTCTGTTAGAAAACTCGTCAATAGTGTTGGGTAAAAATTCAGAGGAGCCTCCTCCATATGCAAAGTCGAGCAAATGCAAATTTCTAATGTGGAATCTCTCGCAGACTTTGAAAATGCAGCTGACGTTGAAATGCACCGCAACACTTTTTCCCAGAAATGAGATCAAAATGCAGAAAATGCTTATTTTCAGCCTACTATGTGACATTCTGACGTCTTGTGGTGAATTGGGGGAGAGTGAAGACGTTCTGATTTCCAGCCGCGTTAATTTGCGTTCATTAATTATTCATTCCAGACATGCGCCACGTCACAAAGGGTTGAGCTGTGATGACGAGCTTTGTGAAACTTAAAGAAAAGATTGAGGGAGAGGAAAGAAAGCATTTCTATCGATTATTACATGACACCTTTTTCTCAATGAAAAGTAAAAGAAAAGCGCAAACAAAATCTCAGCACCAATGCCATCAATTTTTATTTTAAACTACTAATTAATTTTATTTATTATAAAAAAAGCATTGTATTAATTTCATGTCTGGAATTGAAATTGTCGTATTTTGTTAATTTTTTAAAATGAATTTCGACATTAGTAAAAAAATATACGAAATTTCTGTATTTTTTTTTTTTAAATTAGTGTCATAAATTATTATGGAATTTATTATGTATTATCAGGATGCTGAAGTCTATGACTCTATATTATCCAGATTAGTTTGCCATTTATTCCTCAAAAGTTCCTCTCCCGGCATGGCAAAGAGTCAGATTTAAAAATGTGTATTCCGTATTCTTTCATAGCAGAAAATTGTTTCGCACGCACTTTTGCCGCTATTTGGAAGCATAATTTCATCTGCCCCATCCTGATTGGCTGCTCGATCGGCTCTCCGATTGGTTTACAATTTTGCATTCAGATTTCAGCTGGTTGGGCGAGTGATGTAAACATGATACGCAGACAAGCCGTGGAGACGTAAATTAGATTATTGTCGGAAAATTTTGCATAATACCACCGTCTCGGGGTGACAGCGAGCACTGAAAAAGAAAATGTGGTCGTTTTTTGCTCGCGATCCTACCAAGGATTTTCCATTCGAGATCGGCGAAGTGGTCTGGAACGACCTGGACAGAGGTCGCTCCCTTTGGAGCATTCACAAGGGAAAGAAAAAGGTTAAATCATTTGCGATTGTTCGTCGGACTGAACCACGAGCTAAAATTATGAATTTTTACAGAGTTCTGGTGATGAAGTGTCGGTGTTCAGCTTCGATGCAAAAACCGGCGCCCAGTTGTTTGAGCTGGCAAAGGGTGCGATGAAAAGGTTCAAAACCCTCCGGCACCCGTACATTTTACCCTACTTTGATGGCTTTGAGGTTGAAATAATTATTAAATATTGATTTAATTTTCTTTTAAATAATATTTAATTAAAATTTCCAGTCTGACAAAGGTGTGTTTTTCGCGACGGAGAGTGTCGAGCCGCTTGAATCGCACCTGTCAAAATTGTCTCTCTCTGGCCAACAGAAGTCGCTGTACCTCTCTTGGGGAATTTACCAAATCGCGGTACAACTTGTGTCTTGTAATAGCAATTGCAAAAATCTTATCTTTTTTACCCATTAAATAGAGAGTTTTGAACTTTTTGATAAACGACTGCAACTTGCGTCACAACAACATCTGCATGTCTTCAATTTACGTCAACTCGGCCGGAGAATGGAAACTCGGAGGTCTTGAGTATGTTTCGAGCGTAGAAGAAGGACCCAAGTTGCCACAGAAGATGCTCAGTGGCTTGGATAGATACAATCCACCAGAATACTCAGACCACAGCAAACAGCGTTTTATTACCAAATTGTAAAACATTTATTTCCACCATAAATCTCTGCATAAGTAATTTTCTTTTCAGTTCCAGTGATATGTGGGGATTTGGATGTTTGATATGGGAAGCATTTAATGGACCGTTACCTCAGAGCTCAAGTTTGAGAAGTATAGAAAAGGTCAGTTGAGTAAAAAAAAGAATAAGCTCAAATAAATAATATTTTTGCAAGGAATTTTTATGATTCGTGAATTTTTTAAGTGAAAATAATACATAAAATTTCATAGATTCCAAAGGCTTTAATTCCTGCTTACAACGAGATGACGGGCCAAAGTCCTGCGAACCGACCAAACCCTGCCGAGGTTATCTCCAGGCTAAGGCGCAACGGCTCGTACTTCTGCAATAACCTTGTCGACGCCCTTCTCTTCCTTGAGGAAATACAAATTAAAGAGAAGAACGAGAAAAATAAGTTTTTCGCCTCACTCTCCGACCAACTCGATGCATTCCCAGAAAGCATTTGCCGACACAAAATTCTCCCCCAGCTCATCACCGCTTTCGAGTACGGAGATGCTGGGTCACCTGTGTTGGCACCTCTCTTCAAGCTGGGAGCATTACTGCCCGAGGCGGAATATCAAAAGAAAATTGTGCCTTGCGTGGTCAAGTTGTTTTCGTCTAACGACCGAGCCACCCGAATAAGACTTTTGCAGCAGCTGGAGCTTTTCATAAGTACGAGTAATCGTAAATTTATTTCATTGCTTCATATTGGAATTTTTCCAGGTCATTTGCAACCATCAACTGTGAACGACCAAATTTTCCCTCAACTTGCAAACGGCTTCATGGACACCAATCCGACAATAAGGGAGCAAACAGTTAAAGTATGATATTTGCAAAATTAAATTTTCTTTTGATGATTTACTTAATTGTAAATTTTCAGTCCTTTTTACACTTAGCACCTAAGCTTAACTACAATAATTTGAATGTAGAAGTTCTGAGGCATTTTGCAAGACTGCAGGCAAAGGATGACCAGGTTAGTGCTTTGAAACTGATATGAAATAATTAAATTGTTCTAAAAGTTGAGTTTCCAATTTGGTTGTCAATTGCACATATTTATTTTAAAAACTTCTATTATGTCTAGGGAGGAATTCGAACAAACACAACAGTGTGCCTGGGAAAAATTGCCCATCATTTGCATCCTCAGATAAGACAAAAAGTTCTTGTATCGGCATTTGTCAGGGCTATGAGGGACCCTTTCCCTCCAGCCAGAAATGCTGGTATGTCTTTTCGTCCTTCACTGTACAAGCCATGTATGTAATTTTATTATTAAAGGCATCTTGGCTCTTGCGGCAACTCAGCAATACTTCCTCCTCCAAGAAGTTGCTGCAAGAATTTTACCTGCTTTATGCCAGTTGACGAGCGATCCGGAAAAGAGTGTCAGGGACAATGCGTTCAGAACAATCAAGGGTTTCCTAGGCAAACTGGAAAAGGTCAGCGAGGATCCTAGTCTAAAAGAGTCCATGGGTTTGTTGATAATCTTTTTGAGTTTTCGGAACAATTTAAAACATTTTATTTTGTGAACAGAGGCCGACGTCAACACTGCCACTGCTAATTCCGCAAACTCGTCCGCAACCTGGACTGGATGGGCAGTCAGTGCTGTCACTTCCAAGTTTTACAGGAGCAGTACAGAAAAAGCTGCAAACAGTAAAGCAGCGCCTAAAATCGGATCAGGTAGAATTTACCATTTTTTATCCTCTCTTAAGAGTTACGTGGTTAATTATAGATCAATATTCATCTGGAACACCATCGACTGGGACTTCCAGTATTAATTCTTCCATTGACAAGGAAGATGTCAAAGTGACTGATTCCACGTCGGATTATGAAGAAAATTGGGAGGGAGAAGGAGAAAATTGGGGAGATATGGATGTAAGCACTTGCTGCAAATACCTTAACTGTGTAAATCAATTAAATTTGACAAATTCTTTAGAGCTCACCTGCCAAAAGCAAAAGTGCAGTTGTGCCAGATAACGTTGGTGCAGGAAATGAAGGATGGGACACTGAGGACTGGGGAGCGATTGAAGATGTAATTTAATTATACAACTTTAGTAGTATCCATGCTTATCATAAATTAAATTTTAGATACCTGAGGAGTCCACACCAACAGTAAGCAGGAGAGAAATGAATTGGAATGTGGCACCAGAATATTCATCGACTGCAAAACCAGCCAGTTCTCATCATCCAGGCAGTTCTAATATAGACTTTATTGGAGGAAATTTTGGCGTAACACAAAGAGTAGGTTTTAAGTCGATTTTTTCTTTGAAATATAATTATCTTGCTATGTACTAGACGGAAACTAAAACACACAGCGATTGGGATGACGCAGGGTGGGAACCATTAGATGATGCTTCACAAGGTAAAAATAAAAAAATTGTAAATTTTGTTAAGTTAACATATAATTTTAATAGATAATAAAATGGACGAGGCAAAAAGGATGAGAGAAGAAAAAAGGCTTCAGCGTCAGAAAGAGCTTGAGGCAAAAAGAGCAAATCGTACAGGCGGTGCAATGAAACTGGGTTCTAAAAAGGCCTATGATTGATTTGCTAATTAATGGTTATCATAATATTTTGAACCTTGTGTACTTTTCGAATAATTAAAATGAATTTGCTTCATTAACAGTCTTATCTTTTTTTATTGACTCAATTTAAAATCCAGGGTCCCATTCACATTTTTGCGTTTCGTCCCGTAATGTGTAACACTGAATGATGTCGCCCGGCTCAAATTGGAGATCGTTCTTGTCAAGTCGAATTCCACATTCAACATCCTTTTTCACCGAGTCTACTTCATTCTTGAGATGCCGCAGTTGGTAAACAGTTCCTGACATATCAAAAGCAGTTATAAAACTTCTATACAATATATAATATCATTAGTTATAATACCTTCATAAATAATTTCGCCATTTCTTATAACTCTTGCTGGAGTTGATTTTTTAAGCATCCCCTTGATGCATCTGGAGCCAGCAACGCCAACTTTCTTTTTACCGTCAGTAATTTCAAAAAACTGTAAAACATTGGCTTCGCCTGTAAATAATTATTCAAAATTAAAGGATTATTTTTTACTAATAACAGAAAACAACTCACCAACAGAATCCTCAACTTTCTTGAGAGGTAACCTGCTGCTGACTTCGTCTTTGATGTCGTCGACCAATTTGTAGATCACATTGTGAGGTTTCACAGAAACTGATTTCTGCCGTGCCAAATCCATTAATCTAGGTGGTGTTTTCAGATTAAAAGTGTAAATCATTCCTGAAATTCAAAGGGAAAATAAAAATAATTCAATTTGGGAGTTCCTTAATCTTGTAACCATCAAAGGCTGATGCCAGCTCAATGTCGTTTTCGGTGATCATGCCCACGCCATAGTGTATAAGAGATAATTTACACTGTCTTTCTTCATCATAAGTCTCAAGAACGTCCAGGATTGCTTCAACGGAGCCATCCACATCACCTTTTATAACGAGCAATATTATATTTGATAGAAAATAAAATATACGCTCTTTTAAAATAATACCTTTGACCAAAATATTGAGTTCAGGACCCTCATCTTTTTTGACAAATTCTTTTTCCCGAGGCCCTTTTCGTCGGAAACGATACCAACCAATTTTCCGTTTTTCCTCCAAAAGGGTTTGGTACACCTAAATTTGCGAATCAATTTACTGCTGAATTATGTCACAACCAGATTATTTACCTTTTGGTGTTCCAAAGATTTCCTCTCAAGCACTTCTTTGATCTCCTCAACTTGTTGCTCCTTTTTCTGTTCTTGCCTAAATTTCATCACATCCTGAGCAATTTTCTGAAAAATTGTATTTTTAAATTGAAATTTCCAAGTTAAAATATCAGAAACCCAACCTCAGATTCAACCTCGATAATTTCATCTCCTGCTGAGGGCAATTCTCTCCAGCCTAGAATTTCTACAGGAGTGGACGGTAAAGCCTCGTTCAGTGGACGGCCAGCATCGTCAAACATTGCTCTCACTTTTGCCCATGCATTTCCAGCCACCAGAAAGCATCCCTTGCGAAGGGTACCCCTTTGTACCAAGGCAGTGGACAGTTTCCTAAAGATTTGAAATGTCAGAAAATAAAAATCATAAATTTGAGTTTTCATACCCTCGGCCAGGATCTGTCCTTGATTCGATTACAATACCCTCCACATAACCCACAGGTTCAGCTTTAAGGTCCATAATTTCTGCTTGAAGGGCAATTGCCTCAACTAGGGTTTTCAAGTTTGTCCCTTTCAAAGCAGATATCGGAACAGACTGAACCTCACCTCCAAAATCTTCAAGTTGGATTCCATGATTTAGGAGCATTTTTTTTGTTCTACCCTTAAATTCACAAAAATTGTAAGAACATGGTTTTCAAAATTTTCAATATTTTTGGTAGCTTACTATGTCTGCCTGGGGTTTGTCAATTTTATTGATGGCCACAATTATTGGAACTAAAAAATTTGAAAAAATTAATTTAAAAAAATAATAATAATTTTAAATTATTATAAACCATTAGATTCCTTGGCCATGCGGATGGACTCAACCGTTTGCTCCATGACTCCGTCATCAGCAGCAACAACAAGGACGACAATGTCAGTTGCGTCGGCGCCTCGCGCTCTCATTGCTGTAAATGCAGCATGGCCTGGAGTATCCAGAAAAGTGACTCTGTCCTTGTTTTGTAGTGCAACTGGAAATAAATTATGTTATTTTTCTGATGCAATTTTAAGAAAGATTTTCTACCTGAAAAGGCTCCTATGTGTTGCGTGATTCCTCCGAATTCAGAGTCGACCACCTTTGTATTTCTCAAAGAATCCAATAGCGTAGTTTTACCGTGATCAACGTGACCCATGATTGTGACAACAGGAGGTCTTTTTACAAGCTTCGAAGGGTCTGCAGGTGGCCTGAGGAATAAGTTCATTATTTTTTACTCAATAATTTAAGTAACATCAAACCTTTTAACTGCATCTTTGTGCTTTGAACCTTCATCGACGACTCGCTCGCTGGGGTGAGGAACCACCTTAAACCTAAAACCAGACTTTTTTGCTGTTTCCTGGATGACTGCAAAATTGTGGATCACAGAGTTTGGTCTTCTGTATGGCGCTGAATTATCCACATACACAAAAACTTCAAAAATGTGATCTGAAAATTATTATTAATTTATTTATTATTAAATTTGCAAGATTTTCATGGAAAACTAAACAGTGTTGTGAAAGAAGTTTATGTCATACAAAAATAAATAAATTTATAATTTTTACCTATACTTTTGTCCATTGTATTAGCTAATTCTTTTACAGTCATGTTTCGCCAAACTTCAATAACATGAGGTTTTGTTTTTGCTTTCGGGTTCACCTGGACTGCGTCCTTTTTCTTTTTATAGTCCACCGTGGATGTGCAGAATCCAGAAGAATAGGTGCCATTCACACTATGCTTTGCCCACAACCTGGTATTTTGGTGAACTTGGTTCCTGGCCAAAAGCCGCCTCAGATTTTGCTCAGAGGTGATGAGCCGGCAAAGACTACATAAATAATTATTCTAAATTATAATATCCTGAAAAGAAAAATTCTACTTACATTCTGAGAGCACCCATTTCAAAAACTGACCAAAAATATTGGGGAAAATTAAATGCAAAAACCTAGAACATGCTGAGGCAACATTTATTTGGTGAATATTTTTGCTCCATTCCTTCAGCTGGAGTAAAATGTGGGCGTGTCAAAAATGTAGCTATGGTGTCTCTTCAGCGCTTACTTCTTTTTATACACTCTGCGCCTTTTTGATTATTTGGATTATTTTGCCCATTTTGTCTTTTTAATTGATACAATTTACTTCATTGATTGAAATATAATTTAAAAATTATAAGGGAATTAAATTAAAGCCGCGAAAAGCTTTCTTTGAGCCTGAACCACCTAAACATGAAAGTTAATAATACATAGACCGAAACTTAATTTATCAGCATAATTATATATCAGAACGCGCGGATAATATTTGGAATATTTGATAAGATTTTCTACTTTTCTGTACTCAGATACAAAAAAAGTACAGTAAATTTTTCAATGATTATAATTAGTACTTAAAATAAAAAAATTCAAATTTAAACAGAAATATAATTATTTATCCTTGCAGTATATCCTTGAAGAAAAATAAAAGATATATCAATTTTTTAGCAATTTTTTGATACATGGAAAGTTAAAAAAATTCACGTTTCACATAAGCACATTTATTTCCTAAAGCAACAAAAAAGCATCCGAAATCACTTATTTCTTCATAAAAATAAAAATATCACCAATAAGTTATACATAATTATGAAATACTGAAGTAATACATACAATCATTAGTACATACTCGTTAGTAATACAAATTCGGTCAGTTATAAACAAAAAAGAAATAACAGACAAAAAAAGACAAAACATATGTACATAAAAATTAAAAGTGTTAAGTCTCAGTATAATACAGCAACCTAAAATCACTTTCCTCAAAAAACCAGTGTTCTACAGAGTGTGTAGTTTTAATGTGCAAATTTGATAATATTATTACAGCTTACAAGTTTATAATGCGAATTATGACCAAAAACATCTCTCCTGCCACTGGAGATAAATAATATAATTAATTTGCTCACACCTATTTGATAATGAAAAGCTTGCTCGTGTCATATTATACAATTTATGATTACTGCGCCACTTAGGAAGCAATTTCACGCAATTTTCTCTGAAGCCAAATTTACTTTTATGCAAAAATAATGACACATCATTTTTGTTGATACCAAATTAGATGAGTTATTGTCATTGTGAGGTGAATTTGAACTTTTTATACAGAAATGCACAAAAATTATTTTTTGAAATATCCACACTCACAATTTCCTGAGAACCTAAATCTTCAAAAATTGATCAGTTTTTATGCAAAAGCTCAGGGATATAAATATGTGTAGTTCTGATTAATCAGTGAATTTTAGATGCACATCTAGTTTTTTGCTGAATGAAACTGCAGCGGCTGATAATATGATTAACATCGATGCTGGAATACAAATTTTGAACTTGCATCACACGAAATGTGTGGCACAATGGAATTGATTTTAATTGAAAACTAATCAAACCGAGTGCAAATATGACTCCACTTTACTCCGTAGTTGAGGACTGGAGAACGGCGAAAACCACGCAAGCGAGAAACGACCAAAAACGGACTGAATACTCTTCCACCTGCTCTTCTTCACCCAGCGAGCCTCTTCCTTCTTCAGTTGCTCAATACCCTAAAATTTGAAACAAAAGTATAAGAAAACTAATTTAACTAGTATCGATATGGAACATGTCTTAAAAATTATATTTCCAACTATTTTAACTAAAAAATTATCTTGATAAATGTTCAGACTTACAGTTTCATCATGCCAAATCGCCTGCATTTGGGTTCCTAGCATCACTGCCGTAAAGATGGCAAAAAGAAGTGCTTCGAAGACGAGGAACAAAAGAAAAACCACCGTTGCTGGTGGCGAGTAAACTGAGCACTCTTTCCACTCATGCCGTATGCAGAATATGAAGTGGTTCACCGATAGGAAGAGAGCATGAATCGAAATTAAAGCTATATAGAACTGAAACAAAATACAAAAGTAGTTAAATGTTTGAAAGTCATGAAAGTTGTAATACCTACTGTGAACAAAACAAAGTATTTTTGGTTATTTTCTCCCACACAATTGTTGACCCAAGGGCAGTGATGGTCCATTTTTCTGATGCATCTGCAATAATGATATGATTATAATATAATTTGTTTTTGGAGAAAGAAAAGATTTATTGAAATTTTTTTATAAAAAAAAAAACTGAGCAAACCTCTGACAGACTGAGCAGTGATGCGCCCGCTCTGGTTTAATACTGCAGCACTTGGGGCACTTGAAGATGACCTGACCTTCTCGAAAGCCCATCATGGAAATCATTTCCTTTGTGGCATTTCCCTTTGGCACGGCACCCTGCACAAAAACACGCCAAGTTGAAATTTCTCAAGGGTTTCTTTGTGGTGGTGTCAATTTCTCTGCTCTGTCCTTGTTTGCACACACATTAAGAATTCCATACAGCGTGTGCCGCTTACCGGATCAGTGAACATGGTGCGCAGATGAGAGGCGAAGGCCAGGAATGCAAAGAGTTGAAAAAGAATCATGTTGATTGCTGAGTAGATGGGGTATGGGCTGGGCAGCAGCATCACATAAATCACCACGAATTCGGCGTATAAAATCAGCATCCAAGTCATAATAGCACAAATGATGCCGCAAATGTCCTGAAGTGAAAATTAAAAAAAAAAAATAAAAATTAAAATCAAATTGAGTTGGGTAAGGGCTAACCTTGATACACCACACCATGCCATTGCAGCATCGGTTGTGCAGATCTGGCTCTCGTTTGTACGAGAGATGCTCGTATTCGATCATGTTAATTTACAAGGGGAGAATTAGACGAGAGAATGAGATCAATGAAATTTCATCTTTTCGTAGTTGCCGAGCTCGGCAGTCCCTCCTTCTTTTTTGACCTGCGAAAATTACAGGCGGCCTCGGGGGTAGTCGGTCTTTTCGAGCAGACGTGCGAAACTCATCTCCAGCACTCGGTGGCGCACCAAAGTCGGACGATTAATTGGCTCAATTCGAGATATAAAATAAGTTTGTAAAATTGCATCCGTGAGCGAGCGCAGCTGATCGTGTTTTCTTCGGCAGCGGCCACGGCCCTCGCCGTCCGGCCCGTCCGGTGCTGCCGGCGGCGGCAGCTTCGCCAACCACCGGCTGACAACAAAAACAATCGTCGCTTTCTCTCAAAAGCGATGCATTGATTCGCTTCTAATTTGATAATTAGTGCGATTTCCGGTTTCTCCACTGGCTGAGTATGTTGCCTTCGAGCTCAGTTTCAATTTTACTGTGAAAATTATAACCACTGCGTTGTTTCGGGTCGTTTATTTTGGAAATTTTCCACGACCTGCATGTTGCTTTCCTCCATTGAAGAAGCAGCTTGATGTTTGAACAAAACAAAATTAAACTTTTACTTTGCAAAGCTCTTATTTCTTAATATTATTTCCTTCCGAATTTTCATGAAGCTATTATTGATTTTCGTTAAGATTTAATGAAAAGTTAACATAAAATACTTTCATTACCGACAACTTACATTTTGTATCCATTTTCATTTAGATTTTTTGGCAGGTTTTAGAGCGTTCAAATGATGGTTGTACGAAACGACCCGAATAGACGGCGGAAACGTGAAGGTAGTGACACCCCAGTGGCTACCTCGGCTCAAAATGATGACATCGAGAAGAGGTTTGTTGTCTTTTTACTTCTGAACTAGTATTTTATAAAAAAAATGTAATTTTCAGGACCAAAGTTCATGCTCAGAGAAAGTTTGCACAAGGATCATCTTTGAGCAGTCCTTCCTTGACCCCTGTCAAGGACAAGACCAAGGCAAACGGATTGGTGCCTGAACCTGTGGCTGAAATGCTTCCAGCAAAGAGACCGAAAACCACTGATTTCCTAACATTCCTTTGTTTGAGGGGTTCGTTTCACTTTTTGTGTGGTTTATTTCCTAATTTCTTATTTGGATTAGGGTCTTCGTTTCTACCCACGAGATTGAATTTCTTCAACACACCACCTGCGCCTGTGAATTCTGATCAAGAGCCAATTGTCAATGGCCACACCACCAGCAAAGCAATCTCTTCCAAAGCTGAGCGAGCCCCGGTTGATCCGGTATATAAAGTTTTTATTATTATGAATAATTTTTATTATATGTGAATTTCCAGATGGTCAGCAAGAAGGTAAAGGAGATTGTAAAAGATTCAAAGAAAGCATCAACGTCGAGTACAGTGCAGGCTTTGAAAAGGAAGTACCAAGAGCAGAGGCTCACGTCCAAGACTAGATCTGGAGTGCTGAACAAACTTGCACAAAAGGGTAAAGAGTCATTTAAATATATGTATACACAATTTTTATTTAAAAATATTTCTAGCAAAAGATAAAAGTTTGTCAAGAACCAGATCGGGAGTGGTTATTGAAAAGAAACCCTCTCCCAAAAAGATTGTTAAAACAGTGAAAGTTGTAAAAACAAAGCCGGTGGTCAAAGCAGCGCCTGCCAAGTCACAGGCCAAAGATAGGCAAGTACAAATTTAGAACTCCTTTCTTTAAACTAATCACTCAAATTTTCACACAATCAATTTTCAACTTGATCAACATGGTATGGTTGATTAAGCTTGTTGAATGCCTGAGCTCATATTAAATTAAAAATTGCTTTAGGCGTTCCACCCGCAGTTCTGGAATTACTACCGAGCTGGCCTCACTTGTCCTTCCAGTGACAAAGAGGAAGAAGAGTACAGGCAGAGTAGGACTTAGAAGTGGTGGAAGAGTGGCGCCAAAAGCGCTCCCAATGACCAAGAGGACCAAATCTAAGGCTACTCCTTCCAAGGTAAATTCAAGGGAAAATGAATCAGAATCTGAAGAGTCTGATTCTGAAGAGGAAGAAGAAAAGCCAGAGGTGAATAAACCAAAAGCTGCACCTAAAGTAGCAAAGAAAATGCCTATCAAGAAATCTGCTAATGAGGTTAGTTACTATTTATTTGCTATTAAAAGATTTTCTAATGCTGTATTATAGGCTGCTAAGAAGATTTTCCAACTGGCAAAAACTGCTCAGCAGAAAAAGGCCCGTCTTCAGACTCGAAGCTCTGCGCCTGCTGCAAGTTCATCTGAAAAGAAGAGTGAGCCTAAAAGAAATTCCACTGCACCTACTCCGAGGTACTAAGAGGCCTTTCCAAAATTAAATTCTATTGTTTTGCTCTCGTATTTCAGGCTCAGTAGAAAAACTAAGGAGGCAGCAACAATTTACATGGAGCTACTGGGCCAAAAATGGATGAGTCCAGGAGACGAAGACGACGAGGATGAAGAGAGTGATGGCATTTCTCTTTACAGCTTCCCAGAGTTGCGGAGGCAGTCAGGTTTGACTTAAATGAAACTTTTTTAGAGCTTGATCGAAGTGTAAAAATTACAGCGGAGTACCTTAGACTCACCAGGGATTTGAATGGTATGTTCTTCACTTTGTTTTTTTATGTGTTTCAGAGGATAAGAATTCTCAATCGCCGGTAAACAAGCGGAGAAAAATCAACACTGACACCAAGCAAGAAGAGGAAAAGAAAGACACTCCTGTAAAACGACTGCCGGGCAGGCCTAGAAATGCAGACAAACCGAAGGAGACAAAAAATACTTGTAAAGCTGTGGCAGCAAAACAAAGTCCGGCAAAGAAGGCAGTCGAAAAGAAAAAAGAATCTTCTCCCATTCCAATGAGAAAAACAAGAGGCAGCATTGCTTTAGAAACGTTCAAGTCTTCTGATTCTGAGGACGAGACTTTGGATAAAAAGATAAAGAAATCTGAAGAGAAAAAGAAGAAGGAAGAGAAAGAACTGGAAAAGCAAATAGCAAAACCTGCCACTTACATGAGCAAGAAGGCAAAATCAGCCGCAATCAAAGCTCAAAGCATGAGCCAACTAGTGAGGTTTACAAAGAAAAAGTTCTTGAATGTGAGGAAATCTACTGAAGCGTGCATTCAAGAATTGGTTGCCAGCACTTTGGAGAGGCTTAACAAGCAGGAGGAGGAGGAAGCAGACGAAATTGACTTGGATTTAATCAACGAGCCTATCATTCCAAATAAAAAGAAGGAGCAACAAGCTGAGAAAATGAAGGAAAGTGCCGCTGAGAAGAAGGAAGTTGAGCCAAAAAAGGTTGATTCGAAACAGGGAAAGGAACTGATTGCCAAAAAGTCAGCCTCAGTTGTCCCACCACCGGCAAAGTTGCTCCCAAAGAGCAACGACAAGTTCTATGCCAAGAAATCTGCGGCTATTTACCCACCTTCTCCGGCCAAGTTGAAAAAGATGACCAAAGCTGTAAACGAAAAAGATGCAGAGAAAGAGCCCAAGAAAATTGCAGAAATTAAAATAGCACCAAAACCTGCAGTTACTAAACTTGCTGTTAGCAAACCTGAAGATCCAAAGGTTTTGCCTAATCTACCTCCAGCTAAAGCAGTCCAGATCACACAAACCGGTCAGATTGCAGCCCCAAACTTTGTAATGATTAATTCGACAAGCCAAGATTTGGTCCTCATCCCGTCGGCGTCAACGTCTGCAGCAACATCTCCGAGCAAGTACATCGTTTGTCGGAAGGAAACCATTGTAACTGCCACTGGTGGGGTGCAGTACATGATGGTCCCTACAGACAAAGTTGTGCTGCCTGTACCCCAAACACTGACCGTTCAACCTCCAACACCAGAAGCAAAGAAACCAGTGGCCAAAAAGCAGGAGCCGAAAGTAACAGAGGAAAGCAAAAAAGTGAAACCACAGAGCTCGGCCCAAATTCGTAAGTATATGTGATAACAGAGATTGACTATTTGATTTCCAAATTAAAAAGTATATAGTTTCTGACTAATCATACATTTTACTTTATTGTTTCATTCAATATTTTAAATCATGGGAGCGGTGCTGGCATGACCCTTTTATTTTGTACTTAGTTTTTAACTGTTTGTTAATCCACATAATTTGTAATGTTCTTACGATTATGTTCGGTTAGGCTTTTGGTTTGGAATGTGCCTGGTTTCTTTGAGATTATACTTGTGGATTGGTCCGTAGCAAAAGATAATTATTTGAGATAATTTATGTTGTTACATTTTTCTAGTCAGAGCCGTGCAATATGTTTCCATTGTAACCAATACTTTAGAAATAAAAGAATCACAGTGTATAGAAAAGTGTGATGTTAAATTGATGTGTACCTTACAAAACCCGACTTCTGTTGACTCGAGCTTTTGCTGCTGGGTTAAAATAATGTGGTAGTGGACATACTTTGTTGAAATAGCATGTTAGACTTATTATTTTTAATTAAAAAAAATTGGTGTGGTCTACGATTCTTATTTCCTCCTCTTTTAATACACCACCGGTAAGTTTGGTTTTACCTTTGAGCAAACTTCCCTGAACCTTCTACAATAGTGACCTATGTATTGTTTCAGCTGCCGGTGCCACAACCTCCAAAAAGGCTACAACGCAAGACAAGGGAGGCGAGAAAAAGGCCATTTTCAAAGGTGTTCGAGCAAAGAACGTGGCCAAGAGTGCAGGCGCCTTCAGTCCGGAGAAGGAGGACAGTGTCTACGCCTTTGATACTGATCCTGAGGAAGATACGCCGACCAGCCCTCCATTCAGGCGCAAGAAGGAGGAGTTGTCACCAGCTTCAAGCCTGAAGCAGAGCTCAATTGCTGTGCAAGTGAACTTTGACGAGAATGCTTCAGCCCCTGTGCAAAAGTCGAGTGCTCAGAAGACAAAAAATACAGTTGGAACAGAGAGCAAGCCAGTTGATGGCTCTGACAGACTTTTCTTCATTCCGATCCAACCTGGCGTCCCACTCAACCAGCAGATCCAGGGTGTAGAAGTGAAAGTAGGCACCGAAGGACCAAACCAGAGGGTGGTCATGCAAGCGAAACTAGTCACAAACCCGTCAGGAAAATTCGCATCGCCAATGAATGCCACAGGCCTCGTTAGGTTTGTGTTTCATATTGATTTCTGAATAGTACAAAATTAATTAATAAATTTGATTTTTTTTTTAATTAACATTGGGGGGATATCTGTTATGAATCTTTATTTTTTAATGATCATTTTGATAAACTTTTGCAGATCTTCTCAACACCCTGCTGCCACTGCTGGAAAAACAACCTTGAAAGCACAGCCAAAGAAAACAGGCCCACCAGCAGCCAAGACAACTCCAAAAGCATCGCCATCAGTGGCCCCTGCTGAAAAGAGCTCCTCATCAACAGCCTCCACCTCTAAGTCTTCTCCCCAAGTCACTCCTAAGGTGCAGGCACAAGCTGCCAAGAAGCAACCCGAACCGACTACGCCTGTGACCACAACAAAGAGTGCACCATCAACGCCAAAACCTATAACACGTAAAAGTGTACCTAAGAAGTATAAAGTTTATTTTACTTTTTAAAGACAACCTATTTATTCCTCAAAACTTGCAGAGTGCCATTGCAGAGGCAAAGTAGTTTTGGAAATAGTTCAAAGGAAACGAAGGCTGTCAGATTATTTGAGCCTCAGCCAACGCCTGCCAAGTTCCCAACAACTGGAGGTACAGATGGCACTGTTTTCGAAGCACCAGTTTTTCGTCCCACAGAAAGGGAGTTCCAGGATCCCTTCGAGTACATTGAGAAAATTAGTGCCCAGGCTGAGCAATTTGGCATCTGCCGAATTGTACCTCCATCTTCTTTTAAGGTATGCAGTTGTTTTTTGAAAATAATTTGACAATTAAAAATATATTTTCCAGCCGGAGTGCAAGGTCAGTGATGACATGCGATTCATGGCTTACAACCAGTATGTGCATAAGATGGTGAACCGCTGGGGCCCGAACGCCAAAGAAACGGCTGCCATTAAAAAACTTTTGAAAAAGCAGAATGTGGCTTACACTCATCCTCCATGGGTATGTAGAAAAATAACAAATTTAGTTGAAATAATATTATTGTGAAATCTATAGATTGGGGGTATGGAAATAGACCTGCCAAAATTCTCGCAAACGGTGCGCAGTCTCGGTGGGCTAAAGGGAGTGATAATGAAGAAGCGCTGGCAAAAGGTTGCGGAGGCCATGAAAATTCCAAAGTCGGCTCAGGACAGGGTATCCAAGCTGGATGAAATTTATTGCCAGTTTCTGCTGGCCTATGACACTTTGTCACCAACTGAAAAGCAAGAGCTGCTTGACGAAGTGCAAAAGGATTGGGACGAGAAACAGCAGAACGACGATGGCTCGTCAGACGAAGACGAGGATGTTGATGACAATTATGATGAAAGTGAAGAATGCATTGCTAAGGTAGGTTGCTTAGAATTTATTGTTGGTTTGCTGACACCAGATGATCAATTTAGACTTCAAATTAAATAACTTTTTAATTTTAACTAAGAAATTTTTAAACTTTGCAGGGTCGAAATATGCCCCTAAGTGCGTTTTATCGCATTGCTCGAAACACAATGAGCATGTGGTTCAAAACAACTGAGCCGCCTGCCACTGAGGTGGAAGCCGAATATTGGCGCATCACCCGAGAAAGAACCAACCACGTGTGCGTCCACTCTGGCAGCATTGATTCTGGGGTCTGGGGCTATGGCTTTCCAACAAACAAGAACAGCTCCTGCGCCAAGCATCCATGGAATCTGAAGGTGCTGAGCAACAACAATGGCACCATCCTGCGCAGCATGGGATCAGTGATGGGCGTTACGGTGCCCACTCTTCATGTCGGAATGCTCTTTTCAACATTCTGTTGGTACAGAGACCCACACGGTCTGCCTTGGATCGAGTACCTGCACACCGGCGCCAGCAAAATTTGGTAATAATAGCTTCCATAATAATTTGACTTTGTCATATCTTTGTTTTTTAAGGTACGGAATACCGAACAGCCACAGCACATCTTTCAAAAACGCAATGACGACTATAGTGCCAAAGTATTGTAGGGATAAAAACATTTGGCTTTCATCGGACACTGCAATGGTATGCTGTCAGGAAAGGAAAAAAAATTTTTGCTCTAATTGATGTATTCTATTTAGGTGCCTCCTGAACAATTGATCTCACACGGCGTCTCTCTTTGCCGAACCGTGCAAGAGCCTGGCCAGTTTATTCTTGTTTTTCCAAGGGCATTCACCTCGAGCATCAGCACAGGATACCTGGTCAGTGAGAGCGTCTACTTTGCTCAACCCCGATGGCTGAAAACTGCACAAGCTGTGTTCAGGGTCAGTTCTTACATCTTCTTTTCCACACAAATTTAATCTCGTCATTCAGGAGCTGAAGGATAGCAGCGAACCAACAATGTTCTCCCTAGAGAGGTTGCTCTTCAGCATGGCTGAGGACAATCGCTGCAGCACAGATGTACTTAAGATGGCTCTTCCCTTGATCAAAGCCACTGTGGAGAGAGAGGAGCAACACAGGGACACTCTGAAGTTGTTAGGTCTTAGAAGTTCAGAGCGTCTACCTCTTCCGGAGTCTTCAAAAAAGGCAAGGAGTAATTCCGAAGAGGACAATGAATACGAGTGCGAAGTCTGCAGAGCCAATTTGTACCTGTCACTTGTAAGAAAAACCACACATTTGTTTTAAAATATCAAATATTAATTTTTGAAAATTTATCAGGTGACAAATTCTCAAGAAGAGGCCGTATACTGTCTCCCCCATGCAATTTCCGTCTTGAATAATAAGAAGCACCAATTAAAAAACAGCAAGCTCCTGTACACCTATGATTTAGTATGTAATCATAAAATAATTTAAAAATGATATTGACGTTTCTTTTAAGGACGAGCTGAAGGAGTTGCTGCTCAACGTTGAGGACAAAATTGAGACCAAAGGCAGCAAGAAAAGCGCTGGAAAATAGAGACTGACTTTTGGCAACCTTGCATGACACTTTGCCTTTTGCTGAATCCAAAATTGTACCCAATTGCCTTGAACACCTTTGATAATTTACTCCGCCAAATGACGTTTTATCTATCAAATCTTTAATAGAAACAAAGAGCACCCCTTTAAATGCATGTTGTGAAAGATATATCAATATTTTTACTACAATATTGATGCAATTATGTGTACTAGTTAAAATCAGGAATATTGAGTGTTCACCGCTTTAGGCTGTGTGCTTGCTTATTACCCCTGCTTCGTTCCCTTACTTTTATGTAGCTAGATGCATTTGAGTGCAGAGAGTGATTATCAATGAGTTAGAGTGGATGTTTATTTCTTATCAATTTTATTAACTCACAGTTTTATGATACTTTAAAATAATGTTTTGTAATGCCGACCTTCATTGTAACTTGAGTATTTCATTAAAAATAAAATTGGCCTCTTCTGCGCTCATTATACAATCCAACTGTCTCAATGCTTAACTAAAAAATTTAATGAGAACGGAAATAAGACAATGCCTAACTTTTTTCAGTCAATAAAATTTTTGTATTGAATTTGCCAGACTGATTTGCGCCTTCTTGACATGGTTAAGCCATTGGTTCTGGTTTGCTGTCTTCAAGCTTATCAATTCACACTCACTACAATAGTGCAATGTGTGCGGTTATCTTCTAAGCCTACTCCAGTAAAAGTTTTTTTAGGGGTCTAACTTTAGAGGAGATTGCAGAATATAATGAGAAATAAACATAAAACAGCAATTGTGCAAACATATTTTTTTCAAATTATGTAAATATTTTACTTTGTATAAACAAACATCAAAATTTTAACTTTCCATGCTCTTTGACGTGCAGTGGCCAAACGAGAGCTATTTTTGAGTGGCTCAAAGTAAAACCACACAAAAGAGCGCGCCGACCGTAAAATTTTGTTAGTGCAAAGAGACGCGTAAAACTAGAGTGCCGTCTGTGTGTGTTGAGTGCAATTCACGATTTAAGTGCAAAATTGTTTTGTCTTAAACGCAGCGGCGAAAAAGTGCTTGCACACTCCACGCGCTGCTGTTTATGACGTCATGAAACTGTACTTAGATTGCTGACTGCACATTACTTAATAATACTGCACTAGGTCAGTAAACCCATCCATCATAAAAGGCATAAAGCGCGCGCCAGAGATATATGCGGGGCAATGATGTAGAGGGAGAGTTTGAAGTGTTTTCGCCAAATCGAATCCAAGGCATTTGGGTTTTTGGCGGACCTCCCGATGGTTGGGCCCTTTTGATATTAATATACCGTATTTTTCATTCTTTGTTTATTTTATGAAAAAGAGAGCGGGCGTGAATGTGGACCGATGAAAAAAAAGTCCAGGAGCAACACCGTTATATGTGTTCCTTTTTATTCGCGCCGTCCCAGACACGCTTTCTAGTTCAACCGCCTACTTGTTCAAAAGAAAGGAAGGATGAGGATCAGCTCTGAAACAAAAATTAAATCTGATCCGTTTTATTGGATGGACATTATTTAACTGTTTAATTACACTTTTTAACTCTTTGTCAAATCCATTTATATTAAATGTGGTATCTCTTTTAATCAGCTTAATCCGTTCACTAATTCAGTCCAAAACTTAAAGCTCAGCATTAGAATATTTAATCTATAATAATTCCTCGTTAGTTGGACCAATTATTGTTTAGTATTAAGAATAAACCATCACTTTATTTGTGTTATTGTTAATTAACTTGTTTACTTGAAGTATCAATTAACCCTTTTAGGCTTTTAAGTTAAAGCACAAAGGATATAGATTAAAAGCATTCAAGGCCAAATCAGAATTAAAGCCAATTTCCATGAGGCCGCCTGTCGAGAGTCATGACATTAAATCAACACAATTAAAAGAAAAAAATAATAAATAAATTTTTCAATCCCAAAATCATATAATTTTCTCATAAATTGGTCAGTTTAGTGAGATGGTCCGAATTTCCATGTGAGAATTCCTAAACCAATTAACTTCATTAGGCCTAAGTTATATTGTGTAAATTTCGTGCTGCTGATTCATGCGCTAATCGATTTTTCGGCAAAGGCGCGCAGTAGTAGTTTGTGTAATTCACACGCAAAAGAAAAAATAATAATAGTTGCACGTTTTTGCTAAAAAAATGTGACATTGTCGGCGCAAAGTGGTCTTTTCTCATTAGTAATGTCCCGCTGACTCACCTTCAGTCCTACTGTGTGTGTGTGTGTGGGTCTGAAATAAACATATTGACAATTAAGACCCTCGCAAGCATACGCAGCCAACATAATTGTAAAAAAATGCGTATGTTCTTTTTAGTGACAGAGAGAGAGAGAGAGAGAGAGAGAGAGAGAGAGAGAGACCGCATGCGCTATCCAGTCGCGGCGTTGGCTTCGATCGAGCAGAAGGGGCCCTTTTATGTGCATCGCGTCAGAGAGTGTTGGGGCCAGCTCGGAACAACAGGTTATCCTCCCGCGGCTGAAGCTTCGCACGTGTGCCGGGAATTATTGCGACTTGAATTTCCGCCGAAAGGAAGAATGATGAAGAAATTCGGCGCACTGTAGTCAAATGCCTAACGGCGACACGAATCTTCAAAACAACAAATCTCAAGACAGCTTCTTAAGCGGCGATTGATATACCAACTTAATTTATATTTTTAGGTAAGAAAATGTTTTTCATTTGTTAATTCTTCACTCATTTAGAATATTTAAAACTTTCAGTTACTTATTTGACTTATTTTAATATATATTATTTTGAATTAATTTTATAACTGCTGAAAATCAAAGTACGTATGCTTGACTTGCTTAGTTGCGACCGGTACAAAATAATTTGATATTTTTGTTTGGGGGGAGGTACATATAGGAGCAGCCGGTTTTAAGACGCAAAAGCACCCTATTGTATGAGTGCACAGCTGTGGCAGCTGGTATCATGTATACAGCAATTTTTGAGAATTTTTATTTTATTTTAATAAAATTGCAGATATAGAATAAGTGGGAAAAAAATTCAAATTGACTTTAAAAAAAATACAGATTTAACTTTGATACCATTCCAATACCATTTCGATCTGGAATATTTTTGCTGCTAGATAGGTTTTTAGCAGTTGGAAAGAAAATGAGCTCTCAAATAGTCAGATTGTGGAATTTTTCACATCTTCAGATGTTATGCGACGCATAATCGATGATATTCATACAACTGTTTTGCAGTTTTTGGAGCGTTTCCAAGCATGCGTTCAGCGCTCAGAATGATAACAAGCACAATATTACGCTTTACACTTAAAAAAATTTCAAATAACCTCCTTTTATTGAAGATAAATAGGATTACTTATTTAATAATTCAAAAAAGGTGTTCTAAAAGTTTAATTTTTTTCAATCTAACTTCTCTGGAGAAAAACTAAGTTTCACTGACTGAAATAGTTCCAGAGCTACACTTGTTTAAAAAATCAATTTTAACCCTGTTTGTGTAACTGCTTTACAAACTGCTTAGCAAATAATCAAGTTAATTTTTAGCTTCAATTATTTGCATCCGCGTGTATTTGCTATTACTTAAATAAGTAAACAAATTTGCTCTCTGTGATCAAAAGTCTCAGCGAAAAGCAGTTATGTTAAGGAAAGACTATAAATTTGAAGTTTGCTCCTCTGCTAAATAATTCATCATCCAAAGCCCACGCAAGCTAGTTTTATTAAAAGATGATCCCAGAACCAAATCAATATTTTGCTCCTCTCTTTCTCGTCACGGTTTTATTTTTTGGGCGACCTCATATTGCTCAACGCTATCATTTGCTGCTCATGACAGTGAGTGAAAAAGGGATGCGTCCCCTGTGACTTGTGAAAGCCCCACCTGGATGTATACCACCTGACATGCACGCATTTTGCGCTTCCTTTGGCGCTCCTATCAAGCGGAAATTGTATTTGTGTCTTTTTTACCTGCCACTTTGTGTTCAATTTCATTCTGCCCACATGCAGTTCCTCTCTCTCCAAAGGAACGCACTTTCATCATTACGCACCACCCGCAGGGATAAATTTCACTTTGAAAATTCAACCCCTGACAAAAAGTCGTTTTCGTAACAATGTCGTTACCGCAGATTTTTGGCCTAGCTTGAAGATATGATCAATAAGTAATTAGCTTTGCTTGGGCTCAAAGGAAAAGCCCAGCGGCTTCTTCTCTAACGGAGAATAAACCGCGATTAAACGGACTTAGAAAGGGATGAGATTGTAAGACCCGCGTGCAGAAAATCTCATTATCCTCTCCTCTTATCCACCGTCAAAAATCATATTTAAAAAGCCAAACGATATCGTTTATAAAGTAGTTGCAAACTTCTTTGATCGTTTTAGATGTATCCATTTTTTAAGTCTACTTCGATGTTCATGAATGGATTTATCTTTTGAAGTCGATTTTTGAAATAAATAATTAAATTGTTGAATTCTTCACCTTACAACTAATAAAAATATACAGTTAAAGAATAATAAAAAAAGATTTAATTTAATATTTGTATTAATAGTAATGAAAAATCTACTTTTTAGGGTGTTATTATAAAATCATTTCATATATTTATGAAAAAAATTTATTACCATTTTTTTTCTAATTTTAAATTAGATAATTCCATTTGAAGGTTACAAAAAACTGAAATTTAGAATTTTTCAACAAAATTGTATTACTTTTTTTTATTGCGAATTTTGGTCGGATTGAAGCCGCCTCTCACTAAAGATATTTCGAGAAAGCCAAATAGACTTAAGTACACATTCACAAGTTTGTATATTTATCCTACACATCAAAATGTACAAAGCTACAGCAGCGTGGTGCTATGCGCCACCTAATCTCTTCAATAATTATCACAATTAGCATGTATTGCGTACGTGAAAAAATTTTACAAATATAATCAATTGGAAATTGCACGTTTTTGCCTATCGATTTCTGCAGCTAATTAATTAATTATCAAACAAACACAAAATCGACCGAAATTGAAATAAAAACAAAGCCAAACAGTTACAGCCAAATTACATACCTTTTACTCAGCCTTTTGATAACACACTGACATGGAGGTTTGACATTTGATGGTGCGGCTGAATGGAGCTGTATTAATGCTGGAATAATTCACCCTGCTATTTTCATTGCTCAAATGTATAAATGTGTGACATATGCAAGCTATACAGACCATGCTCTCTGTTTATTGTTCGGCTCGAACATTATTAATATTATTATGTCACACTCGGCGTTAATCTGCCAACCTCGCGGGCAACAAACGCACCCTGCATATAATAACATGGAACACTGCAGCACCACAGCGTAGTGTGTTTCTGATGGATACACATCCACCTCAGAGGTTATTATAGAGTTACATACATAATAAAGCAACAGGGCCCGTTTGCGTGCAGCGCGCGACCGCTCGACCAAAACAGGTGGTTCACATTATTTTCAGTGCAATTCGGTCTCTCGAATGCGGAAAATGAGGCTACACCGCAGCACAGCTACCTGCTAGTTTCCCTTGCAAATCCAAATAAATAATAATATGCGCCTTGCCAGATGTGGAACAAAACCAACGGTCGCTTTGTATTTGTTCGTGGCCTGCGCAGAGCCCGAGCATTTTTGACGTGGGTCGACCATGTGAGGTGATTTTGGAAATGGAATTAATGCCCGGAAATAAATTTTGGAAGTACATCAGATTGCAATGCGTGAGACTTATTAAGCTATATTTTGTAAAAAAGTATTTTGGATGTGCCATAACTTCTATAAAAAAAAAAATTTGCACTGTAGTGAAATAAAACTTTTTAAATGAAATTTCCGGAAAAATATAATGGTTTATTATTTATTCATAACTTACATTATTAAAAAAAAATAGTTCAAAATCAGGGACATTTTTTTTCTATTTTAACTCAATCATCATCTCGCTATATAAGTGGAAACAGTTGATTATTTTGATCAAATTTAATTTATTTCCATTTTAAACCCAATATTATATCTAAACTTTAAATTATTTATTTTATTTAATTCTAATTGCGCAAACCCGTATTGAAAATCATGATAAAACGTACCTTTTTTTCTTTTTGATATTATTCCCTTTTGTGCTTCTCCTTGTCTGTTTATTGCACATTCCGCGGTTTGATACGCTACAAGAATGCGAAAATAATCTTTTCGAAAGAACCTGGCTGAGTTGAAATTGGAAGTTAGTGTGGCATTCCTCTTGCACTTTGCGGTCAGATCTCTCAGCGAAACTGCTTGATTTGATCAAAAGTGTTTTTTCTCTGGTTTTATATTGCAGCGTCTATTTGTGACTAAATTACAAAGAAGATAGGCGTCTCCTGTAGGGGCATTTTCACAAAGATATGCGAGATAGAAAGGAGGAAAATATATTACTTTTGCATGAAAATAATCTCTTGTTAAAAATTGCAAAATATTAAATACTTGTATATTTTTCCCCATTATTTAGTATGAGAGAAAACAAATTAATTGGATTAAAATTTGTTGTTTTAAAAGAAAAATTTAATTATTAAAAAAAATTAGGTTGCTAAGAAACAACCCAACATAAACTAAATCAATATCTGAATATCAATACCCATAGTTGATTGAATTCAAACCACTTAATTTAAGTTTTCATGTATAAAAATTGATCTTGCCTAAAAATCATAGTTAATTTTCCTGATATCTTACTTAAAAATAATTGCATAATAAAAAAACTCTCCTTTAGTAAAAAAAAACCCGGATTATTTGAAATTGTCATGAATTCATAAGACTGTTCACATTTTTTGTCATTTTATTTTAAAATTTTGAGACAAAATGTAAGTAGGCAGACAAAAATTTTGGGCGATTTTTAACAATAACCTTACCATACTCTTTCTTGTAATTCATATTCAAAATATTTGTAAATGTTAAAAAAAAAATCACAAGTTTAAATTACAAGTATTACAACTAAACGCCAACGGTTGTATCAAGCAGTATTGAGATGATTCTTCATTATACCAAACCAGACATCGACAGGCTTGGCACAATTGCGTGCATTATACGCTCCGTGTTCCCTAATTATAAACGCATTGTTGTTATTCCAGTGTAGGTCGAATAGTTAAGTGCACGTTCACGTTTACAGTAAAGCGCAATTCACTTAATCCGTGTACACAAACAACCCCCGGTCCATCGCCTGTAATGATCAAGCTCCCGGGTTCAATTCAATTTTGCGCATAGTGACCTCAATGATTAATAATCAATCAACATTGCGGATAATACGCACGCAAACCCTTTTGTAATAAAACACGCATGCTGACGTCACCGATCAAAATAAAAATTTTAAACACAGGTGTGTTTTTGTTTATTTCGCCAATAACAATTTCCATGCGGTGACTCAGCACCGGTGATTGATTTGATCACGTGAATATTCCAACATGTTTTCGAACGCGAAAGGTGCGCTCAAAATGCACAACGTGGTCGGGAACAAAATGCACTTGGACGGACCTTGACATCAAAAACGCAGCCGCGTTGTTGGGATTTCAAAAACTCTCTCGCTGCAATAATTTGATGTTCTCCGGTGCAGCTCATTTTCCCACAACCTTCAAGGCGTGGGTCGTGAAAAACAAAATCTTGGCTCTTGAGAGGAAAGGAAGAGTGTGAATTCGTGAAGGCTCCAACAAAAAGCGAGTCGTCGCTCCTTTTGTTTTCCTAGGTGGGCTTCCGGTGATATAATTCATAAGGTGTCTCATTAAATTATAGTTTAGAGAAACCAACAGAACAATGAAAATTGAAAAGAATAATTACTTAAAAAAAAAATTGCATAATTTTCACTGAGAAAAATTACATCATTTATTACAAATAATGAAAAATAAATCAGCTTAAATAAAAATGAACTGGTTTTTATTGCTGAAAGTGTTCTTTACTTTTTGTAAATAAAATTTAGATGTAATTTTTCATGAAATATCAACTTTAATTTAACAAAATTACATATTTCACATTTTTTTCTGCATCGCGAAGCTTCAATCAATTATCTAAAGCTTTGCATTAATATACAATTTTATTTAAATCCAGTTATATAAGAGCCGGTTGAGCCATAGATTGGATTTTACTCTGAATCGATCTGCTCCTTTGCACATTCCCGCTGGCAAATATTTGAACGGAATTCGCTCGCAGTTTATGTCCGTTTTCGGCGAGATATAAAAAGGGTTATTTCAAATAAGTTGAGTGCTCACATAGCAGCATTCAGCCGTAGCGCGGCAAAACGCATGCCGAGAAAAACTTTGCTGATTGTGTGAGAACGCCGATGATGACTGTATTACAAAAAAATGACGAGGAATCCTCGGAGCAATATTACGTCATTCTTAAAGACTCATACGTTTGCTACGCCTTAACGATGACGTCTTTCGGTGACCTCTAAAATTCCTCAACTTGTCGGAAAGGTGGAACTTGCTAATCGCGTAGGAAGGAAAGATTGTTTGATTTGCCGCCCAACACTTTTAAAATATTGAGTCACAAAAAATCGCATTAGAAGGGAGCAGAAAATTTTAACGTGAATTATATTTCTTTTGCAAAAATTTATATTATATTATAATTTTTTCTTACTTTCAGTTTTTATTTCTAATAGTAAAAAGGGGAAAATTTGAATCATTTCAAATAAACTATTTAGTATTATTTTGTCTTGATTGTATACAAATAATTTAAAACAATTAAAAAATTTTTGTTAGAAACTAACAATAATTTGGGTTTGCAATTTATATATTTTTTTTTGTATTATCAATAATTAGACAATTTGTGATTATTTTCTAATTTCTAAAGCTAACGATCCGTTTAAAAAAATGAAATCATTATAATAACTCGAAAAAATTGAAAATAAATGTTAAAACTTTGCATTTTGGGAGCTCTAAATTACCCACTCTTATTATACATTTTACTGACCTACTGACTTTCCTCATTAGAGTCATTATCCATCTCATCCATCGGATTAATTAGCTTTCAATTTGTCAGTCCGAATCGAGGCAGTAATTTGTCACAGCGTGCGGAGCTGGTCAGATGAGCCTCTCTCCTCTACTTCTCTGCGAGACGAAGTTCTCAATTTGGTCTGCAATTGGAGCCAGAGCAAGTAGCGTAATTGAAATAAAGCGTCGTCTCCGCTCATGACACTTCTTAGTCGGACAGATTGATTATTTTTTGTTGTCGTTGAGGAAGAAAGACGGATTCATTCGCGTCTTATCTAATTCACTTTGGCTGACTGGTTTTCCTCGGCAAAAAGCTTTGCTCGGCGGGATGCTTTTGGGTCGCGGACAATCACCGTTGGCGAAAATACAATCACGCTACATGCACTTCCTCAAAACAATTTACCGTTTACTCAAAAATGCGATTTCGAGCGGGGTGTTCATTTTGCATGCAAGTGGAACAGAACAAGTGGAGTAATTGAATTTGTGTGATCAAGGGTAATGATAAAGAACCACATACTTATTATACTTAAGTGCCTCATTTGAATGAATTATTCCTTAAATCAAATTGCAATACTGATTTTTTTTTTAATTTTCGAAACATAATAATATACAAGTTTCTCTTTATATTAGATAGTTTTTGGTAGCATTTGACCTAGGCATGCAAAACAATTTTTTGTTAATGTATTAACAACATAACTTCAGCGTTTCGTTCATAACCTTACCCACCTTACCTATATAAAACAAAAATTCGACAGTCAATATATAGTGACTTAATTGCAAACGTCAGTTTGGGACTGATTGATGAAATAATAGATTTTTATCCTTTTAAAACACACCCTTTTTTGATAAAACTCAACCGTTTATATATATTCTTATCGCATATTCCTTGTCTTGTTTGAAAGCAGTTCCAATATTTGACCACAACTTATTCATGTATTTTTCCCTGCTGCCTTTAGTTTAAGAAATGGCTTCGATCAACGCAACCGACTTGGAAAAATTGGCGCAATGTCCGCCGGGCCTTCTGCTGCCCTTCCTGGAGGAGTCCCACTGGAGCGTTGGCCTCCGAGCCACTCTCTACATCATGGGATTGCTCTACTGCTTCTTGGGCATCGCAATCGTCGCTGATGTGTTCATGGGAGCAATCGAGATTATCACCAGCAAAACGAGGAAGGTCTATTTGGCTTCAAACACTCAAGGCCAGGAGCCAGATGTTGTCGAGGTAGGCCAAGATTATTGTTTTTTAATCCTGTATCAAAATAACAACTTTCGTAATAATTGCTTATAATGTTGAAACAAATTTTATTTTGTATTACTTTTATTAGATAAAATGTAGAAAAAACGCATACATACTAATTAACGTGATTCAATACCAATTTAGAAGAATTAATTAAAATTTTGATATTTTTTAGCGTTATAAACGTAATTAATATGTTAAAAAATGATTCTCTAGATTCATGGTATTATTATTTTTGTTTAAGCCAAGTAATAAACTTTTTTTAGCAATATAAAGTTCAATAAAATCGCTCAATATTTCATCTTTGACAATACACAAAAAAATATCACAAATGAATTGAAAAAATGTGTCAATGGTTTTTAAAAGGTCAGGATATGGAACGACACGGTGGCCAATTTGACGTTGATGGCCTTGGGCTCGTCGGCTCCAGAAATCTTGTTGTCCTGCATCGAAATTGTGGGCAAAAACTTTGAAGCCGGTGAACTTGGCCCGGGCACGATCGTCGGTTCGGCTGCTTTCAATCTGCTGATCATCTCCGCCGTCTGCGTGGGCGGCATTCCGGAGGGAGAAACCAGGACCATCCGCATGATCAAGGTTGGTCGTTAATTAAGTTTGCCTTTAATTGCGTTCCCCAGAGAGACGCGCCATCAATTTCCAGCTTTCAACAAACATGCAAACGCGGAAAGAGGAATAAATACAAATCTTCCGGGAAAACGTTTTTTAGAACAACGTTTTTTGCCTTCAAATTTAGTGAAAAATTCCTAACGAGAAAAACTAATTAATTAATTTTGAAGAAAATAAACATAAGAACTTCTTTTTAAAATTATTAATTCAAGCTTAAAATTTCCCACAGGTCTTTGGAGTTACTACGATTTTCAGCTTGTTGGCGTACATCTGGTTGTTGGTGATCGTGGCGATTTCGTCCCCAGGGATCGTCGAGGTGTGGGAGTCGGTGGTCACTTTCATGCTGTTCCCGGCGCTGGTGCTTGTGGCCTTTGCGACGGACCGCGGCTTTATCTGCGGGGTCACCCGCTTGCCAGGGCAAAAACAAATTGAGTTGGAGCAGCCAGACGGTATGGGCGAGGGTTCGTATTTGTGCGCCTGCACCCAGCATGCCATTGGGCCATTGGTTTTGCACCCCTTGTAAATTTTATATGCTGTCGATCGGGCACCTTTAAATGCCGCTAGGGGTATACAATGGTGTGCACCGAACTACACACACAACAGTGTCTGTGACGTTTTTGGCTGTTTCTTATGGTGGAAGGCTCTGTGGCTTTTTGGTAAAATTTACAATTTATTGTGTTGTTGAAAAGGCATTCACAGAACTTTATATAATGCTTATCCTGAAAATCTTTTTTTTATGTTGATAAATTTTTATTCTTTTAATTAAATAATTAAATTGCTTTTACTGTGAATTAAGGAGTACATTAAAATTAAAATACAGACTTTAAATAATGCTTTCAATATTTTTTGTTTTTGTTTTCAAGATTTACAATTTGTCGGTTTGCATTTTTAAACACGCTTATTATCTGCTCTTTCGATAAAGTTCAAAACTGTACTGTCTCTGTGTGGTGTCCTATGTCCTATGTTTGTGGAAATCAAATGTATTTTTGGCTTCAACATTTTTTACAAAAAGCAGCTTTCTTTTATTTGATGAATATTTCAGGTGACAAGATGATTACCACCAGGGGTTTTTTCAAAAACGGCGTCTTGGAAAAAGACTCTCTCGTCGCTTTTGTAAAAGAGGTCAAAAAATACCCAGGCCTTTCCGACGAGGACGCAGCTTTGCTCGCCGCTCAAAAGTATAAATCTATGCCCTTGGTTTCAAAAAATTTTTATTTGTATTTTTTTTTCGTAAAAGGCTTGTAGAATCTCAACCTCACTCCAAAATGTGGTACCGAATTGGGGCCGTCAGGAATTTGTCTGGTGGACGGAAAACGCAACTGCGGCTGACCAAAAAGCTCAAAGAGGTAAAGGACCGTGTTGAGATCTGTTATATTTGGTGAACAGTTGCATGAAGAGCATGATTTTGGGGGAATTTAGGATACATTTAGAAATTCTCTAGTATTAGTATTATATAGAAACAGCAACTAATAAAAATCGTATTTCTCTGTTCTTAAAATTAATCTCGGATCGCAGAAATTGGATTCCAGGTTGAAACTGGTGAGCATATGAGGATCTCAGCGTCGTGTTTAAATGTGCTTTTACTAATCCAATAAATTTTTTTTTTTTATCCAGCAGATCTGTTTACAAATTAATTTTCATTAACTCTCACTTTATTTATTGTGCGCTGTCCTTTTTCTTTAAATTAATGCTTTCCTTCTGGAGAATTTTAATATTTTTCACAACGTGCATAACAGCATGCAAAGAAAAATCATTTGATGAGCGGAATATTAAATAACTTTTAAACAGGTCTATGACACGATTAATGAGCACCCAGAGGCTCCCAACCTTGGCCCCATACCTGAAACCGACCTGAGCAAAGCCATCATCGAATTTCACGCGGCGACCTGTGCGGTGGCTGAAAATATTGGAAAGTTCCCCATCACCATCGTTAGGCACGGAAAAATGGACGAAACTGTAAAAGTCAGGTATAATGAACTCCATGACCTACTTTAAACTTTAAATTTACAAAAAATCCAAATTTTTATAAAGAATCGAAAGTATTGATGGAACTGCGACAGAAATTGAGGATTACATTCCTGTAAATGAAGTCATCACCTTTGAGCCAAATGAAATGCGAAAGACGGTAAAAATTTTAATATTTCAACAGCACAATTTATAAACAAAAAATATTGAAACATCCTCAGGTGAATATTGAGATTGTTGATGACAACCAATGGGAGCCTGATGAGGAATTTTTCCTAAAATTAAGCTTGATACCTACAGAGAATAATGAAAATGTGCAGCTGGGTCACATGTCTATTATGGAGATAACAATCTTAAATGACGATGGTATATTTTTATTTTTAAATATTTCAACATTTTTGCCAACGCAAATCGTATATTCCTAGAACCGGGTGTTTTGTCCTTTAACAAGAGGGGTATCCTGGTACAGGAGAGTATTGGCATGGCAAGAATTCCCGTTGTGAGAACGGGTGGCGCCGACGGAGAGGTGTCCGTGAAGTGGAGGACAAAAGACAAATCTGCGTTCACCGGCAAAGATTTTAGGGGAGGAGAAGGAACTCTTACTTTTGGACACACAGAGGTTTTTACAATTGAAAAAAATCACTTCTTTGATCTAAAAGCTACTTTTTTTAGACTGAAAGAATCCTCGAAATCCCTATTATTGATGATATGGAGCCTGAAAAGGATGAACACTTTGAAGTTGAACTTTTTGAGCCCACCGGTGGCGCCAAACTGGGAAGCATTCCTCGAATGGCTGTCACAATCACAAATGATGATGGTTAGTATATTTTGTCAATCAATTTTCTATTAAATAAATCATAATTAATTTTAATTTCTCTTTAGCTTACAACAGCATCACAGATCATTTAATGAAAATGACCCACGCAAATATGGACGCCATGCGGACCCACCAAGACACTTGGGCCAACCAGATACGGGACGCAATGAATGTGAACGGCGGAGATTTGGCAAACGCGACCAACGTTGATTACCTCATGCACTTCTTGACCTTTGGCTGGAAGGTAAAATAATTTTAAAATGTACCATTTTTATTAAAAGTAATTTATCATCTCGCTTTTTCTAGATTATTTTCTCACTCATCCCCCCTCCCAGCCTTCTCGGTGGATGGCCCTGCTTTTTCTTTTCGCTTGCAATGATTGGAGTTATCACTGCGGTCGTGGGAGATTTGGCGTCTATCTTTGGCTGCCTGGTTGGACTGGAAGACAGCGTTACAGGTATGATTATATTTATTTACACATTGACTGAAATGTATGCAACCTGGAGAGCTTTAATGTTGAAATGTTGCATAGTTATGTACTTGCAGGAGCCTTGATCTTTTTCATAGAACAGATTGTCTATGATTAGAGATTTTATAAATCAACTCTCTTGAAGTTCATTTAACATTAAAAATTAAAAAAAATTTACAAGAATCTGTGATTAATGGTTTTAATCATTTTAATTTCATGAAAAAAAAAATTGATGAAACTAATATAATTTTATTAATTTGAGTTTTTTGTTCAACATTTTAATTCATTTATTTGTCATTCTTTTTATAGCCATCACCCTGGTTGCAATGGGCACCTCTCTACCTGACACATTTGCCAGCAAAGCAGCTGCCATGCAGGAGAAATATGCGGACAACGCTATCGGCAACATCACCGGCAGCAACTCTGTCAACGTTTTCCTTGGCTTGGGTCTGCCCTGGATGATGGCCGCCCTGTACCACTGGAATAAGGGAACGACCTTCTTCGTGCCCTCGGCAGGTCTCGGTTTCAGCGTCTGCGTCTTCACATTGGTCGCCGTGTTGGCGGTGATGCTCTTGATGGTCAGGAGGCACCTTTCCCTCTTCGGAAAGGCCGAACTCGGTGGCCCTTTCTGGCCTCGCGTGGGCAGCGTTGTCTTCTTGGTCGGTCTCTGGTTCCTCTACGTAACCCTTTCCTCCCTTCAAGCCTATGATGTCATCAAAGTGCAGTTCTAACTCGGCTTCTTAAATATATTTATAAACGTGTTTTGACTGTTTCGAGAATTTATATTAACTTTATGTGCATTTAGTTGCATTCCTAACTTCCATTTGTACAACTTTAGAATTAATTAATTTGATGGATGGAGAAAATAACCAACGTTCAAAATTTGTGTATCTATGCTGAGCTTCTTGAAATTGTAACAATTTCGCTTTAGCCTTTTGGCAAATTCCGTAATACTGTAATGAGTGATCTATTATGACTTAAATAGAAAAAAATATATTATAATATAATATTATTGCTGCTGGGTAGCTTATAATATATCAAATCACTATAAAGTGGTTCTTGCAAGAACAAATTTAAATAATACTTAACAAACTTTTGCTTTTATAGAAAAATAAAATTTGGGCATAACTTTTTTTTAAGGAATTCAATGCAGAAGGCGCAATGTTAAAATTTAACTGGTAGCTCTTCTTGATATACATGGAATTGCAAATCAATCAATTCTCAACCTAGCACTTATTGCCTTTTTTCTTAAATGTTTAATATATTCCAAAAAAGAAATTGTGATTTTAACTCATTACAAATAGTGTATTATCATAAAGGCAGCTAAAAAGAACTAAATTTTCAACTATAGAATTATCTATGTTTAACACTTAATATGGTGTTGAAATATTCTATAAGTTCTATTGGTGTTGAAAACATATAAAGAATTGAAAGTATTATGTGACGATCTTGACCAATAAAAAAGTACCTAAAATATTAAATGTGGATCTTCGAATGTTTAAATTACAAAATCCCATGGAAATAGATGAGAATTAATCTCCTTTATTATTAAAATTAATCTGATGAAAATAGGAACAGAACAATCCAGAGATGACAAAAAATAATTTAAAATGAAAAAAACTCCATGATTTGTACGAGATTGGAAGAAATTCATCCATAGGAGACAGTAAAGCCCATGTAAGACATGAGAGTGTCGGTCATTGACGTCCTCAGCTGTCGCTCCATGTAGACGCCCATGATTTCTCGGAGACCGGCGAGGAAGGCCACCTCCATCTGACGTACAATGGCCGGCGTCCGCAACCAGTTTCGGGTCCGCTCCTCCACACCGTCCTCGTCGGGGTCTGCCAATGAGCGGCGCCTGTGATTCAAGGGCTCCTCGCAGCCCTTGAACTCGGTCCTGGCGTTGCCTTCGGGCAGAAAGCGGGAGGACATGCGAGAGGTCGGCTGCACTTGCTGCCCGGCGCCTCGACGGTACGCGTCTCCACTCACAGCAACTTCCAACGGGGCACCGCGCATTCTGCGGGAACGATTATTTTTATTTACATTGATGAAAAACTTCCAATATTATGAGAAATAATGTTTAACTTAAAAATGAACGTTTTCACCAATAAAAACAAAAATATGGCAAATATGGGTTAACAGATTTCAGCTTGTTTTTTTATACCTTAATTTCCTTTTATCAACAAAGTTCTCTTGAACAATTAAATTTTGAATTTATTATTTGCTCGCTCTCATAATTATTTTGTCTTTCAGTGAAGTTTTATTGATATCTACATTAACTAAAGCATAAGTACTATATTTTATGCTCTATATTTAAATTTTAAATCTGTAATTTATTATAATATTCTTTTGAATCGCATTCGCATCTAAAGAATAATGAAAAATATGAGACATGACATAATTGTGCAAAATGAATGTTCAATCCTAATTTTTAGAATATTTTCCATTCAGAAATTTTCATTTCCCTTGCACTAACTTCTTTTATAGAAAGCGAAGGAGGAGAAACCGCGAGGCAATCATGACACATTTTTCGCGAATTGATTAAACGCAGCTTCGGTATATTTAGCCCTTGGCAAACTTGACGAGCGCGCATTAGCAAATTTTTCGCTATACAAACACGCCCACGATAATAACTGTGATGCACTTTTCGATACAATGGTCAAAATTGGCAATGCCTGCGTCCGTGGTTTCACCTACGCAGAGAGAGAAAAAAATAAACGCCGCTCTCATTTTTCTGCGCGCGCGGCACATCATTAATTATTTTTTTCCTTTCCTCTTGCCGCAGCCGGCACGATTTTCACGCTTGATGCGTCCACTTTATGTCATATCTGCGAGATGAGTGCGTTTATATGAGTGTGTTCAGAATCAGGCCAGCATATAAAAGCTTTTTTGAAACAGTACCCGAGGGAAACTTTGATAAATATCAAAAGACAAAGAAAAATTACGAAACACGAGCTTTTGTGAAATGGAGAAAATGTGACAAAGAATGACAAATTTTAATTTTCTTTGTTTACTGACAGTGAAGCAATATTTAATTATGTATAATTTTCACCTTAAGCGTTATTAAAACAATAAAATTGAATTAGTAATTTGGCCTGATAAACAAAAGGATAAAAATAATATTGAACAATTTATAATTAATTTCATCATTATTTAAAAAAATTATGAAAAAACGTAGATGTTACCTTTTTCTGAATTATGAAAAGCCATAAAGTTGCGAAGTGCACATTAAAATCTTAATTTATGAAATAAAATGTATCCCAAATTAACTCACCTAAGTGTGATGTCGCACTTGACATTATTAACCAGCCAAGTCAAAATGCCCAATGGAGATGTGTCCCGCAGCCGAACAGTTCCTTTGGCCAGAATCTCCCCAAAGACGAGATTGGTCATCAGGGTCGAGTTTGACCGCGAGAATCTGTGGTTTAATTTTTTATTATTAATTTTGAATACTTCTTTATCAATATTAATCAGATTCACCTGCACCGCTCCAGGTGACTCTGTCCAAGGCCTTGCACCTTTATGTTGGTGATGTACATGTCAAGCTGGGCGCCTTTTATCGGCTGGTACAATGTGATGCCCTTCAAGTTCATCACTTTTCCGGCGGGCTCTTCCATTTTTCGCCGCATATGCTCAAGAGCGGGCGCCAGTCGAGCGGCGCATGGTGGACTTCCTGGACGCCGAATTCTATCCTCTAGAGTGAAAGATACATTTTAAAAGTCTTTAAGTTTATTTCCTATATGTTTAATATTATTTTAAAAAATCACCTTAAAATAGTATTGTTTAAAAATGAAAAAAAAATGAACTTTTAAAATTACTTTGAGATGGGAAAAAATACATAAATATGGTAATACAAATTTAAAATAGCAAAGAAAGCACTTTTGAGAATGATGATTTCGTTAAAACTAGAAAAAAATTTTAAATTTCATTCATATCATATCATATTAAATTTTTTAAATTAAAATATATTCCTACCTTGGTAGAGTTCATCGGTTTCGTCCAGGTCATTTTCCGCACACGTATGGGCAGCCAGGAAGCAGAGGAGGACAAGTGTTTTGATCGTTGTGCTCATCCCTGGCACGAGTCCTTCGACATAACTCGATCCTCTTCAGGTGCAAACTGAGTGAAGAACTGCTGTGCTGTTGCTTTCTATCTTGTGGGACGAGATGAGCAAGAGGGTCACTCTCCTCCTCGCGCCGACGGACTTTCACCGCGCAGAAATTAACAAGTCGCTTATTTTGTACCTGAGACGGTGGGCGTGCAACCTTATCTTTGTTGTTGCAAAAAGGGGGGTGGACGGACCACCACTTCTACTTCCGTATGAATTAATTTAATAAAGTTGTCGTTCCTGTGAGAAAAATTGTGAATACCGCGTGGGAATGAAACGCTGAGGAAAAGCAAAGGATGCTTTTATTGCGACGGGAAGGTGACTTTGGTCTGATTGTGAGAGCAGCTTGATTGGGGAACAATTATTATTGTGACAAGATGATGAAGCGAATTTGCTTGTTCTCAAATGAGTCTGTCAGAGAATGCCTCTGAGACTCGACAACATAAATTTAGCAAATAATGGTTTGTAGGATACATGAAAAAAGTAAATTTTGAAATTCAAATGCATAAAAAAATTAAATATATTTAATTTTTTTTCATGTATACAAAAAAAATCAAATTACCCCTAAAAAGAGGCAAAGATATAAAATATTAAATGATAAAATGGTCATAAAGTTCATGTCATTTTCAGCTCTGATCTATTTGGTTGAATCTTTAATAAGAAAATCAACTCTTTTAATCCACGATAGACATTTGATTGGCAGCTCTCCTGGGAAATGAGTAAATTAAAAATTTATTAAAATCCGCTCTGTATATAAACGATCGCGCTTTGGAACACCATAGTAGTGCAATATTGACGCTGAGCTTTGTGAACAATGAATCTGAAAGGCACCGTTTCATTTGGTAAGTCTGATTTTGTTAATTTAAGCTTAAAAGATTATTTCAATTAAAGTGCTTATTCTTTTGTTTAAAAATTATAATGTTCAATCGGAGAGCAAATTTGAACATGAAAAGAGGATCACTTTCGCGCTGCGAGAACTACTCTTGAAAACAACCAGCGATGAGGTCCTGATCACATTTGATACAACCAGTATAATATTAATTAAATTTATATCAAATGATTTTCTAAGTGTATTTAGATGTTCGATTGGCTACAAATCTCTTGAAAGATCTTGAAAAGCAATATATCCTATCGCAAGCTCATCAAATTAATGATTTGAAAAATATGGAAAAAGTATAAATTTTATGCAAATTTTAATTGTTGAATTCATTGGTGTAAATTATTTCTGCTTGTTAGCACTGCAATTTAACAAGTGAAATGTTGAGAAAGAGAGGGGATGTCACGGAAATTTTTGTTGTATCACACCAAACAGCTAAAAACTATATGGAGCAGGTTAATCTTCTTATCAAAAGAAATCGTCTGGAAAAATTAAATTAATTGCAGGTGAAAAAGTCTGAACTGGGAGGAAGAAATTTGCGCTTAATTTTTATCTGGCAAAATTGGCCCAGCGGGTCTCAAAATTTGGCGGCTCAAACTGAAGCTGTGCGAATTGCAGTTTATTCTTGGTACTCAAATTCAAATATGTGAGTTAAATTTTAATTTACTATTTTCGAATAAATTTAAAAAGTTTCAAACTTTTTTCGACGCATTCTTATGGAAAGAAACCAACAAAAATGTATCAAATCAACGCTTGGAACAATAAGGAAGGATTTACGCACATCCCGGTTTTTGTACCCATGAAAGAAGTATTTAGCAATATGAAAGGCCGATTTTTGCGAGTTCCTGTTTTACACGCAAGTTTTTACAGCAATGAAATTTTTTGATTTTTATAATAATAAAAAAAAAATGTTAGAAACCACCTTGGTACTTTGTGAAAAAGGAAGGAAACGTGTCTTTGGAGGTGGTTGGCGGCAGGGACCATCAGCTTTTGAAAGAAATTGCCTCTCGGATGAATTTTAAGTTTGTTTTTTTTGCTATCACAAAATTCAAATTGCAGAAATTGTGTGTATAAAAGATACAAGTACTTGGACCCAACGGAAAAGTCACAAGGGATTCCCACAGGCAGTGGCAAAGCGGGACGAGGAGTGCTCAGCCTACTCCGGAAAAGAGTTTCTTGCTCAGAAACAGGTAGGATATGGATAAAGCAAATAATGCCTTTTTTCCTCTAGCAAGTTGACTTATTCCTCGGGGACGCGACCATCACTTACGAACGGACCTTGGACCTGGATTTTTCTTTCTTTACCATGGCTGACAACGTGGCCTTCATAACCCATTCCCCGCAGCCGCTTAGCGAAGCATGGGCACTAGTCAGACCTTTCCATTGGGAGGTAATTATTTATTTTTGTTTATAAATAAAAAAATTCATAACAAAAACGGGCTTGGTACTTCATTATTTTGTAAACAAAAAAATGTTGGTTATGGCTTGCAACCTTTTCAACAAGAAAAAAAGAGCAAAAATTTCGAAAAAAGTAAATTAACTTCACAAACATTTTCATGCCATGTCCATAGTAATATTCAATCATATTATTTCTATTTTATGATTTTATCTGCTGCTTTTTTATTTCATGATCACAGAAAGTGCTGCAACCCGTGGAAAAATATTTAGTTTTTAAATACGGGTGGAAGCGCGTTTATCTAACAATTATTTTCATAAAAAAAAAATACCCAATTAGATTATATATTATAAATATTTTTCACTTGATTTATGTGCTTGTAATTTATTTCTAAAGGTTTGGCTGGCAGTTTGGCTTTCCATAGCTTTAATTGGTCCAGCCCTGCGTTTAATTTCAAAAAACACCACCCTCGGAGATTGCGTTTGGGCAACCACGTCAATCATTTTGAAACAAAGTATAAGACTTGGAAAATTATAATGTGGTTTAAACAAAGTAAAATTTAAAGGTACCCGAGAAGTAGGAACGTCCAACAAAACGCGACTTGTGACCATCATGTTGTCCATCACCGCGACCTACGTGATCGGCGACTTGTACTGCGCCAATCTAACCTCGCTTCTGGCAAAACCAGGCAGAGGCAAATACACAAATTTAATTTGAAATGAGCTATTTTCATGTATTTTTTTAAGAATCCCCACTGAACACACTGAACGATCTGGCAAAAGCTCTTTATGAAAAAAGGGTGGATTGTCTAGTCGAGGGAAGAAGTTCGGGCGCCGAATTCCTGAAGAACGGAACAAGAGAGGCGCAGAAAATTTGGCGCTTCATGCAACGACAGCGCACGTGGATGGTGCCCAGCGTGGAAAAAGGGGTGGCCCTGGTCAGAGCAAAACAAGGTCTTGTTCTGATTGCGGGGAGAGAAACGCTGCAGTTTGAGATGCAACGATTTGGTATGAAAGTTAAACCAAAAAATGTGGAAGATTTTGAATAATTATTCTAGGACAGAGATTTTTTCACTTGAGTGATCCACTCAGCACTCAATATTCAGCTATTGCCCTACAGCAGGGATGCCCATATTTTGAAAACATCAATGAAATGTATAAAATAATCAAACCACATGAAATCTAAATAATCATAAGAAAATTACAGATTAATGTGGCTCTTTGAAGCAGGAATTTTGGACAAAATGACAGCTACAGAATATGCGAGGTTGGGATCTCAAAGGAAAAATGAGAGAAAAATGGGGGAAATTTTAGAAAATGTTTACGACTTGGAGGCATTCAAGACTAAACCCCTTTCAATGCAAATGCTTCAAGGCGCATTCATTGTGCTTTTCTTCGGCAGCTTTTTAGGAGGTGAGAATTTTTATCATGGATTTATCATCACTGTTAAACTTTCAAATCTTTCAGTTGGAGTGTTGGCTATCGAGGTAACCATTTACAAGAAATGCAAAAGAATTGAAAAAAGAAAGCAGTTGAAGAGAGGAATTAGAATTTCTGTCAACTTTTTGACTTTCGTCGTTTCCAAAATCGTAGAATAGATATTTCTTTTTAATACAGGAAAATATTTATTAAGGGTAATTAATGTAATCTTACAAATCAGAATACCATAGGTTTGCTTGAATATGACGCACCTCTAGCGACAATGTGTCATAGTGCTGTTAAAAACAGACTTGAATAAATAAAATCAAGTTGTTTTCAGTGACTTAACAAACTAACATAAAAGAAATAGACCAAAGTAGCTTGTGATTAAGCTTCCTGAGAATAAATGCCAGACACGGAAAGAAAAAAATGGCAATAAACTTTATCTCACAGTCATCTCGTAGATCGACACCTTCTTGTCTGTCAGGAAGGCGAAAAAGTCCTTGTGGTTGAATTTGAGATTACACACGTCCATCACAACATCTGACATGGTCAAGTTTCCAATGATGGACCCTCCGTCGGACACTGACCACAGTTTCACTGTCCGGCTGCTCTCCTCACTGCCGACGACCAGCAGTTTGGAATTGTTGCCATCCGTGTAAGTGGCAATGGCGGACCTCTTCAGTGTGGTCTGCGCTTGGCCACCTCCGTTGAGCTGGAGGATAGGTTCGAAAAGTTCGACGGGCTCAGCATTGGCGTCGTGGCGAATCCTTAAGACTGTGTGGCCTGCTTGCTTGTTGGAAAGCAGAAGATGGCCTGTCACAGGCTCAGCCCTGAAAAATGGAATTTTTAATTAAAATTATTTAAATATTAAAGAATGATAAAACATGTGGGCAAAATAAGTTAATTCTATTAATTTGCAATCCCATCGACTCCTTGAAAATGATATTTTATACACTTATTTAAAATGAAACTGGGATTTGGTGACTCGTCTTGCTAATCAATGACGTACTAACCTCAAGCCGGTCAAGTTGCCCTGGAAAGGGAGTTGAACTCCGGTAACATCTTCGTCTCCGATGAACAATTGGCATGACTTGAGGTGAGCGGCAATCAAGGCTCCACGAGGTAAAGAGGGATTGTAGTTTGGAGGAACGGTGACCAGAGAATGAATGCCAGTTATGTCCTGGCCACTGTTGAGCACCCTTTTGCCCAGCATCATGTACGGAGTTACGTTCGGCATTCGTATGTCAAACCGAGCGATTTCTCCATTCATCAAACCAATACTTATTTTGTGGATGTCACCATTACAAGCCCCTGTTCTGTCCCAGCAACAACTCCATGCAGACATTGGAGTCTAAAAGAAAGAAAAAAATCAATGATGATATGTTTCATTTGCCCCAAAATATATGTGGTTTTTAGTAGTATATATTACCGCGTATTATATACTACTGTTTTTCTACTAACCCTGTAGGAGTGGACGACACTGTTTGACCTGTAGTCAATTAGCTTGACAGATTTGTCCAGCGAGGCAGTCAAGAGAATGTTATTGCTTTGATTCGGACAGTACTCCATGTCTCGAATGGGTTGGGTGTGGAATGCATCTATGCTGCGCACCGTGTATCCTCTTTCGCAGTCGTAAACCTGAATGCCATGATATCTAGATTGGAAAATAAAAACTTTAAGCTTAAAATAATTTGAAAACAAAAGAAACAACTAACCCCGCCATAGGTGAGGCACAAGATACAACCAGCTGGTTCTCCCAAGGACAGAAGGCCATGACACGACCTCCAGAATTTCTGAGTTGACTGTCTTTGACCATTTTAAAGGAGAATTTGTTGTTTTTGGTTCCTGGTTCAAAATAAGACAAGATTTCTTTGAGAGATTAAAGAAGCTACCAAAATATAATTCAATTTTTGTAAAACATTTTCATTGTTCTGAATTATGTTCTAATAATAAGGTTCTTGAACCACAGCAGAAACATGATTTATGTTATAGCTTTCTGATTGGGCACAAAAAGTTTTATTTGTATCTAATCAGAATGCTAAAAAAATCCAAATTATTCTTATTGCTGTGCTTCACTCTTTCATTTTAATAAACTAAAAATTAGGAATTTTTTACTTTTTTATTACTATAATTGTTTACACTTAGCATTATTTCATATTTTATTTTAAGTTGTAAACAAAACCATTCTAGGAGAAAAATTGTTTTATGATTTTATCTTCTTCTCAACTCACGTTTCTCGGAGGGATTGTCTCGTTTGGCAATGGTGTTGTTGGCCTTTGCAGCCTGCGCTTCCTGCAAAGCTTTAATTTCTTGATCCTTCCTCAAGACCTTCAGTTCAGCCTCTCTCTGTGCCTGTAGAAAAAAATTTAAAAATAATTGCAAAGAGGCCTGCAAGTAACTAAGGCAACTTACAGCAAGAGCCTTGGCCAACTCGGCCTGCAGTCTTTTCTCTCCTTCTGTCTCTTTCACCTTGATGGTGGGTGCAAAAATCTTCCTGATGTCACTCATTTTGTTGGCGGTGTTGCACTTTGGGCACTTTTTATTCGATTTTACCCACTTCTCCACACAGCTCTTTCCAAACAGGTGGCCACACTTAAGAGAGACAATCCTGTGCGGGCCAGTACCTTGCCACGAATCGTAGCAAATGGGGCACATTTGATCATCGTCGTCATCATCGTCACTCACCATCTCAGAAGCTACAGGAAAAATTTCGATAACAAGTAAATTAACTAAAGAGATTATCTAACCAGGTCTTTTCTTTGCAGTTTTTGCTGCACTCCCAGGCTTCTTTGCGGGTCCTGTGTGGCCATTGGCCATACTTGGACCTGCCTGAGGCACAACAGCTTCATTTTGAGGAGCTAGAGGAGCTTCAATGATTTCTATTTCTGCAATTGCTGGAGGGACGACGTCAACTATGACCACACTAGCATCACCCGCAGGTCTGTCCTCCTCGTCATCATCGGACACTTGGATGGGTCCTTCTTCTTCCAAGGCCTGGACATGCTCATCATCAGACACTTGGACGGGCTCATCTACATACTATTAACAGACAAATTTTTATTAAATATGAAATTAAAATTTCATAACTTACAACTGGATCTGCTTCTTCAATCTCATTGTCGGACATTTCAACAGGTGTGTATTCACCAGATCCCTCTGAATCGTAAGATCGGCCTGAGGCGCTGTCGTTGTCCTCGTTGTCAGAATCGTCGGAGCTTACAGTAACATCAGTTTGATAGCTCTAAAGGAAAATGGAGTTTGATTTTTATTGCAGATTATCTTAAAAATAGTTATCTTACGGAGGCGGACCCGTCTGAGAAGGACTGCGAAGCTTCAGAGTCGGAGTAACGATCAGAGTCGTCAGATGCAGATTGGGAATCGATGGTGGCGTCTGCGATGGAGTTGCTGCCCACCGAACCGGGGACGGAATCTGAGTCGGAGATGTCAGAATGGTCTGTTGAATATTCAGAATCCGACATTTGTGCAGCAGTTATGAATCTGCAAAGGGAAATCCATAAAAAATAATGGTTTCTATTTAAATTATGATCAACAATAAGCACCCATACAACAATAAAAATATATGCCCATATTGGAATTATTGGATATTCTCATATGAACATCATACATAAATAAACGCTCTTAAGCTATAAAAACGTCAGAAAAGCTCAAATTTCAACATGCTAGAGTGCTTAAATTGCTATATTAATAAAAAGATCGTAAATATTTCAATCATACCTTCCGATGAGAGTGTTTCCATCGTTAAATCTCTTCGAATTTGCATGGTTTGATCCATTCGATCGAAATGCCGGCGCCTAAAACTCTTCTCCTGAACGTATTTTGATTGAATTCAAATGATCACAGAAAACCAAAGGATAATTTCGTCAAAAGGCACTGACGTACCTAGCAGCAATTTTGCTTTCAATCAAGGAAAATCTGAGCAGAAATTTTGATCTACAAAAACACGAAACACATCCAGAAACGTGTAGAAACCAATTTGCCGTTGTGGGAATTTTTTAATGGGCGCTAAATCGTTTATTTTCATTTTGACACTGAACTACTTAAGTAAAGGAGCTAAGAAAACGCCATGTTTGAAATTGTTCAGCCCTTTGGCTATACGAAAATCTTAAAAATAAAGATGGCGACCAAGAACCAAAGCTAATCCTCTACAAGTTTACACTTGGTTCACATCACACACATTTCAACCTTTTATATTGTTTAATGATCGATGATTTGAGATTGAAGTACTCTTTGGTCAAATAAATTTCTTGCTAGAAATCACAATTGAGAGTAACTTATTATTTTATATTTTCCAAGGATTTGAAACCCCGCCGTCAAAATTAGAGATTTAAGTCAGGTAAGTCAACTTTAAAATCAAGTACATAAAAAGGATTTCGAAAAAGTGGGAGTGGCGAGTGGCTTATGTCGAGCTCACATCGATTTCAATGACTTACTTGGCAACGTAAACATTGCGATTTTTTCCAGCGATTTGGATATTTGGATGTTCAAAATTGGACGATTGGCCGGGTTTTCCAACACTTTTCAAAATGAAATCCAGCTCTAACTTTTTAAATTTCACATTTTTTATACTTGCTGTAGGTTACTATGAATTAAAATTTTTTTAAATTAAATTAGCACTTTTTCAGTCGTTCTTCTGCAATGCAAAATCAGAGTTCAGCGCAGAGGACTGCGCTGCCCTGGGGTTTAGCAAAGCTAATTTATTGTGCTCGTCCTGTGATACCTTAGCCGATTTTGGACTCCAAGAATTAAAGTAAAATAATTTTTCAAAAATCATAAATAAAAATTGGGCTCTTTATGATATTTATTTGTATTAATTGTAAGCACTTTGTAGAGACCACTGTCGTCAATGCTGTCACAAAGAAGAGAGTGACTTCAACGTGAAAAAGTACCACAGTGCGCGTTTAGAAGTCTGCACGTGCAAATTTGGAGCGTACCCGCAAATCCAGGCCTTCATCAAGAGCGAGAAACCCGCCCAGTTCAGGAATTTGGCTATCCGATACGTCCGAGGCCTGGATCCTGTAATTAAACTCATGGACAAAGAAGGAAATGTTCAAGAGGTATGTGAAAACTTAGAAATTACCACAACAAAATTAATTTTTTGGCTTTTCTAGGTTTTGGCAATCGAGCGCTGGGACACTGACACTGTTGAGGAGTTTTTGAAAACCCACTTGGAGCCGGTTGATGATGACTCTGCTGATGATTTTCTGCGCACCAATAATGTTTTTTGAAATGCTTCAACCATTGTATTTTTTCTCATTAAAAATGTAAGTTTATACCACTTAAATATGAAGGTCATTTCAAATCAAAATTTGTAAACAAAATTTGTGGATATATTATTGATATACAAAAAAGCAAAAACAATAATGTCATAATTTACAAGAAAGTTCATGGAATTTAAAAATCACAAGTGAAAACATAAATAGTTTTGTCATGATCATTCAGTTAATCAAAATAGTTGTTATTTATTTTTAACTGTACGTAACGTTGTATTTTTATATGGAAGGGTTAAATTAATTCAGAGTGTAATTAAATGAGAGGCTCTCCAAATTTACCTCTATGAGAGCAGAGTAGCACGGCTCCTTACAGTTCTGTCTATTTCAGTATCGGATGAGGTCAAAGATTATTCTTGTAAGGACACACACCACACACTTTAAAAAAGATGAGTAAGACTTATGTTAAATATATCTAATCTAATAATTGTTATTATGAACAATAATGATCTATTATTTGATACAAGATATTCAATTTTACTTCTCGACAGAAAATATATTTTCAACTTATGAAGCATATGAAGTTCCTCATGTTTAAAATCATTTTTTTTTCATGTATTTCAACAGCATATATATTCATTTTATATAAATTTTGGATTACCTCCTTTGCTCTTATTAAAAATATAGAAAATCTATTTTATATATTTTTACGTCATCAATATAGTACGAAAAATCTTAGAATTTTTGAAAATGAAAACTATTTTGTAGATAATTTCGGATAATTTTATTGCCACAATTTTTAGTAGCATAAATACATTATACTAATTAAATCACTAAAACTTAATAACTTGTGAATCAAAATTTTAAATAATGCATTTCCGTAATTCTATTTTTGAAGTTTGCGGATGGAAAAAATATAGGATTTGGCTCAAATGTTGGTCGACGTAATTGTCGGTTATTTAGTTACGAAAGTTACTGCTGTTGGCAATTTATTTTATCAAAGGGTGTTTTTTTGTTATGAGATCATTTTTATGAGTGTAGAATTAATTTTATATTTTTCAAAATTGAGGAATCTTGAATATCAATAAATCTTAACTTAGTCCTAATGCCGTGGAAAAATTGAAGCGCGTAAAAATATTGATTGTTTTTCAAGGCAGCAATCTAAGGCGCACCCCAAGCAATTCATTTGAACTACAACAAGTGAATTCCGTGACTAGGTAAATTAAAAAACCACTACCAAATCAAGTTAGACGACTGAAATATTAATAATTAGTCGTCGCGATGAAGTGTTTCGCTAGTTTTAAAGTCAGTTATTTAGTTACGAAAGTCATTGCTGTTGGCAAGTTATTTTATCAAAGGGTGTTTTTTTGTTTGTTATGAGATCATTTTTATAAATGTGGAATTAATTTTAAATTTTTCAAAATTGAGGAATCTTGAATATCAATAAATTTTAACTTATTCCTAATGCCGTGGAAAACTTTCAACAGCGTGCTGTGGGTTTTTTCCTGAATATCTTACCTGGTGTTTATTTTTTTATTTTTTTTATTTTCTGTGGCATGTTATAAACTGGTTCGTAAAATGTTTGCCTCAACCAAATGCTTTGAAAACTTTTATTTTGCCAATTTTTTCAGCTTTACAATGAGCTAAGAGGCAAAAGTAAAATCGAATTTGGGCCAGAAAAAAGATGACGTGTTTAAAGTAGGTCGTAGTTCCCTCCGAGTTCCTTTTGAACTTAGAAAAAGAAATTAGGTGAAATATATGTGCTACAGATGTCCAACAATATTCTATGTGGTCTAGGGGTTTTGCCAAGGTGCCAAGGCCAGATAGCTCTCTGACTCTCAATGACTCTGAGCTATTTGCTGTCAGATGCTTCTAGTATTTATAAGGTAAATAATTTGGTTAATGTACCGAAATTAGTAGAAATTTAAACAAAAAAATATATTATTATTGTTTAAAAAAAATTATCGCAGTTCCTGATTTCAGGAAAAATAATAAAATTGTGTACTTATTGCATACCAAATTCATTTTTCTACTTCTGTCTGTGTGGTTCATTAAAAATTATTGAATAGTTTTTTGCCTTTTGTTAATTCTCAAAGAAGAAAATGGAAATAGTGCGTGATGAAAGCTTTTGGCACGGCCTATAAATTGTTGAGAATCTGGTGGCGGGAAAGAGTTAAGACCTGCCGAGCGGTCGGTCCAGTGACCCAGTTGGGCGCGGCGTGGACACCAAGCGAGGGTCGTTTTGGTCACGTGACAGAATTGGAGCACCTTGCTCTCTCCGTCGCTGCGACCGTCCGAGAGCTATGCACCGGCGCATAGCTGAAATAGCGGATTTGACAGATGGTGTGCTTGGAAAAGAGGAATAATGTGTGCAAAACAACCTAGTCTCGCGTCGGACAAGAATAGGGTTAACTTGGTGAGCAGCTGGAGGGGTAGCCGGCCGGCAGAGAGGGAGCTAGAGGGGCACTAGCCCGTGGGGTCGCAATTCAGTCCCGCCGTTGATCGCCGCTGATTTGCATCGAACCACAGGTAAGCAGCCGCCCCCGACTGGCGTCGCCCCCGATACACCATCCACCTCACGTCATTTGAAATAGTTTTTCATTCCTAATTGTCCATTTGGCCGGTGATCAAACAAACGGGTTAATTGCCCGGGTGATCTGAAGAAAGTGATTTTTTTCGGTGGCTTCTTTGTTGACGCGACTGGTATGGTTACAAAAGAAAGAGATGTGAAGGTTGAAAGTGTTTTAGTTTCATTTTTTTGTGCCGTAATTCAATACAAAAGTTTTAATATCCCTCGGTATGTTCGCGATTCTTCTGTGCTGAAATGAAAATAGCTTTTGGCAATGAATGTGAAAGCAGTGTCGGAAGCTGTGATTCAAAAAGAGACAACATAAACTAACCACCTTAAATTGGAGAAAGGTTTTAACTTTCTCTCTGATTACAATTAAACAATCAAAATAATCTTCAACAAAGTTAATACATTGTTTTACACCAAATTGCGCCACTATAAACTACAGTATTACTTTGTATTTGCAAGAAACTTTATTTTTATTATAAAAATCATTATATAATTCTATAAATTTATTAAATACTTTTATTATTTTTACCACTATAAATTGTTGAATTGAAACTACAACAATATTTTTTTATTGTAAATTTTAATCGCAGCTTGAAAAATAAAGCGGATCAAAAACATTGAATACTAAATAAACCTGGAAGTCTCTCAAACCCAATTTATTAACGATGAGTTAATTGATCGAAATTTACGAGGCTGTTTTCAAGGGGCCGCCAAGTCGTCGTCAGGGTGTATTTAATGCACACGGCGTGTCCAGCCAGCGGTGCCACGCTCTAGAGCATGGGGCGGCATCCGTGGGCCCGAAATAGATGCGCCGCGTCGTCACTAATTTTAACTGGCGCGCTGCTAACCCACTCGCATTATTTCACCCGACACGTCACCGGTCAGCATCAACCCACTTAGTTATGCTCGGAAATCGAATTAAAAAAAAAAACGAGGGAAAGTCGAAATATTCGGAGGCGACATTAGTCTCGTGTAAAGCAGAGGATTTGTCAAGTTGTACACAGCTGGAGGAATATTTTGAATTGATGGATTTGGCACTCGCTCATCACTTCCTCCGTGAATGAGCTTTGCCAGTATTTTTTTATATAGGACGAGTGAAGTTATTCGCAAGGACAAAGATCTTGCAAATTTTTTATTTTTAAAACGATTTTTGACAATTTTTATGGTTTTCTTTAAAATATATCGTTGTTAAAACAATATTTTTGAAGAAATCTGAGTTGAACCTTGTTTTTTTTTTCAACGACATTAATTCATTTTAATCCTATTTTGAACCACAAACTTCACTTAATTATATGATTTATAATTATTGTCACAAATCAAGTGGCAAATCAATGGCAAGGGATTTTTTGTCATTTAAAAGATTTATGCTTACTTGTAGTGGGCTTTGAATATTTGGAAGATTTTCGTGTCGCAAGCTTAGTCCACAGCTATATATTTTATTTTAAATCCCAGGCAAAAAGCACTGCCTTGTCGCTCTAGTTTATCTCAAAATCAACACCCAAGGAATTCCCAGCTGCAGTTTCACTCTCGGCCTAAATGAACTTTTCTCTGGCTCGGCGGCACGCATCCAAGAGAAACATTTAATTTACTGGCCGATTAGTAATCACAATGGCTGTGGTTTAACTCGCGTTATATATTAATTAGTCAGGCGCTGTTGTTGACCATTACAAGCTGCTGAAATGTAATTACTTCGATTGTCAGAGCACGAAGAGTTAGCTCGGACAACTGTAGAGTTGAGAATTTGCGCGGTCAGCCAACGGGTGAAACGTGCGTTTCTGTCTTCCTGTCACCGAGATTCAACATTCACAGTGGAATTTGACCAAGTTAATTTTACTTGTCAAGTACAATGAGTTCCCAAAAATAATCCAGACTATGCAATCCGCGCAGATTCCGAGTCGAGCAGGTTGCATACAATCGAATCTAACAGGAACCAGCTCAGTTCGACCAATTTACGAGTGCTGATGTTTTGCCAAAAGCAAAAAAACTGTGTTTATCAGAGACCTTCTGGGTTAATTATTGTGCCCCTGAATTAGACGAGTCGCTCTAAAACGAGAGCACGGCAAGATTGATTGAGATTAGCGTTGCCACAGCGGACAAATTTAGGATTAAAATGAGCAAACAAGCTAACAGTGACAAAACCATTAGAATTATTCCTGAAAATAACAATTGAAACTTCAGATGTTGAAGAAAACGAACCAAATGTCTCAACAAAACTGTATAATATTGCGAAGAAATCATATTTTAATAATTACGAATGATTTATTAAGAAAACGGAATCTTCATTCAAAATCTAAACACTCTAGTTAAGTAAACTCTTTCCCAAAATTCGCCTTGAAGAGTTTCCATAGAGGCAAAACATAAATTCAAATTTTATTTCTAGAAATCAGCAACTTTCTTGATTCTTACTGCATCTCAATATTTGAATTTTCCAAGTTCACGAAAGAAAATTCCATAATCAAATTGAAAATTAATTTTAACGATTTTAATTTAATAATGCTACATTGAAATTTTTAATTCCAGGTGCAAAATGTCGGCCGCACGTCGTTACCTGAGTCGTCCTCGCACAAAGCTGTATGACTACAACTACGTGATGGGCGAGCGGTTGTACCGCGGCATGGTCGACTCTCTGGACAAGCCGCGCGCCGCTCGTTCGTCGGCGGAGGCCGTCGACAGGCACACCTACGCCCCACCGCCGCCACCCCCGACTAACAACAACTACAGGAATCGCTCCTACGACGAAGGGTCCGAGGAGGAAGACTCGTCCCTGCGCAAGATCAGGGCGGCCAGGGCCAAGATGGAGGAGGAGGTGCGCGCCTATGAGGAGAGCTCGAACGCTCGCAGGGCGGCCCTGAAGAACCAGAGGGTCGACGTGTCGGACCGTCTGCTCGACTCTGTCGGCATCTCCCGCAGGTCGGCGGAGAACGGCGACTACGAGTACTCGTCCTCGAACCAACACCGCAGAGCCGTCACGGAACTGGAGGAGGACCCGTTTTTCAAGAAGAGGACCTTCCAGCAGCAAGCAAAGGTTGGCCTAACCCTATCCGTTTGCAAAAGAAGCAGATTCAACGTCAAATTTAGAGGATAAAAATACAAACTCTGCATATTATGTGTTTAGTTTAGTTTTTGTGTGAATTTCTTAGTCCTATACTGTTAGGAATATTGAAACATTACAAATAATTTGATATTAAATTTCATTAAATGGTACATATGAATTTTATTTCCATAAAATATTTTTTTAAACATTATTATAGGATACTGAACGGCTTTGAAAGAGATAGTGTTATAAAAGATTTAAATGTAAGTTAAGCTTATGTAAAAACCAGACTTAATCCTGCAGATATTTCAATAAACAAAGTAAATAATTTTCTAATCTCTTAAAATTTAACTGTTCAATTATTTAATAAAATTTTATTTAATTTGTGTAAATAAAAATTAGTACAGGATGCGTGAAAATTTTTAAATTTTACATATAAAACTATAAGTTTGGGAAGAAAAGAAGTAAATTTATTAAAAATTTTAATTTTCAGTATCAGTTTGAGGAAGAAGATGAAGCTCCTGTATCTCGTCTTAAGTCCAAGCAACGCAACTTGTTCGCCAAGGAGAGCGACTCACCCGATTTTGACACAGCTGCCGCCCTGGATCGCGCCAAGAAGTCGAGGGCACGTCTGGCCGAGATTGAAAACGAAATGGACGAGTTGAACGAGAGGTCGAGGGCGCGGGGTGCGCGCATGGCGTCTGCCCAGGCCGTCCTCAGGGAGGCGGCCGAGTGCGAAAGCAGCGTTTCTGCCACCAAGAGCGTCCGCGTCAAACGGGCCATCCAAGTCACCGAAAGGGTTGGCTGAAGATTTAGAAGAAGAAGAAGTGGACGAACAGAAAAAAAGGAAGGACTCTTTGATTCGGCTGAAATTGTGTAATATATGTTCAAGGTTGGCTCACCTGCTTTCATATTAATTTTCATAAATACTTCTTACACATATTTCAAGGCTATAAATTTCAATCATAAATATGTCGACTTTTCGCCCTCTCTTCCTATTTTTGTAAAACTTCAATTAATGCATAAGAGCTCTAAACTTTCATTTTCGTCAGCATTTGACTTTTCAGTATTTATTAAATCTTCCGGAATTACAGAATCAAATTTTTATACAAAAATTGTTTTCTCAAAAATTTTTAAGCAGATGAGAAATTAAATTATTGTGTGTACAAAAATCTATCACGTGAGGATGGTAAATAGGGTGCTTGATAAGTAAGTGAACTGCAGTTGGGTGGCCGCTGTGAAAATGCAAATTCTTAATTGTTTGTACTCGTTGCGCAAAATAAAAAAGGACTCTCTTGTTAAGACCAGGCGAATTCTCTTCTTTCCGACCTTTGACCTGCAAAGCACACGTGGATGCGCGCGTGCCTCGGCCGCGGGTATGTAAATTTAGAAAAAGAGCATATAGTGCGCGGCGCGAGTCAAAAATACTTGGCATCGGTTTACCATGGCCGGGTTTGGCTCGAGACAATGAGGCGAGATAAAGATAGGCAGCAGCAGCAGGCCATCGGGCCACTCGCAATTGCCACCGGCGATTCTGCGCCGCAAGACTTTTGGTGTCCAACGGGGTGAGAGCGGCTAGAGGGGTGGTACAGGTGAGGGCACGCACCACCTGTTGCAGATCTTTTGTCCTCTCTGGTCTCTGGCGCCGAAAAAGAAAGGAAGAAAGAAAGAGTATCTTGAGGGGAAGATTAATTTAATGCTTTAGCATTGTTTTACTTGGTTTGCAGATTGAATTTTCAAACACACGTCTTTGTACTGAGAAACATGAGTTTGTAAACAAAGCTTTTAAGAATTATCATTATGCAACAACAACAAAAGACGGAGAGTAACAAATTTGGCAACTTTTAATTAAGTTAAGCCCGATTGAATTTTTTTAATTATTTTTTGGCAATCTTTTTACAATACAACAAAAAAACTAAGAGTAATGCAGTTTTTTGGGTGATCGACTTTGATTTCTTTATTGAAATGTTTGTAGAAAAGCGTAGAACATAGAAGATTATTTTGGAGCATATTTGATTTGTTTTTAAGAAGGGATAATCCGGATATATTAGAATTTCTTACTTTATTATGAATCAACAATTAATTCATATTGCTTTTAATTAACTTAATTACAGCTACAGCCAATGGGTTATTAAAAGATCACCTATATTTTTCTTGACTCAATTTGCTAGAATAATTTCTTTAAACTCACGAACAAAATTCTTTTTTAAAATTTGTTTTTTACTGATGGGTGAATGTTGATTTTTCAAATTTGTCTATTAAAATCGTTTAATGTTTAATTTGATATTATTTTCGGGAAGATTCCATTAATTTCACTCACAGCTGAAGAGATGAAAATAAGCGACCAGCTGAGTACCTCAAATTTCATAACCCAACTCAAGGCTCAAGGGTGCAAGGCAGACACCGGTGTCCGAAACGGTCGTGGTTTCGCCACGGATCATAATAGTTCATAATAAACTAACCCGGTCGGCTGGCTCCAGCACATATGTTGGGGCCGGTTTAAACTTAATGTTTACGCGTCTGTATGTTTGCCTATGTGTATATTTCCTTGTTGCAGGACCGAGTAAGAAAAACACAAATAGCTCACACCATTGATGAACTGCGCGCCCGCACACTCTAAATATTTATACACGGAGCACCGGTTTATATTTTTCTATCAACTTTTTCGGAGATCGCAAAAACGAATCCCTGCGTAAATTTAGAGCGAGAAAAGATTTCGCCGTGGGCCACTTTGTTTTGCCGAAATACTTTTGCAATCGTCTCATGCCGTGCTAAAAGGGACAAGCTGCCGACGCTTTTAGCCACCAATTAAATTAAATTACACAAAGCGAACTACGATTTTAGCGAAAACACGGAATTTGTGATTTTTAATATACTTTCAGAGTACTAAAAGAATTCGGCGTAATCTTCATCATAACAATCACTAATTTATCCACAATGTAAAATAAAAAAAAATTAAATGTTTCCATCTTCTATACAAATTAAATTCAATCGATACGCCTGTCATGGCAAAAGATACAAAGTCTTTTATTTAAATTTAAACAAAAAACATGATTTAATACATTGTTATGTAATTATTAATAATTTTAGAGCAAATTCAGGAGTGAAATAACACGAAAAAACCCCACTATGTGTACTGATATATTTTTATTACCTTTAAAATAGGTATTTCAAAATCAATAGAAATAACATTTTTTATTCCTTGGCATTTAATTGAGCAAATCGATCGTTCGTTCTGTCTGACGTCACAATGTAACAAATGGACCATCGGAGACGATGGACTAAATTTGCACCCGGTCAGGATATAAATAAGAGATCGGCTGTGAGTATGTGCGCGACTTTGGGGCCGCCGAGAAGCACACGTTACACGTGGGCGTTGAACTCGGGTGTTTCTATTTTGATTGGAACCATTCAGGTGCTAATTGGCTTTGCATCCAAAGAGGCGGACGGAATAATAGTCGTGTCAAAAGTGCAATTAGCCTCACGAAAAAAATGCTTTAAAATTATCTTTTGAAAGAGAAATTTCATAACGAGTTTCTCGTGGGACTGTTTTGCACACCTCTGGAAATAGTAAGAAATGTATTTTACACATTGTGCACGCCATCTTTCTGGCCGAGAGGCAAATCTCGTCTGAAAAAGATGGAAATAAAGTTGGACACAGAGCTCCTGGCAGTTTATGCAACTTCCAGTTTATGGCTGCTCAGCGGCACAGCATCTACCAGCAGATAAATAATTTGTGGATCGTTTAATGCGTCATTTTTTTGTTTCATAAAAATTTTTAGAATAGTTTTAATTACTCAGGGTAAAATTTGAAAGTACCTTCCTGATAAATTCAAATCAGCCAACCAGGACATTATTTGATTGTTAGATTGTTGCTCTTGATTTCACTGAGTGAGGAGTACACAAAAGTCAAAATTTACATTACTTCAATAGGCCAAAATATGTCATCAAAATTTTAATTGAGATTGCAATTGACAAAAATCAGTCAGGAATTTCTAAATTTTGGTTAGATAATATCTCTTTTTCTCTTTGGCACAAAGAAAACTGGCTTTTCTAAATTATTTTTCAACTCTTAAATTGTTGAAGGCTGTGGCATGTATTAAATAATTTTCATGCCTATAAGGAAACATTCTTCAAAACGATTGATTGTGCAAGTTAGGTTCAATCAAGTATAAAAAGAGTAATATGGATATGATGATATTTAAAATATTGTCAATATAACATAATTCTCTGCGAATATATAAGAGTGCAGTTTGCAGTTGTTACTTCTAACGATTTTGATCTCTTTACATTGAAGTGCGGATTGACAAAGGATAGAAAGCAGTTTGAAATATATTATTTACTTTCTGACTCTGCTGAGTAATTTTCTTATTTGAATTTTTTCCTATTTTCCAGCACTGACATAGTAGCTCAAACGTTTATTGGGGAAATCGACGGCAGATTCTATTTCGACAATAACCAATGACACTTTAGACACTTACATATTTTAAAACAAGGGTATATTAATTTTGATGATGAAAAAATATTGTACTGTATGTTCAATTCAGTTTTATTTTAAAAAAGCGAACAAAGTACATTTTGAAGCTAACTATAGTTAATTTGGAAGCGTGATTTTTTTTTTAATTAAAATAATATTATTTTGTTGCTTATAAGGATAATAAAATATATAGGCTCCACGAAGCAAAATATTATGTTAAGTCATGTTAAGTGATCGTTATTTAAGTATTATGAACTAGAATTAATTTCATTTACCACAAGGAGACCCTGTTACATTTTGGTAATACCACATTTGCTGACAAGGGCAACCCTTGGCCTTTAAAATCACGTCGAACGACATCCCCTTGAAAAAGCGGTGTTTATTTTAGAACAGTCGCGGAGAGAAGTGGAATTCAAAATTTGCCCGACAGTGGCTTGAGGGAGAAAAATTCGGCAGAGTGCTCTTCATCCATCAATGTCAGCAGAAGCCAAGGTGGCAAACGCGCTATTTCTGGAGGAGAGAGGGGTGCTTGCGAGAGTAAAGAGCAAAAACACTCAATCAAAAAAATCCAAAAACTTCAATCGGAAGAAATATTTTCTCAATTTTTAAATTTTAATATTCATTTGCGAAAAAAAAGATGTTTTTGTTTTGAAAAGTGTGTTTTCGTTGCGACGTGTGCGTGTCAAATTAACACACCAAGAAGTCGAACATTTGCGTGTCTGCCTGTCCGAGTCGCATTATAAATGGACCCCAGCTAATTAGTCACATAACAGGCAGGCCGCCGTCATAATGCTGCCAGATAAGTGGACCATCATATCTTCTTGGCGCACAGCCCTCGCACATTAATTAACACGCCATTTCTTCTCTGTGCTCCAAGGGAGACAAAGGCCGTTGAGATTTTGATATGCAACACCTCTCTAGGTGTGCAAACAAAAGCTTAAATGAACTGAAAAACGTGCGAGAGTTGGAGAAACTTGGCATTACAGAATTCATGCTTGAATTGCAAAACACGGCTTATTGTTGTAACAAACGAGTAACCAGAATCAAGATGTGAAGAAATAGTAAACTTTAAATTAAGGATGAGTACAGTTTTGAGTTATTGTAAATATTTCGAGAAGCGCCGAGAAGTCGATTTTTTATGGGTTTTTTTAATAATCAATATTTTTTTTATGGTATACAAATAATACAAGGTACAAGGTATAACAGATTATATATTTTTATTTAGTAAATGATTTTGAAATTTTATTTTTATTTGTTGTAGACCAGTTCCCATATCAAAGAAGCTAATTTATACAAAACAAAAATACTTATTGTTCTCATCTCAAATCATCATCAGATCCATCAGATTGAAATGGAAATATTTGCTGTGATCAAAAGCTGTATTAATTTTAGATGCATTAATTTAACATGCAATCAAGCATCTCTCTGTGCACCACAGCTGCCAAGCGCTGGGTTCAAAGGATTAACATCGCGGCCGGCGAAATCAGAAATCTCGCGGGAAGCGGCGCACACAATTTTATAGCCCCAAGATTTATGAATTTCATGCCCAGGCTAAATATTTACAAAATAAATCTTCTCGGAGCCAAAACACTGAGCACCATGTCGACAGCATTATAAAATAAGTTTCATATCGGTTGGATTTTCGAAATATTTGGAGAGCGGCCACGCGACTGCTGAAAATATCAGCCTTGAAAATTGAAATTACGAAAATGGTTTTTATTTCGGTGCGACCTTTGGGCGCAAAGTGGCGGTCGTGTGTGTTGTCCCGCTTGTTTCTTTTGTCTGCGGCCCATTTTTCAACTGGCTGCGTTCCCTGCGTCAGTTCGATCATTCAGCACCCGAGGATGCATCTCAACGATTTTGTTTTTAGTCCTGCGCCTCTTGTCAAAACAATTTTCATGAAAGTTGCGAGGAGACTAAACTTTTATTTTATGACAAGGATACTGAAGATGGTTTAAAGGAAACGTCGCGTGGAATAATGAGTATTTTTTTTCCGAATTAAAACTAAAAGTATTGTTACGTGATTTGGTACCACCCTAGCGCCGGTGAGCGGCCGCGGAGCAAATTGAAATTGAAAATTGTGAAGTGCGTTTGTGACGTCATAAAAGTTCTGCTGGCAAGCGCACGAGGGCGTTGACGGCCGGCCACTTGACCATGCTTTGTTTTGTTTTGAGGCAAGCCGAAAGGCGAGAGTGCGTCGCCTGCCGACTTTATTTAGCCAATTGAAGCGAACGAAGCACCGTTATTCATCGGCCGACGAAGCCGAACGTCATTTTGTCAGTCGGCAAAGCATCACGTCTGCCGAGTTTGTCGTGTCCGAGTATTATGCCAAGTCTTCCGCGCGAGCGACGAGATGGAAAAGTATGTACGTTTCGCAAGGAGTTGTTGTGTTTTTCGCATGATGTGCCTCTATATTTTGCACGCACAAGTTGCTCAAACGTAAACCACTAAAATCTGACACGTCAAGCACGACATTAGCCGAATTAAAATGCGTTGGAAATCTTTCTAAATTATTCAGTATGTTCATAGAAAACCATTACATTATTATTTATTTATTTTAATTCTTGGTGAAACCCACTTAGCAAAATATGATGGATCATTAATTTTTCATTAATTATATAAGATGCCACATTAATTAGTCTAATTAATTTTCAACTAATTGCGTGTAACGCTTTTTTATTAATGTATAATTAATGATGTGGCATTAATGAACAATAATTAATGCACAACTAATTTTACCTTCATTATTAGTCAATTTTGTTGAAAAATAAATTTCTGTTTGGTTAATTATTAAAATGTGTATTGTTTTATTTTTGTTAATGCAGCATTTACATTAATACAGAGTGTATAAATCATATCAGCAGATAGTGTGCAAAATTGGAAACGATATAAATTTATTTTCGAAAGGCAATAAAATCAATTTTGCTTTCAGTGCATGAATGGATACAATTAGTCTTTCTCTAGAAACAGATACTTTTTTTACACCTAATTGTTGGGAATTGATCTCGCCTAAGACAAAAAATGAGCCCAAATCATTGAACTTTTCACAATCAAAATTGTTTGATTTTGCGTCAAACCGAATCAGTCTCACAACTGACCCACAAACTAAAGAACAGAAGCAGTCATTTTTTGATGGAACAATAATTTGTAGATACTTAAAATTAATTTTGGCACATTCACCTTTCCACTCTATAAATGGTTCATCGTAAAAAAGTTTCTTACAAAGATATCGTTCTTTAGTAGCAAATCTTCTACAAATTTGCGCCGAAATGTTCTTCCCACTCTTGATCTTATTTAAAATTTCACGAATAAAATTTTCCGACGAGTAACAGGAGAGATCATCTAGTGATAATCCGAAGCGCGCGGACATATCTGGCAGGTGCAAGAGAGAGTGTGTATTATAGACAATTTGGCCTTTACCAAAAGTATTTTCAACATTTCCAACATAATCAGTTAACAATTCTCTACTCTTCTTCAATAAATCTTCTTCTGAGCATAAGTTGCTCCTCAAAATTCGAGTAGCAATGTGAAGCCTTAAAAACTGATTGTACACATTTGTGTGCACTCTGCCTTTCAATAAAACCGGGCCTGCGTACTCGAGAAAGAATCTGTATTGGGTCGCCTTGTAGGCTTTTAAGAATTTCAAAGGACCGAGTCGACGTTGAAAATCAATTGGCATGAATGTCGCAAGTTTTGAAATGTCTTCATCCATAGCCTTGGCGTTTGCTTTCAACATTCGAGCAGGTCCTTTGGATTCTAGCAACACATGATAAAGAAAGCGTTTGGCGGCACCTTCATCTAAAAGATGAAGTGAATCCAAAATAACATCTTGAACAATATCAAAATTGGGGATTATAAGCAATGAACTAACCCCCTTGTGGTGCTCAACATCTTCTTGAGAACGGAAAGACGCATCCGTTCTCAAATTCATTTCATTCACAGGAATATTCTTAAAGTGGCACCGACAAAAGTCACCCTTGCCTTGTTCCAAAGAGCACCGTTCACAACCTTTCTTAGAATTGTGTCCACAAATTTGTTTAAGGAAAGCACGGGCCGGCGCGTCAGCCGTGAAAAACTGGATTCTAATTTGAATTAAAACACCGTCAACCTCAATATAGTTGGATTGGATTTTGCTTAATTCGTGTGTCAAATCTGCCAAGAACTCTTGATGATCAGGTTTCCCTGATCCAAGAAAAAACCCAATCAAAATAGACTCGAAACGGTACCTTTGAGAAATGATATTAGCCATCAGTGGCCAGATAGTCTTACTATAGTACCCTTTCTTGAACAAATTTCCTCCGTCAGTTGAAATTGCAAAATTTATAGCTTGATTACTTAATATTTCTTTCTTCAGAATCGGGCATTTTTCCACTGCTTGTAACAAGGATGGTATAAGGCCAAAATAAGTAAATTCTCCTTTATAGGGATGCTCTTCCCTATTCGAGTGGTTAATGAAAATTGTATTAGATTTAAAATTCGAAAGTCTTAGCAGAGTAGGGGCACGACAAGGCAAAGATTTAAAGATTTTATGTTTCCTAGCAGCTTTTAGAATATCTTCTAAGCATGACTGTGTTAAATTGTGCTTGTTGTAAATTTTGACGAGATCGCTTGAGAACAGATCTGCAGAGGCTTCAAAATCTATATATTCCTCATGATTTGACGGGGAGTTAATAGTAACACTTTCAGCAATTGAGCCGGAATTTGTTGAGCTTTCACTGTCTGACTCGCTGGATGGGAGGTCATTGACAAGATTGGGAACTGCGGTAAATTCATTAGGGACATCTATTTCACCGTCAAAAATTGGGCTCGACCTTAATGGGCTGCTTAGATTACTGACTAATGGGGAAGACGGTATATGTAGAATATCACTTGCAATGCTGTCCGAGTCACTGCTGCCTTGTTTTGAGATTGTTTCTGATAATAATTCATTGTTCACCACTGCACGCATTTGCTCCACTTTCCTGCACTTCGCAGTACGTCTTCGTCCAGTCATTCTGGATCGCTGTCGGGTAGGAAGCTGTTGTTCAGTAGCTCTTCCAGGCCTTGCTCAGGAGGCGGCAGCGCAGTCTTGTCTTGTTGCAGAGCAGTCGTGTCTGGTTGAAGTTCGTGAAGTTCATCGTCTGTCTCTTCCTCGTCGAGTTCTTCGTCATTCACTGCTTCTGGCTCTGGAGCTAAAAAATTATATCGTTTATATCAGATTAAACTAACAAAAAAAATGTGTTCATTAGGCTACTTATATACTGAGGAGAACCAAATGATTAATTAAAATTTAAAATCTTAAATCCTACAAAAACTCATAAATAAAAGTTTGATGAAAAAGATCAAAAACCTAAATAATTTAATTACCTTCATCCTCTTTGTCAGACTTCTTTCTCTTCTTTCTCTGCCCTAACTGAGAAATGCATGAGCTGATGGCCTTGTTAATACCAACCAACTTGATCTTCTTATCATTGCAACCTTGAACTACAGCACCTGAAAAAAAAGCATTTACATATATCGCGGTTTTGGTTTCAAATTTATTAAATATATAGGCATACCTCGGAGAGCGTGGTAGACTTCATGAACAATAAGAATTTCTTTCTTACATCCCTTGTTTTTTGAGCAGTTTTTTGGATACTTGAGGACCAACTTATCTTGGAGACCTTCACCAATGATTTGATTTACAATAGCAGATACAATTGTGGATAGTTTGTCTCCCAACTCTTCTTCTAGAAGATAGTCGATCTAAAAATAAAAAATATTTGTTACGCATTTATAATCACATGATAAAGTATTTACCAATCTCTTTTTGGAATCAGCGTCTCCTTTCAGGGTGGCTGACAAGGTCTCCAGTTCTTTCACACTATTCAAGGGTAGCTTCCACTCGTTCCTGTCCTCCCGCAGAACAAATTTTCGTGAGGCTGTTTCACTGGCCAGCTTTTTCAGCTTGTGGTAGGTTTTTTCAGATGTTTTAGAGATCTCTTTTACTACTACCACTAAAGCTGAGAGCTCTTTGGTGAGGACATCAATCTTAGCAGCTGATAACAGAGAACAAAAAATAATAAAAAAAATGTCAAATGATTTTCCAGAGAATGAAAACCTACACAATACTCGTTCCCTTTCTTTGCTTTCAGATAATTTGAGCATGACATCTTGTAGAGAAGCATTGGTGGTCTCGAAATCAGCAATTCTTCTTAAATTCAACCTCTGTTGCTCCGCATGACCTCCTCCATCTTCATGTTGAACTCTGATTTGTGACGAAGGGGTAGCTTCTGGAGCAGAATTTTCTGCTGCTAAAAAAAACCAAAGTAAAAAATTATTAGGTTATTAAATTAACTGAAGACCAAGCAAACACTAATTATAAATCACAGTAATTATATTAAGAGATTGTACCTTTCTTTTTTTTGTTAGTTGGTTCGCCGAAGGTATCTCGTTGTTCTCTAACCTTTTCAGTTGGACGCCGGAACCTAGTTGAGTGTTCCTCTGTATCAGTGGTTTCAATGGGCTTATCCTTGTTGACCTTGTCCTTGATTTTTGATACTGCACTTATTCTTGTACCTAGAACAGATGATTTTAAATAATTAAATAATTCATGGAACACTGACAGTATAATTGGATTTTGTTGATGTTACAATGCATGAGAAATGCATTTATATCTAAATTTGTACTTCTATTTAATAATTGAAAACTTTTCATTATGCATCAAAAATGTGCATTTCAAGTGAAGTGACTTGCAGGTTGACAAAATCTATTCAGCTTCTATTAAGATTACAGAATTTTAAGATGGCAGAAATAGAAAAAAATCAACCGTTTTGGACTGAAAATGGGACATTTTACGAATATATTTTAATGTTAAATGCAAAAGTGATGTAGCAATTTTCCATCAATTCTCAGGATGAGAAAAATTTTAATGTTATCGATTTTGAAAAACAAATCAAGGGTAACATGAGTACAGACATGATTATCAGCTCCCTCTCGATGCGCAAATAAACGTCAACACAAGACAAATGCATGCTCGTTCTTGAACAGTTGACTGCAGTTTTCAATGAAATAATCATTATTATGAAAACTTGAACTTAAAAAGACTAATATCAGTACAATCGTGTTACATGCAGGCATATTGAACTGAATCTCATATAATTGAATATTATTACTATAAGCATACTGTAAGTACTCTAATATTAACACCATGAGTGGGTTAAAATACTAGCAGACATGGCGTCACTCCAGCGTTCTCACTCCGCTCCACAGAAGCTTTTTTGACATTTTGACATATTTAGTGCGGAGGGAAAATTGACAAAAAATCGCTTCCAAAAAAAGTTTAAATAATGATTAAAAAGTCAATTTGGTGCAATTGCTGTAAATGAAATAAGATTAAAAGAAATCCGATATTATTTAGTTTTTTACCTTCATTTTTATAAAGAGGTTGTGGGAGCGGAGCAAAATGTTTTTTCAAGAGAGAGCAAAGGAGCGCGTTATATCTGATTAACAGGTCACATTTGAGATATATTTCACATGCAAGACACAATCTGATGGCGAACCAGATCACATTAAATATATTGTTTTTCCCCCAAATCATAATCATGAGCATAGATAGAGTTCTCCATTAATAAGAATTAGCAGATTCAGAGGAAACTACCAAAAGTATTATTTTAATTTCCGACGATATTTTTCAGTGCCATTAGGTCTCTCCCTTTTAATTTTTCTTTGCGTTCCTTCTCTCCGTTTCTCCATTTTCCTTCTACCTTGATCATGCTGGCTCATTGGGTAATGGAGACGGAGAGGTGAAACTGACACAAAATTAGACACTATAAGTTATAACTGTTCCTTAAAAAAAAAAGACCGTCAAAAAGTAAGATTTCTCACAGGGGTTTCTCTAAGCTTGCAAATAATAAGGCACACGAAAGTCCAATATGGGCATAATTGAGCTGAGAAGGTAGATGGAGCACTTAATTACACCAATTAGCAACACACGTAAAAGGCAATGTTAAAAGAAGCAACAATAAAATTAATTTTTGGCAGTTCCCTCTTTCAATTTGGCAATATAGATAAAAGCCGATAAATATTTAATAAGAGTTACTAGCGAAGCCGACGACCTTGAAGTTCTTGAGAGTGATGAAGGGGACGTTCTTTTCAGCAAACAAACAGGTCTCCGATGCTTGAGCCTCCTCCTTAAATTTGGCTAGTGGGAAATCCCTCCTGACCAGTTTTGAATCTGGAAACGAAGCCTCCAGAGACTCGGCTTCATTCTCGGGCAGTTTCACCCATTTCATGGGCAGGTCTAGGTAGTCAGCCTTGTAAAAGCCATGTTCTTCTATGTCAGCATCAAACTGGATTACAACCCATGCCCGTCCATTGGCAATATTCAAAATCTTTCTTGAAAGTTCAGTCATCTTAACAGCCTGCATAGGGCCAATAATTTTTATTAGCAAGCCTAAATAAGAATGTATGGCTTAAAATTAACTATAACTCGTTTTACTATGATTACAAAAAGCACATAATTATCACAATCCGCAATAAAATTAGACAACAATAAATGTTAGAAAAATAAAAAATAAACTATTATACAATGAATTTTTTACTAATTTACCGTAAAAATAGGTGTCAGGGGCTCGGCTAAGAATCACGCTGCAAGTTTAAAAGTCCAGCAACTCAGCAGTCCAGCCAAGATCGATTTCAGATTCTCCTTTAATGATCAAAAACATGTATATATTAAAAAAAAATTAATTTATACAAACTACTTTTATCCCTTGTCGGACGTGAAACCCATCGAGACCGGTCAAGACCACTGGTATCGGTGGGACTCGACCGGTCTCGGAATTTTTGTAACTTTATCATCATAGGGCCACATTGGTCTCCGTGAGTGTCGACTGCTCTCAGTCGGTCTCGGTGTGTCTCATGAGCCGGTCTTGGTCGGTCTCAGTGCTTTTTTGTAATTAAGAAATAATTTCTTTTGAGCAAAATTTTACTTTCATTAATTATCAGTCAAGTTATTACACAATTATTTTAATTTAAGTTTCAGTTTGATGTTTATTTAATGTGAAATTATTAAATTTGTCTTTACATTCATAAATTTTATTAAAACCTTTTTTAATTTTTAATTCCACTGTATTCAATTGAATTAAAAAATTTATACGTTTGATTTTTATTTATTTTTTATTAACTTACATTTGCGTAGATAGATATAATTTAATTTTGGTTCATGAAACATTCACAGTTAGTCAAAATGATTCAAAAATAAAGAGTAATAATAATATAAGTAAAGTAATTGAAAATAAAGTAAAGAAAATCAGAGAGTCAATCATTCCATGATTTCTTAGTAAATACTGACTGATAAATAATGAATAGAAGAGTCGCCGAAATTATAAGGCCTCTTAATTGACATAGTCAAATCAAGTCTTTTCAACAATAGGAAATATTTTATCAATAATTGGAAAATTTAACCACCATTGTTGCAAAGACTTAATTTGACTACGTCAATAAAGGAGTCTTTAATCAATTTCATATAAAAACTACACATCAAAGAGGGAAAATTAATTTTGAATAAGTGTGAATGTTTAGTGAACCAAATTAAATTATGTTATTAAAGTTAATCAAATTATAAGTGGAATTAAAAGTTTAAAAAGTTTCATAAAATAAACATTACTATATGAAACTTTTTAATTAAAATAGAAGTGTGTATTACCTTGACTTGATAATTAAGTTTTTAAACTTATATAAATGTTTTTAAAAAGAAATTATTTCTTAAATAAAGAAAAGCACCGAGACCGGCTCATGAGACCCACCGAGAAACCACGGAGACCGATTTGGAACATAAACCTTCTATGATGATAATAATAGCTCCAAAATTTCCGAGACCATTCGAGACCCACCGATTTCAATGGTCTCGGCTGGTATCTACGCAAGAAAAAAATGCAGAACGAGCCTTTTGTGCGCATATTTGGAGCGCGCATCGGCTCATTCAATTCCGTCCCACATGCATCCCCCAGTCCAAAATGAATTGGATGGGAGACCGAATTGAATGAGAGCTGATCAAGAGCTCAATGTGAAAAGTCCCAAAATGGTGTCGAAACTTTGCGGAACCGAGGTTTTTTTCAGAATAAGATTTTGAGACTTCGTTCTCGCGCCCATTCTAAAAATCCTTAACAATAAATTAGTTTGATTTTCTTACCAGTCGCAAGCCTTATTGGTTGGCACTTTACATGCGTCGAGATCTCTCCGCACAAAAAATTAAGCAGACCCGAACACGTGTTCACTCGATGGGCTCACACGCAAAAAATCCATGTGCGGCCAGGGCAGACGACACACACTTCTCCGACTGTTCACCGCAATTTCTCTCACTTCTCGAGGAAAAATTCAATTTGTGGAGCGTGACGACGCTTTTCGCTGTTACTAGGTCGAAAGGAAATCGAGGTTTAAATCAAAAAGCAGGGAGCAGGGCCAGAGGCGTGTGTACCAGCGTGTCAGTCAACTGCGTCCGAAGAAAACGTGGGTAATGGCGGCTCAGCGGAAGCGGAAGCACTGCGGCGACATCTCTTGTCGAATACTGCCCCCGCCACCATGCTCGAGCATGCGCAATTTGCGATTAAGAACAATGATACTAATTAACACCAATTAATTAATCATCAATTGATAATTAATTAATATAATTAAAGTCATCAATTGATTATGCAACAATTATTCAATAATGAAAAAAAATTAGTATGTTTGGATAAAAAACTTGTTGACCTCATTAATTATATATTAATTATACATTAATTTTTAGACATTAATGAGTGTGAATTAAATATAAATTAATGATCTCATTTTCGAAATTATATTTTGCTAAGTGGGAAGGTGCCCACGATAATTATAAGTTAATTTTCATTCAAACCTGAAGTACATGGTGCATCTCAATTTTGCTTCAATTTTGGGGAGCAACGCTCTTCCTATTTATTTTTTATTTTTTATATATAAAATTTTATCTGCTTTATTCGAAGACTAAAATATGAAATATTTTCAGGTGGCCAAAAGAAAACTTCTGAACCCGAGCCCTGCATATGTTCTCCAGTGGCAGCATTGCGTATGCAGATGATCGTCGACTGTGCTTTGGCAAGAAGACTGAATTTTTGACTGGTGATTGCTTCGGACAGTACATAAAGCAAATTTTTTAACAAACCCTCTTGTGTTTGGAGCTTGACATAATTAAAGTTACTAAATTATTTGCAAATTAAAAAGCAATAACAATAAGCTGTTTACAAGCATGAAGTGTATAATAAACAATAACTAATATTAAAATTTCACAGATCTAAGCTGAATAATTTATGTGCTATATCCCTCTTTACAAATATTAATAATATTTGGTATAATTGGCATAATTTTAAGAATTTTAACGCATTGAAATTTTACATTTTTATAAATAAAATTAGAAGTTCAGTTCCTAAGATCATTTATTCGGCATCCAACAAAACTTCATCCAACTCATCCAAGTTATGCATTCTAGACAGCAAATTTCTGCCTTTCTCCTCAACAGTCATTGCCGGAACTTTGCTGATGTTTTGGGGAATGGGTTTTTCATACAATAGTTGCTTCACAGATTTTTCATCATAGTAGAAGGATTCGGGACAGATGACGGCTTCCAGTATGCTCTCTTGTAGTTTTCGTCGCCATGAGTCATCCCTTGTTTTGTACCTTTTCCTTAGGGTTCGATGACCAGTTCTCTTCACAAAGATGTCTTCAAGGGCAATAACTTCTGTTGGGTGCCTGATTTTGAAGTTCTGCTCCAGGCAAGCAAGGGCCCTCCGACAACTCATGCCACGATGGCCAAATGAGCAATACTTCTGATGATACTTCATGCTCTGGTTATTGAGCCTCTCGACAACACCAGTGTGAACAAATTTCGCCGCCAGCTTGATGTCTGAGCAAAATTTTTTGTCCGTCACCAATTTCTCGATAGCCTTCAGTTCCTTCACATGTTTTGCAGGAATTAGCCACTTTTTCTTCCTGCTGGCATCTGCTGAAATGGGGGGATGACGACAAGCTGTAAATTTCTCTCCCTCGAATTCGTGCTGGTTCTGTATGTGGTGCAAAAATGAGGTGAACTCTTCAACCAAGAGATCACCATCGCCGCCAGCATTTCTACAGCTTGCCCAGAAATGATTGACTAAAGACGTTTTCCACTCGATGAGAGCTTTCAATCGACATGTTGTAGTGAAGATTTTCATTAGGCCCTTTCCAAGGTGCCAGACCTAATTGATCAGGAGAATAGATTATGGAACCAATGAATATATTAGGAATTGTTTTTAAACACTTGCATCAAAATACTGGGCAATAACCCCTTTGAAAGGAGGCTTCTGCAACATAGCTCGTATCCCAGAATGTCTGTCAGTACAAATTCCATCTAGGAGATCATGAGGAAACGTTTCGATAATTCTCTCGAGCAGATACTTGCAGGCTTCCTTTTCAAGCTCTCCAGACACTTGCCCTTTTTGGAAAACAACAAAGTCAACGACCTGTAAGAGAAACTTTCTATAATATTGAAAATTAAATTTCATATTATTGTACTTGTTCTGTTGCTGAATCCATTATTATATAAGACACATATTTCGCCGAAAATCCCGGAGAGTCGTACTGACCGTCGCCCAATAGAATTATCTCCCTGTTGTTGTCGATTAGTTCTGTCACAACCCTCTTTTGCTCGACCATCCACGTCATTTCCACCACAGGGTGGACAGTCTGGTTCAAGTGCCTAAAATATGTGCTTCTGTGGACACATGACAAATCGAGCGCTGTGCAGAAACGTCGGTGGGCCTCAAAATTGATTCCGCTCAGAAAAACTGCTGATGAGACAGCGACGTTCAAAACCGGCTGCAACTCAACCATCCTTTGAAAGAAAAAATGTAAATAATTTTTGGGTAGCAACAAATGTAAAATTTATTTCTTTTCTTTCATATATACATAGAAATATATATATAGGAGCTACACCAAACATAAATCCAAAAAGAAACCCACATAATTGAGCTTTTTATAATATTAATATTACAACAGTATATAAATATGGATAAACATTAATTTTTAACAAATTTATTTAACAACTTGAAAATATTAACAAAATTTAAAAAAATATATATTCAATAAATTTGAAGCAATACAAATAAGATATATATTATTAACAAATATAAAAAAATACAAAAAATAATGATCAGAAAGGTGAGTCTGTGCATTGTGCAAGATTCAATAAATATCAGTGCAGAACACTAAGGACAAGACACAAGTAATTTTTTGCTTACTTCTGATTCTTCCATTCTATAGAATGTCCCTCTAAGCAGATTGCAGTGACAGTAATCAAAGTTCCAACTTCAACTAACTTTCGATCCTCAACCGGGGCCCCACATCGTTGACAAAATTTGAATAACTCAAGCAAACTGTCCTTTTCAACATAGAAAACAGAGGAATTAGCGCTTGAGTGTGTTTCTTCTTCCTCAGCTTCATCAAATTCAGAATCCGACGATGATTCCAGATGCAAAGCAGCTTCCGGAGGCATAAAAGTTTCATCATCTGTGTCTATTTTTTTAGAAATTTTATTATTGTAATTTTCTAAAATGAAATTCAATCTGCTTTTTACCATCGTTGTAATAATCCGCCTGAGAGGTTTCCTCGTCAGAAGATGATATTTCAGAAGAAGTGTGCTGGTCGGGCAAATTTTCCGTGTCATTGACACTTTCAGCGCATAGCCTGACGGATGGAGGTTCTATAGTGTAAAAACAGAACATATACAACTATCCATAGTAAATATTTGAAGATAATAATTACCATAATAGCTAGACAGGCCTCTTTTTCTCCGAGTAGAAGAAGAGCAGGCTGCTTCAGTTGGGTTGCCATGATTTTCGGAGTCTAGAAAAAAGTATTATTTATATGTTATATTATTTTATGTCCAGGAAAATAATTTATATTATAAGGTTGCACAGGCTCATTTGCATAAGAGTTCTAAATTTGCAAGGGGCATAAATGCACTTCACTCTTGGGCATTTGAAAACCATGATAATAATTATATTTACCTGTCTGAGTAGCAATAGTCTCCTTTCTCTTCGGAAGATTTACGGAGGGAACTGCATTTTCATGTAGCTGTCGTTTCGAATTTTTGAACAAATCAGGCAGCAGTTTCCTCCTCAAATCAGGGCCCACATCAAATGCATTGGAATCAAAATGGTCCGAGCAGAGGAATGTGTGAACGTTTTCATCATAATCGGCTTCAGTTACTTGCAGAATGACAAGCCACTTCCTGTGTCTGTTTAAAAGTATTTTAAAGTTATTCATATTTTACAAATTATATAAGAAAATTTTTGTCCTTGAAAAATTTATCTATATTATTTGCACTTACTGCTCAGGGTTTTCATCTTTGTTGGGGAACTTATGAAGGCTCCGACCATTCTTCTTGCAACTTCTCTTATTGCATACATAACAACTATATTTTCCCATTACAATTGCACCTGTACATTTCAAAATTTCATTTGAAAACTGAAGTGTAAAATATGTGCAGTAGCAAGCACAAACAAAAAGAGGCCTGACACGCCTCGTGTTTTCTATTTGACCTCTATTCTCTACAGGGCACAGGCGCGCAAAAGCACCATTCTAAAAATTCCAAATATATCATGTGACTACAAAAATAAATTCCAATATCGTTGACAGGGAAACCCACCAGTAGTTGTTGAATAAAAACTCCACTCACAAAAATTGTAAAAAGCGCTCAACAATTCAAGTCTCTTGAAAAGGTTTGATTCATCACTTAGTAATTTTTCTAATTAATAATTAAATTTTATAAAGATGGATGGGCCCAGTTATGAATCGGACTCAAATTCCGAGGGAGACATGCCATCTCAGTTGGACTTCTCCTTAGATTTTGATCCTGTGTACACTGACGAAGAGCTGCAGAAAATTCTGGAAGAAGAAGCTCAGGCTGAGGAGGAAAGGCTTCGTTTGCAGAATCGAGTTGGAAATACACATTGGTGTACTTGCGGAAGCTGCATGGCCATGGCCACTGGGGCCGAATCGCTCTGCTGCAGAGAGATTTCGCTTGTAATGGATAAGAACATTGGAAGTGGATGCATTACAGAAGCAGATGACTTCAACAATGCTGTACTTAGCTTGAATATGATAAAACTTCATAGACATTTTTACGTGTCTAAGATAAAAGATAAGAATGAGAGAGCTCAGTGGCTTGTCGATGACAACAATAATTACCGATTGTTCGGTTACAGGGTTTATATTTTGTGGCTGAATAATTATGAAAAATTAGGTCACAAGGTGAGGAAAGTGATACCTTCCTGTGTTGTTCACTGTATAAGATCAAAGTGGCCATCTGTTGATGGACAGTACACTGGTTTTAGAGAAGCCGACAATGATTAAATGATTGAAAGTTGTATGATCTTCAATTTATTGTACAAATAAATTACTACTGCAACTGAACTTCTAATTTTATTTATAAAAATGTAAAATTTCAATGCGTTAAAATTCTTAAAATTATGCCAATTATACCAAATATTATTAATATTCGTAAAGAAGGATTGAGCACATAAATTATTCAGCTTAGATCTGTGAAATTTTAATATTAGTTATTGTTTATTATACACTTCATGCTTGTAAACAGCTTATTGTTATTGCTTTTTAATTTGCAAATAATTTAGTAACTTTAATTATGTCAAGCTCCAAACACAAGAGGGTTTGTTAAAAAATTTGCTTTATGTACTGTCCGAAGCAATCACCAGTCAAAAATTCAGTCTTCTTGCCAAAGCACAGTCGACGATCATCTGCATACGCAATGCTGCCACTGGAGAACATATGCAGGGCTCGGGTTCAGAAGTTTTCTTTTGGCCACCTGAAAATATTTCATATTTTAGTCTTCGAATAAAGCAGATAAAATTTTATATATAAAAAATAAAAAATAAATAGGAAGAGCGTTGCTCCCCAAAATTGAAGCAAAATTGAGATGCACCATGTACTTCAGGTTTGAATGAAAATTAACTTATAATTATCGTGGGCACCTTTCACCAAGAATTAAAATAAATAAATAATAATGTAATGGTTTTCTATGAACATACTGAATAATTTAGAAAGATTTCCAACGCATTTTAATTCGGCTAATGTCGTGCTTGACGTGTCAGATTTTAGTGGTTTACGTTTGAGCAACTTGTGCGTGCAAAATATAGAGGCACATCATGCGAAAAACACAACAACTCCTTGCGAAACGTACATACTTTTCCATCTCGTCGCTCGCGCGGAAGACTTGGCATAATACTCGGACACGACAAACTCGGCAGACGTGATGCTTTGCCGACTGACAAAATGACGTTCGGCTTCGTCGGCCGATGAATAACGGTGCTTCGTTCGCTTCAATTGGCTAAATAAAGTCGGCAGGCGACGCACTCTCGCCTTTCGGCTTGCCTCAAAACAAAACAAAGCATGGTCAAGTGGCCGGCCGTCAACGCCCTCGTGCGCTTGCCAGCAGAACTTTTATGACGTCACAAACGCACTTCACAATTTTCAATTTCAATTTGCTCCGCGGCCGCTCACCGGCGCTAGGGTGGTACCAAATCACGTAACAATACTTTTAGTTTTAATTCGGAAAAAAAATACTCATTATTCCACGCGACGTTTCCTTTAAGGGCATTGAAGTATTAAAAATAAATTGAAAATTTGTGTGAATAACGGCTATAATAATGGTATTTACATTATTCAGCTATTTTGGTTAATTTTGGCACCCAGATTAAATAATTAAATTAAAAATAGCTCTATACTCCAAATTTGTGCTTTTTGAGGGTTGCAGTAAACTGGCAAATTTAGAAAAATAGCTTGCGACATGAAATTCACACTTTTATCATTTATTTTTACTATTAATTTTACAAATCAATTTTTAATAATTTTGAAATTAACCCTTTCTTAAAGAGCCAGACACTGCAGTGTTTGTTCTTTTTGACGTTAATTAATGCCAATTTCCCTGCACTAGAAGAAGAATCGAGTTTCTTTTTGGCAAACAACTAGCGCATTGTGTTTTGCTCAACACGTGAATTGTTTGTGCGGTTTGATTTATTTCACTGCAGCTTTGCCATGACCGCTTAATTAAAACGATATTAATTAACCGACCTAATTGTCTTTCTCTCATTTTTTTTGTTTAACTCATGATTTTCATTTTATAATTTCAATTAAAACTTTTCGGCAAACTTTTGCAACATCTATTTAAAATTTTGCGATTTCGGCACAGCAATTCAATTGATCTTTTTTACCGTTTGCTAATAAGACATCGGAATCGTCCTTGGAGGTGACGTTATTTTTAAACTTAGAGTAAAATGTTTACACGCAGCTAGTGGATTAGAATAAAATACACTTCTATTCCACCTCTCGGTGTGTCTGGTGCTTGTGTGGGTCGCGAGCCAAAAATTTCTCAATTGCGATTAATTTCACGTGGCGCGGCCCGCGAGGTGGAAAAATATGAAGTGCCACAACAAAGTGCTTGAGAGAGAAAACGAATCGCCGCCGCGAAAGATTAATTAATTTGAGAAAAGAAAGACGAGTTTATTCCAAGAGGGATATCATTCTTCCCTCGATATATTCTTTGCTAATTGGAACGGCGTGACGAGGGGAGATTCTAAATATTCCCAATGCGTCTTCATATTTCTGGCACCTTAGTTTAAAAATAGGCACGAAACGTGCAAAAATTCGCCGGTGGCCACATTTAAAATAGCCCTCGCAAGATTTATGTGTGACACCTTTGAGCGTGAGGTCAATTTTTTATAAGCACAGGGAGGATTAGCAAAAAATGAAATATAGTAGGTGGACTGTTTCAAATGGGGTAACTAATCTTACAAATGCTTCAAAAAAATTTAAGCGAAATTAGATGTTCATGAGGTTACTCATGATTTTTAAATATTTTCCAAAATTTTGAATCTAAATAAAAAACTATCATGCAAGCAGGTGATTAAAAGTTTCTTAGCGTTTAAATTTGAGTTAATAATCTTTTTGAAAGGTTTTATTTTTATTTTTTATAGATCTAAAATTACAACTTTAAAAAAATTTCTTTACTTGTGACACAATTTAAAAAAAGGAATAATAAGATAACTATATTAAAAGATAATCAACAAAAATTTATGAATTGAAAATCATAAGTTTCTTGTAATTTTATAAATTGAATTTAATTCAGCAGTGATTTTGATTTAAAAAATGATCAAGTATAATACCTTGTTTGAAAGGATTCTTTTAAAATTTCAACTGTTTTATGCAAGTATATTGTTTGTATATTCTACTTACATTATTTAGTTTCTACTCCATGAAATACGTCCTGTTGGCATCAAGAATAAAAAAATCACTGATTGAATGCTTTGTACGTAGAGAACTGGTAGAGAAGAACGTTCGAGGCGAGCCTGAAAGAAATAATTATATAATATTTATTTACGTTTAAAATTAAACGGCAAGGGTGTTGTTCAAAATGAAAGCTCGTTTAATGAAGTGCGGAATTTTGTTTACATAACTTTGAAGTATTTTTAACTGTTTTAAATTTTTAGAAGGTTCCAGATTAAAAAGCAATGGAATGAAAAAGTTCGTATCACAAAAATGAATTATGTTTGTGGAATTTTAGCTTGGCAATTGATTGATGAATTAAATGTGTGTGCTTTTCTTCTAGTGAATAGCTTCGCAAAATATCTTTTTAGGGTCATGCATTTAAAGAGCTGTAAATTACAAACTGAAAGTATAAATTAACTTAACTAATAAAAACAGGGAATTTTAAAATTTATGAAATTTTGCTAATGATATTAAATTTGATTACAATTAAAGCAATTTTAGTTCAATGAACTTCAAGAAAAATTTTTTTACAATTTTATTCAGCAGTTTCTAATTACTTGAATGAATTGTTTATTTTCAAATTGAAAAAAAGATCTCTAACTCTCTAACTGTGTAACTTTGTGTCTCCACCGCAGTAACGGAGAGTGAAAATCGCAGCGTTCTCCTCTGCGCGAGATGAAAATTGGCTCTTGAAACAATTAGGGTGACCTTTGGAGCATTGTGGGGTAAGCGGATCCTGGTTGCGCCAGAGCAGCAAAAAAAAAAAAAAAATCGGGTGTCATTGCTTGGTGCGGCGAGCAATTGTCCCAGAATGCGCGACACAAAGGGCTGATTTGCGTGCGAGCGAGGGTACTCATTGTTGCGAGAGAGCCAGCTAAAGGGCCGGGAAGAAGAACACAAAGGGGTGGTGGGGAACAAAGGAGCGGGTGGACCTCGGCCGCGCACCGACACATCAGTCGAGCACCTTCCACCGTCGCGAGTCCACACACCAGGTGAGCACCGCCGCGCCGTCGCTGCATGACGTCACCCGCTGCACCCCAGTGCATCCCCCGGCGGCGGACTGGGGGCTGCCCAGGGCTGCCCGCCCGCCCGCCTCCGGGGGCGGCACCGCCTCCAAAACTAACCCAGTTGGATTTTAACAAAAGGTCGTAGAAATTGTTTTTATTCATATCAAAAACGAAAATTAATAATTTTAGTGATTATTTTGAGAATAATGCAGAATATTTCAGATTTAAATTAGTACTAGGGTATAAATTTAATTCAAGTTTAATTAAAATAAAAGCCGACGGTGTGAGTCGGTCCGAAAATAAACGTCTCTCGTTTTAAATCGATGATTCAGACAGACGTTCTAATCTCGAATCAAAGCTCACATGATACTCCTTACTTACGTCAATTGTATGTATTTTTAATTCCCGCTGATTAAATTTTACGAGGCGTGTAATTAGGCAGGTCTCTAGTTAGTGGCTTAGAGAGAGAAAAATTATACGGCCTCAAAGAACGTTAATTTTATCTTTCAGAAAAAGAAAGGCCTTTGATGAAAGAAAACCGCGTCACGTTAAAAAACAATAAGTTTCCTTTTAAAAATAAATAAATTCTACAAATCTCCTTTTTTCTGTTTGTTTTCCTCCACTTAGTGTGTCGGGCAATTTTTAGCCCTTTTCTCTCTCGCAGATGTGCCGGGGAGATCCACAAGTGGCTCTTATAAAATCCATTTCTTTCTGCCGCCGTTTTACGACCGGCTCTCTCACTCTCGAGAGACGAAATTCAGATAAACCGCCGTCGGTCCAGATGCTCGGGGTCATTATTTTTTTTCGGTAAGCGCGAGAGAGAGAAAGAGAGTGAGACGGTGGCTGGGTCGGTCGGTCGGCGAATTTTCGATTGCGTCAGAGGGGTCCTTCTTCTTTCTCCGTCGGTCGAAACGGAAAGAATGCCGTATTGGCCGGGGCTCGCGCCGATGGGGTATAATTAGTCACCGTCCATGTCCGCCACTAATACACCCAGAGCCCCAGTCCGACACCAAAAACGAACCAGCCGATATCTCTGTGTGTGCGTCCGCAAAAAAATATCAAAGTTTAATACTCTCGATTTCAATCCAATTTTTCAGCAAGTCATGAAAAATAAATTGCAATTTTTTTTTGTTCGCAAAAAAGAAATTCCCGTTGGCAGCGGATCAAGTTTCACCGCGTGTCAACAGACGAAATTTTATTTGAGTACTCGCGCGCATACTTAGCTCTCTTTGCTGTGCTAATTAGCCGCGAGAGTCGCAGCCTTTGCAACGCTGATTGCCGCATTAAATCAAGAAGTGCGAAATAATGCCTCTTTCATTAGCGTCTTGGCACCAAAAATAAGCTGACGTCTTTGTTGTACTCACAATTAGGTGTACCTCCAACCATTTTCAATTTTTCGTTTATCAAAAATTAGCCCTTAAAAATTTCATAACTTACTACCCAGACGTCACTCAAATTATAGGAATAACTGCAATTTTCCCCGTAAAGTAACAAATATATAATTTTGCTTATAAACTAAAGAATTTTGTAATTATATTTTTTATTATTACAACACAATTGAATTGAATTTAACATAATATTGGCTAAAGCAGAATTGATCATGGAATGAAATCTGGTATGAACCTGATTATTTATAAACATTATTTTAATAGAAAAATGCATTTTATCCTTTCACTTTCATTATAATAAGGATTATAGAAGATATAATAAAAAAAGAAATAAATTTTGGACTTTGACACTTCGATTGAGAATGAAGCATGAAAAATTTCCAAAGCTCGTAAAATATATATGTTGTTTATTCATAAAATTTACTCAACTTGAAAATGAATAGACTGCAAGATTCTGCTCTTTTCATAAGTTAAAAGTACGATACTAATTATAAACCAAATATTATTTTTTAATGCACAAAATATATAATATTAAATAAACTTCAGATAAATTAAGATCATAATATTTTGAAATTAAATATATAAAAAATAAATTCATAATTTGCTTTTATTTGAACTGATCTCAACATTTTCAACACATTTTATGGAGAAAAAGTTAAAAGTTGAGCCTAATTTAATATTGAATTAAGGATGACAAAATATAAAATCAAACAATTTTCTATTTTCAAACTCGATAGGGCAGTAGAAAAAACTAAATATTGGCCAAATAACTGAATATTTTTTTTTTTATGCTGGAAGGAAAAACTGAAAATTTAATATGGATGTGAAAGTCGTAATCTTTGCGCGATAAGAAAATTTCTGTAAATTGAAAAAATAATCACTAAATACAAAAATTATATTTATAAAAAACAAAATAATTTGGCAAGAGAATAAACGGTCCTTGAGTCTTAAATAATTAAATATTGTTAAAAAAAAGAACTAATCCTAATAATGAACAATAAAACAAAATTTCACCCTGACCACGCAGAAAGTAATCCAAGTTTGCTGCAGAAGCCATGGATGAGGAAGCAGATCCCTGGGGAGACGTCGAAGAGACCCCCGCAGAAGAGGCCCCCGCTGCCCCCGCAGAGGGTGCCGAGGGTGCTCCGGCTCTAGAGGGTGAGGCCGCCGCCGAGGGCGCGGAAGCCGCCCCCGAGGAGGCTCCCCAAGAAACGAGGCGCCGCGACCCCAACAGGCCAATCCTGTGCAAGTACTTCAACAGGAAGCGCAACCTGAACTACTCGTACTTGTACGACTACCGTCACAGCTACTACGACGATGTGATCAAGTACCTGGACAACAGGGGTAAGGGCCAGGCCCTGGACCTGCCCAGGCCGCAGACGTGGGCCGAGCGGGCCCTGCGCACCTACCCCGAGCGCATCCGCTCCATCAAGGACACCACCAAGGACTCCGACCTGCTCCAGACAATCCGTTCCAGCAACCAGGCTTACTACTACCACACACGAGAGTACGTCAACAGACGGCACTCGGGCACCTACCTGTGAGCTGCGCGCCCTCCTCCACTAACACCTGCAGGTAAGAATAACGCACGCACAAAAAGCCTCGTCAACGCGGCTCTGCAGGCGGAGGGGGCGCCTCTCTCTAAGGGTGTCACAGTACAGTGCGATTCTATTTCGTATCAAGCTTTTCTAATCTTTCCTCTGCTTTTTTCTTCTTCTTTTTTGCTATTTTTTCCTGTATCAAGACTAATAACTAGGGAACATTCTGAGCACCAAAAATGTTTATCTCTAAATTGTCGATTGTGCCGGGCCATCAGACTCACTTCCTACAGTATTAAATAATATTTAACACAATTTCTTGACAAAAAAGCAAAATTTTCTGAAATTGTGTGGCAAAATTTCTAGCAGGTCTTAACTAACTGTTGCAGCGGTGTCAAAGTCTGTTTTCTCGTATCTTATTATTTGTTTAAGCCAAAAAAAAATGGCATTTTGTTTTATTCGAATAAATGCGGAGCGTATAAATTGAATCAAAATGGACTTCGACACCAATAATAGTCAAAACTTTTGGCAAAGAAATATGTTCAAATTTTTATAATTAAAAGGTACTTGGAATATTCCTTAGTAATTTCATAAAAAACAAATAATTGACATCGAATTTTCAAAATCTGATTTTTTAACACGCACAAGGTTGGGGGAACACTTTGCATTAAGCAAACAGAACAATTTTACATTTTTATATAAATTTAATATGTATATTTACTTGAAAACTTTTAATAGAAGAACACCAACAAAATACTAAACCAAATCAAATGAAAACTTTTAATTTTTTGAATAATTATTAATTATAATTAGTGTTAAATCTTTTCATTTGTATACGAAATTTTTAAATAATAATTTCTCCGAATTTTTAGTATATTACTTCATTTTTAGATACATATTTATTTGATTTTTTAAATCATTTTAGACCTACTGTTTTATTGTTAGATGTTTTAAGAACGTGTGGTATTTGTGTGACTATAAAAATTTTTTGAATTTGATTTAATCAGAACCCTTTAGTAATTATAAAAATTACTGATGAGTTCACATCTTTCTATTTTGTACCCCGATTAACTTTCAATTATTTGCTGATAATTGAAAAACAAAACAATATTAACTTATCCACTTTATCGACTAATTTATCCGTAGATGATGAAGTTTTTAGTAGTTTGAATTAACTCCCATTTCCATGAAAATCATGAAACATTATTCAAGAGAAAAATGGAAAAAATTTCTAAAGCAATAAAAGTCACGAAAGCGTTTTTTCTATTTTCTCTGATCGTAATAATTTTGGCGCTGTCTCTCAGCGGGCAGTTATCTCAATCTTCAGATTTTTCATCTCTTCCGCGTCTCATTCCGCAATAAAACCAAAATTGCAGAAAATTTAACGCATTGATATCTTATTGCAGGGCCCTTAACCGAAGAGCAACAATGCGTTTCTAAGAGTCTGGAGCGATCGTATCTCCTTCACCACTTTCTATCTCTGTCTTCTTCTCTTCTTCTTCTCTCTTCAAAAGTTGAAATAGATATTGTTAATCATTTCTTGCCCTTCGCCGGTCTTCTTTCTCTTCAGCAAAAATGTACGACAATTTTTTACTCCAATAAATGCGCGCTCTGAGGTATCTCAAAACGAAAAAAGAATATTTATTTTTCTCTGAAACTTGCTCGTTCTTTTTTCTTGTACTGGTTTGTTTAAATATCAACACGCAAGTGTACTCTGTACGTCTCTTGTGTAAAATGAATGATTTAATCTAATAAAATGGATTGGTCACGTAACATCTCAACCATAAGGCTCTCCCTGATAGTTTTCTTTGACGATTCTTCACCGTAACAAAATAAAACCACTGATCCAGAGTTTAAGTTAAAAAAATATACATTCAAGAAGCAACTCTTTGACATTATTTTTATTGCAAACGTTTATAACTTTTAATACATAAATCATTGGTTTTCAAGCGCTACCTACCTCCATTTTTACGAACTTTTTAATGTACATGGGTGTCGCGCAGGTGGCCTATACTACAGGTAAGATTTGGTTATGCATCAAGGAAGATATCAAGATAGAGGGGATTCTATCTTCCTTATGTTATGAATTAAAAATGTATTGACAGGAACTAAATTTGAAAATAAACACCTAAATTTTAGCATTATTTCAATTTCTTATTTATAATTTTTGATTGAATCAATAAAAAGGATTAATTTTAAAAACTTGATATACTTATCCGAATATCTACTTTTCATAAATAGAAATTTTTTTAATAATTTTGGATCGTTAATAATTAAATGTTAAAAATATACAATATAGTTGATAAAACAAATTTATTGATTTAAAATTTTAAATCGTTGATCACTCTCTTTGCCAAAATAAAATTTGGCAACAATGAAGTTGGCAAAAATTAAGGCTTCACCTACACCTGATTTTCGCTTTCTACGTGCAGAGTAATGAGTCATTGCTGTGTGCAGTCTCCCGAAACAGCAGGGTCAAACAGGATGGCCGTCTGAAGGGGAAAGGGAGATTGGCGGTTATTGTATTTCACTGCCCGCGATACCCAACGACTGTCAACTCTTATCCACAAAGAACGCACCCCTTCCGCCACAAGTCAAGCAACTCTTCATCGTTTAAGTTTTAGATAAGGACAGCACGAATTTCCTCAATTTCCTGTGATTAAAATAATTTTAAAAGTGTTCATTATAATTTATATTCAAAGGAATTGAGCCACCAATATTAATTTCATGTTTATGTGCGAAACATTGAAAAATCATCAAAATAAAAAGAATATTTTAATACATTTATTTTCTAAGTTTTTCGTAGTAAAATTTTTTCAATTTTTATACTTTCTGACTTTTTCCTTAAATTGTTTTATTTCTGTAATTATTTTAGCTGGACACGGAAATGTAATTATTCATGCTAAATTAAAAAGCAAGGAACATCTTCTCATCTAATTGCTCTCCTCTGTTGAGCACAATTAACAATCACGCCACACTTAACAATATATTCAATTACCGCGGCTAATTGCAACTGCGCTCCACACCTGACCAATTAAAAATGCACGCGTGTATTTCCATTCATGAGAGCGTGGGTGCTTTAGAATGCACCGGCGGCGGCGGCATTATAATATTTTATTTTTAACTCTGCTCTCACATGCCTCCCCCGCGCGCTTGCTGAAATCAATGCGAGCGAATTTACTTTCACTTCTCTCGGCACACAGTGAGTGATCGTGCTGGAGCAAAAAAAAAAAAAAATCCAGCTCACGCGTTTATCACATTTTGCCGGGCTCTTTCTGCTTGGTCCAACTGCAACACTCGAGATTGAGGTTCACAGACCTCTGCAATATGCAAGAGCAATTGCAAAACATCATCTCGGTGTTAACAGGCGGATTTAAAACTCTGTTTGTTTGATTGACTCGCAAACGTGGAAACACATAATGACTGCTTTTGGTGTGAATAGGGCTTCTAAAAACGTCAAGAAGTTCAACAAAAATAAATATTTAGAACAAACTCTTCTTGATGGGGTTTTATAAATTGTATTTCATTAAACATTTTTCAACGTAACATAAATTAATTATTTATTTAAATGTCTCTAAGAAAAAAGGAGCCCAGCAGTTCTAATTTAAAGGCTGATTAATTCTTCAGATGTCATAAAAATTAAAATAAATGAGAAATAGCATTTTTGAGTTTTGTGATTAAATATTATTTTTTGAAATCAAATCTGTAATTTGAAAGAAAATTTGGTTCCTTGATGTTTTTGCGCGTTTGTTTGAAATTTAGACATCAAAAGTAGATGTCAAATAAGAGAGTGAAATTTTATAAATTCATAATGAATGCAATTTTAGTTCTATATCAGCCATGGAAAAGGAGAACGACCAACAGAACCCTGAGAACTAACAGAGCAATTCTTTAATCAAATCAATCAAGTATATAATTTTATGTTGTTGTGCATCTAAATTATTATATTAAAAATATAAAAAAATAATAAAAAAAATCTAGATATATTTAAAATAAATAAAAAAATATATATATTTAAATTTAATAAATTTTATTAAATTAAAAAATAATTAAAATGTTTTAATAATAATAAAACAAATATTATGCAATTTATTATTTCAGCTAATTATTTTTGTGCGTATTAAAATTTTTTATGTTTCTGATAAAAACATTTTGCTAATTAATTCGTGTACGTCAGAATCATGGGCAATTCCAAAACAACCGAAATGATTTATCTCCACAGCCGAATGATAAATCCATTAGCAAGAAAATAACACAAACATTCATGTGGCCATTGTGCGTGTTGATTATAAAATAGTGGGCGACTCAAAAATAAGAGCGAGCTTTTTGTCCCGTTACGGCTGAGCGCGGCCTGGCGCGACCGTGGAAGGGGCGGCGAACAGGGGCCCCTCGCGCGTCTCTCACCTGGCGCGCTCAGGAGGTCTCCCGCAGGTTGAGTCAGTCAGGTACGGACCTAGAGCAGTGCTAGTGTGTCCAGTGCGAGTGTATGGCCGGGAAATGATGTGCAGTGGACGCACGAGGAGCCCCTCGGGGACCTCAGCCCTCGCGTGGGCCCTTTGGACTTTGTCTGTCGGTAAGTGCGCGTGACCTTCTCTCTTTATCTCGGTGCTAAATTCATTGAAAATGGCGTCGTTGCCAATTTCAGAAAGAGAATCAGGTTTTGGCATTAAAAAGGTTAAAACTGAAAACATAAATAATTATGTCCCGTTCAAGAATAAAAGGAATTAACTAAATTTATATTTATCCCAAAGGTTTGAATAAACAACAATTTTTTACTTAAAAATAATTAAATTAGAATTAAAATTTCGGTTCAGTGTGTGGTGTTTCCTTTGAATAATAAGAGCAAACTCCACCTGGCCGATTAAGCTGCTTAAAACTTGGAGAGCGAGCCTTGTGTGCTCCGAGAAAGACCTTGGTGGTGCTCGGCACACAATTGTGGCGCCTTGTGAAAGGTTTCACCTTACGTCAAAACACATTTTCATTATACTGTGGGTGCAAAACAGTTAATAATATGTGTGCGAGCATTCTCAACTTCTAATCATTTCCCCGAGTTAACATTTTGATTAGTTTTCCAAAGCTCTGCTTCTACTCCAGTGGAGACTTTAATGATTGCAGAGAGATAAATTACTTTAATTAATTGCTTTTTCTATGTTTTTGAAGCAAAAAAGATCGATCTTGTTCAGTTTTATTTTTAGCAACTTTCGGTTCTTTTGATGTATTTTAGATTAAAAATGATGAAAATTGAGAAGGTAGAAGAGAAATTCACGATTTTTAACTTTTACAAATGTGTCACTCTTGTATTTATAAACAGAATAATTAATATCCCAGCACGGAGGCGATTTTTAATTACGATGCACGCACTCTCGTCGCTTGCTTGTGTGTTGTGCTTCGCTCGGCGCATGTAAAATAGCGTCGGCAGAAAAACATATCCACGCGAGTTTTCCTATTGAGGAGCCGCCGCAAATGTAGGTTAGTCGTGTTAAATACGGCAGCACGCATTTCTCTCTCTCCTCTCTGCTTCTTACGTTCGGCATACAAATGGCTCAAAGGAGATCCTTTTTTATTTCTCTTGCAGCTTTTTGTGTAAAAGAAAGATTTTCAGCCACGGTGAGGACATAAAGACATAAAGGCTAAAAAAAAAGAACAAACAGCGTGTGGCCCATTAAGTTTATATGAGATTTGCAGGAGGTCTCATCACTTAACTGCTAACAAATTTCCACCAATTTTCAAAGCTAATTTTACTTCCTCACATTAAGCTTTCACGGTTTAAAAATTAACTCACTAATTTCCCATAAGTAATAATACGCTGTTTCTGGCAACGGCTCCTTTTTGTGAAAATTCAAATTAAGTAAAACTAATTTTTGCCGAATGAGAAAAATATTTATTTTTATTGCAAAAATTTCAATATTTTAATTAAAACATTAAATTGAATTAAAATTACATCTTCTGTAAACAATTAAAATTCTCAAATCTCAATCTTTTCACTTTATTTTTAAAGTTTTAATGTATTCTTTTGTTGACAGTCCAGAAAGATATTTGGTGTATTATGCAAGTTTGTAGTTTTGATTAAAAATACAATTTTTGTTTTACTTCAGTTTAGTAATTTGTTGCAAAGAGTAGGAAACATTAAGATTGTCATCATTCCCAAGGCTGTGCTCAGCACCACCAAATTATGTTGTTTAGCGAAACGTCCCATAATTATTTGTGAACAAAGTGTCTCATTGCCGTGCATCTTCCCGTGACAAACTGGCGCAAAAATCCTAGACCTTATTGTTAGAGTCAAACGGCGTGTTTATTTTCAGAATCAAGAGTGAAGAAAGTGAAATGAAAAGACGCATCTATTTTACGAAACAAGCATTTTCAGATTTATCATAATTCTTTTTCCTTTCTCACGCATCTGCTTTGATAGAAAAGGAACGAATTTTTTATGGAGACGCACATCCGTTTTTTTGTGTTGTTTCAAGCGAGATTTCTTCTCTTCTATACGACTTCGGGCAGAACCGCGCGATGTGGATTTCTAGGACAAAATCTTCTCACATCATCAGCCGATGAGAGATGTTACGAGAAGCTTTAACTTTCGAATACACTTGCTCTTTTCATACGGCATTTCATTTATTTTATATGTAAATTGATCCAAACAAGTTTGGTTTTAAGTCCACCATCTTGATTAAAAAAGCTCTAATTTGACCTGGACAACTGCCAAACTGGAGAACCTGTGGAGAACCAAAAGAGTTTTCTTTTTCAACTTCCTTTTGCTGTTTTTTAAAGCGGCTTTTAATTTATTAAAATTAAATGTAATACTAAAAACTACTGTTTAAAACAGAACTTTATCAAATATTTTAAAATAAGCAAGACAAATTCTATTGAATTTTTCAATTGTGCGATAGAACGTTTGAAATGAAGATATGATATCAATTGAAAGACAATTGAAAACAATAAATTTCTAAAAATGTGGCGGTGACGAAAAATTTCGTTCAAGAAAGTGCAATTCGTCTCACTCTACTTTGTCCGAAGCATTTTCAATGGAAGGAAGCTTTATTTTTTTCCTCGTATTCTTTTAATTAGAATGAAACAACGGAGTGGAAATAATTTTGACAGAGACCCCAACCTTCACGTTCAATGCTCGATTTTGTTTAGATTAAGGTGGTGGCAGTTGAAATAATTATTCGCACAACAAGGTCTGGATCACTCGAAAATAAATACGAATAATGTTCAGCGTCTGGTTTTTACTCTCGAGTGGCTTTTATTCGCGAGCAGCGGCCGGAACCCAAGTGGATCACCTTGAATTGGCTGCGATATTGTAACGAGAGGCGACTCCTCGCGCACTAGCTGCAACCGAATATTAAATTCTTGACTGCAAAGAAACAGAGTGAGGTGGTTTTATAGAAATGATGTGTCACTGACTTGCATGACGCCATCGCGTAAGGTGCTCTCATTTCTTGCAACGGGTATTAGGAGGTGATGCGAATTAATTTTTATTTATATTTTATTTCAGTTTGAAAGACATAATTGTGAATCAGGTCAAGATAATTTTTTTAATATTTTGATGTAATTAACGTAAATAAAATTTCATTGATGACATTGACTAAAACGATTTAATTTTTTGGTTTCAATTTAGAAAAATGAGACATAAAAATTGTTTTTTTTTTAATGATTTAAATTAAATAAGAAAAAATGTTTAGAAATTAGTAAAATTTGTAAAATTACAAATATCTTTGATTTTAATTTTGGAATAATAAAAAATTCGCACTATAAATAAGTATATAGTATTTCCACTAATTCCCTCTTTTAATTAAACTCGTAATCCGAGCTCAAACTTATCACTCATCAGTTCTAATAAGTTTGGAAAAAAGTGTCATGGTGGTCTCCAGTTCTTGCTCTCGTTGTCTAAAATTGTATTGAAGTTGAACGACTTGAACGGCTAACAAAAAGCTCTGATTCCACTAAGGAATTTGATTCGTTTGATTTTGTGCTCTGAGTAGAAATTATAATTAAAGTTTTGTTCCTGTTCGTCAATAATGACAATTGAGAACATATAACGTTAATAATATTCAGATCACCAGTCATCATTTTTATTTATCAAAATCAAACAAACCCAGAAAAAAATTGAAACCTATGAAATTAAATAAATAATTATATTTACATGCCAAGTTAGCTTATGGAATTTGCTGGTGCTAACTTTGAATTATTTTAAAATAAACCTCATTAATTTGGCAAATTTTTTGTCACTACAAGGAAGGAGGAATTCTAAAACGCCCTTGCGCAATGAATTGCAAAAATATTTCCAGAGGGCATGAACTTTTGGCGCTCTTTCAGCCGCCTAGGTATTCCAACAGGTAGGCGGTTGGGTGGGAATATCAGAGTTACCTGCAGCATATATGCGAGAAGCCCAATAAGGCGGGCCTCGCCCTGCTGCAAGGAAGCGGCATATCAGATTTTGACCTTCAATTTAGCATCTAGCACAGCTCCTCTCTCTCTCTCTCTCACCGATATCTTTGGCAGGGAGTTTTAGAGCTTTCAGGATGCGGACACTCTATCTCGTACTATCATTAAATTTTTCCCTAAAAAGCCTGCGCGGATCAAATGGCTAATTAAGCGACGCTCTGTTGTCAAGGTCGGAATTCGGCAGTTTGCTCGTCGGTGAAATTGCACGCTATCAGATTCAGGATAATTGCGAACGAAATTACCGGCTGGGATTAAAGTGGCTGATTGACTTGTGAGAGGTCGAGGTTTCTCACAATGGAGATATTGTTCGCGAGGATAATTTGGTGATGATTGTAGGTGGAGTTCGAACGAAAGTTAATAACTCGCGCGTTTGTTGTATTGATTTGAAGCTTCTTTTGCCACGGGGGTCGGTAATTGACACGGCAATCAACTTGTTGACAAATAACACCATTCCTTTGAAAGAAACATTGTGTTATGAAATAACTAGAAAAGAAATTTTAAAATATTGCAGTATCTTCAGTATTAAAACATCCATAATGTGATTTATTAATAAAAAATTAATTTAATTTGCAATTGAAAATTGATAATTGATTTTTAAGTCTGCAATTTTATTGAAAAGCTTTCCTTTTCCTTACATGTTTATTCAATTTCAATTAATTTTAGAGAATACTAGCCAAATTTAATTTAAGTTTACTTATTCCTTTTTATAGACATGGTTAGTTATATTATATTATAAATTTTTATATTTTCAGATCAAAATGCACTTAAATGTGTATAAAGCCCTTTCAAATCAGCTCAGTGTATGTCTTGATTTAAGAATTTGTTTTAAAACTAGGGTAAATTTACAATTTGCATTAAAATATTAAATTCTTTTTATGAAAATTATTATAAGTATTTTTATTACTATGCATAAACCAATGAAAAATATAAACAATTGAAATAAGGTCAATTAATTAAACACCTCACTTTATTGAGAATAATTTTAAATATGTTTCAGGTAAAACTAAAAATAATATAAATTTCTTGTAATTGAAATAAATGAAAATTTTTCATATATTTATTTATTCTTCAGTTTCATGAAAAAGTTATAAATGTTTCTTTTTCACACAAATGAAGTTAATTTTATGA